TGATGTTTTAAATAGCTTTGATTTCCTGCCCCTCTGTGTGCAGTGAGCAGTTCTTACAGCTGTTCTAATAAGACACTGTGTGTTTTTATTGCTGTGAATATGAGAAATACAATACGACCATAACTGCTGGTTTTGTTTGTGGGAATTTTTGAAGGAATGCGTTGTAGTGACCCCCCCTTTTAAAAACGCAGGCATGCTTGTTTAGTCTCTATTGTACTAGTTCACTCGTTCACATGGGAAGTTTTCAGTTTGTTTTTCTGCACCACAAACAGTCGTGTTTTTGTTCTTCTGCTGCTGCAGGGTGTTCAAGCCAGATTCCTCTGTCCCCACACTGTGGTAAAACTGTTTCTGAGAGGGCATGAACACATTAACCTTTGGGAAAGTCTGCTCCTGTCAACTCTGTCGTCTCCAACTACTCTCTCCCTCTGTTTTGAGAAAGGTCAGGCGCTTACTTAACAGCCTCGCTGAGTAACTTCTATGAATCCAGTTTCATAATTATATTTATTTGTGACTCAGACTTTAAAAGTATACAGTTCACAAATTAAATCAGTCATGGGTCAGTCCTTTAGCTGAAAAAGCCAGTGCTAAGTCTCAGAATTACAGAAGCCTAAAACAGAAGTATCTACACATTTAATTTACTCTGTTTCTGGCATTAATATTTTCTGAATTTTTTGTCATGATCTTACCTTTTTTTTAATATCAAACTCACAAAGTTTCTTGTAATATTAGGATCATTTTTCTTGGGATCTACATTACAAAACAATGAGCTTATAACTGTAATAGACCAGATTACGACATGCTGTGCAGCCAAAAATGATGAGGTTACTAAATCCTTTTTAAGGCTTGATTTGTGTTTTTGTAACTCTAAGATATGAGTTATTATATCTGACATCAGGCTGTTCTGATGCAGAGAAAACAAGTGGAATCAACTTGTTTTTACAGGATAACAGAGTAGATAACATAAAAGCATGCATGTCTATTTAAGGCTTTCATACTGAATCACCACCAACACGGCTTTACATTTAGTGACCAGTCTCTACTATAAAACCATTCATTTTCTTAGATATGATTAATCTATCATCAGCTAAATGTAAAAAATAGTGCTTGACAACAAAATCGGTATCTAAAAACCTGTACTTGAACACAAATTTGCTCATACTGTGTATTAATGTAATCTTCATGTGCAATGGTAGCTCTGCCATTTTAGTACACTGCATGGTAATCTCTCTACTCCTGCTGTGTATTCATGGTGGTTTGTGTTATTGATCAGTCAGCCTGTGCTGATAACCAGAGAGACAGAGGATGAAGAACTTTTTAACCGAGGCCACAGACGCCTCTATGATGGGCCATGATGCCTCCCATTGATCCCTCTGATTGACTGAGAGACAGCTTTTCTGTATCAAGCGCAGAGGAGATGACATAGTTTAAAAGCTGCAAACTGAGTGGGAAAAAGCTCAGCCTGTGAGTCACCTTACATATTTTTTATTCTGGGAAGACTTGACAAAAATAATTCTCCTTCACATACTGGTTTTGAGCAGCAAGGTAGAAATTTGACATTCAGGCATTGTTCCAGTGTTTCTCCGAGGAGGAACCCAAGAGCATCTAAATGGGGAGAAGGAAGAGGTTTTAAAAAGAGGAGGAGGAGGAGGATTGATCACCCAGCTAGTCCAGGAAATGAATTAATGACCTTAGGGAAAGTCATCCATCCATTTGACAGGCACTGGGAGTCAACGGTCTCTCTACAAAAAAGGTACATCTTATTCTCTGTCAGCACTGATGTTTTCCAATTATTCTCCATACAGATACATTTTTATCATTCAAAACATCTGCTTGTTAAAAAAAAATACCTCTCATTGTAATTTTTTGGTCTTAGCCATTACATAACACCCTCTGTAAAGTTGCAATAGTCACAATTAAGGGTGACATAATTGTTGTTAACATACCTTTTTGATCTTGCTTTTAACTAAGTTTTAGATCATTAACTTTGTTTAAGTGTTTTAGCATTTATCTCTTCTAGTTTTAATGACAGGATCATCTTTTATTGAGCTATTTTGGTGCTCTTATTGTAGTATCTTTTACTTTGGTTTTTATTTCATTTTATTTATTATTTCTTAAATTTCATTTTATGTTACTTTGTTTTTAGATTTTAATCCTCCAGTGTTTCCATATCTTGAATTTTAAAATGGCGTTTCCTCAGTGCGCACATTCCTGTTTATATGAATCAAGCCCTATTTAAGTTCATGCATTTTAATTATAATAATAACTTTATTTGTATAGCACTTTTAAAAAACAGATGTTTACAAAGTGCTTTGACATGTAGTTGTATAGCACGTGGAAAAAGACAAATAAAAACAAAAAGTTCAGTAAAAATGTAATTGAAGGCCATTTTCACGTCATAAGGAACCAGGACAATACAAGAACCATGCATCATAAAATGAGACCATGAGGACCAAAATAAAAACCTAAAATAGCTAAGAGAAAAGGAAAATGCAATTAAAAGGGAGGACAGTATAACAGGATAGTAAATATAAAAGGCAATGTCAACAATGATAATAAAATAATAGCAGGTGATCCTGATAATAATAGTAATGATAAAATAGAGCAACAGAAATGAGCAAGAGATAAAACAATAAAAAGCCTAAAAGGGTAATTAAGAAAAGAGTTCAAGTATAACAAAAGCTGAAAAGACAGTAAGGCCGAAATACGATAGAGGTAAAAGATATAAGAGATGACAGATAAAAGATAGAGATAAAAGATAAAAGTCGGCATCACGTAAAAGCAAGTCTGTAAAAGTAAGTTAATACATGTTTCTATTGTGCTTAGATTGTAGTGTGGGAATGAGGGGTTGGATTAGGGTAGATAAAGGTTTTCACTTTGTGCTACATCTTTTTTGTATGAAAAGTGCTATATAAATAAAGACTGATTGATTGATTGATTGATTGATGGGTTATAATCTGCATTTATCTTTTTTAAAAGACCTTTGTTTGTGTTTTTTACTACGTAATACAGGTAAGCTGTATTTAATAGCTTTAAAGAGCTTTAAAACTAGTCAATATTCTTCCCAAAGATAGTAATCTGACTGGTGTTAATCCTACTGTGTGGTCTTTATTTCTAAGTACCCTGTGAATGTTTTTTCATCAATGACTGAGTGGTAGTATTCTTAGAAATTAATAACCTGGCGTCTCAAGACTTTATTGTTGACATTTTATTGCGTCAGAGATGCTGCCAGGCACGGAGCCCATTGTCTGTATACGAGTCTGTGTCCAGTCAATCACTGCTGGGTCAGCAAGGGTCCCAGCTGTCGGGATGACGTAGTGCTCTAAACGAGCCACCATATGGGCCGACAGGCATGCTAGTACATGAAGTCCTTACGACACGCGAAAACGAACTAAACTGCATTTAAATATTGATGTATTAATCTTTCGTAAATACTCGGTGGTCGTCTCCTCTCCTATAGAGAAGCTGTTGTACTTTTGAGTTTTTCAAGTGGCTATTTCACGAGATATACAAACACTTGAACACAAAATGAACTACAAGTCCCGATGTGGTTTCAGTGAAAAACAATTCCCCCCACGATTTGCTGCGTTCAGGTAACACTCTCCTTGTAGGGTTTTTTAGAATATCATTTGTATAGTTGTAGATAAGATTAATTTTTTTATTTGTGTGTTCAATAAAAATGCCTCTAAAGCAGAATTCAATGTATTATCCGATGAATTGTCTCTATTTCAAAATAAAGGACACTTTAAGTCATAAACCTTCAAGTAGCACAGTCATTCTTCAGCCATACAACTATTAATGGAGAAATATATAAATTAAATGGCATAATTCAATACCGACTTAAACACGCACGAACATTAGATTCACTAGTATCATAAAACTGGATAAATTGAGTTTCCCTTTGTACTTTATTACCATTTGAACCTTATATTACAAAATTTCCGACCGTTCCTGAATGCAGCATTTTGCCCACCAGCAGCAGCAGCCATCCGCATCAAACAGATTTCATTCAGTGAGTGGCCGCTCCGTAGAGAACAACAGGCTACCTCCCTCTGTCCTGTGTAAGTATTACAGCCCTCTGAACCCCGAGCCTTTCCTAGAAGTTGTGTCAAAAATAATTTTAGCCATTGCCGACACTTACTGTCGCTTCATTTCCGAAATGTCTCGCGCTGAATAGGTTTAATTTCTTTCCGAAGTCATGACTGAGACGTTTGTAGACAGCGTGGTCTTTTGTTCTCTTGGTGTAAATTCTCGTTTTGACAAAGGAGTGCTGGCTGTAATTTACCCTGACCAGCTGCGACAGTCTGACAGGTGTCGGTGTTTTTTTTTTTCTTTCAGGTTTAATTTTTACTGTTATTTAAAGTACTATGTTTTTTATTTTATTTTATTTTTTACATGTTTAGTAGGTGTTCGGTTTGATTCGGTATTGAAATATTGATAGAGGACTATAAGTGAATGGGTTAAATTTGAAACATACATAATTATGCCGACTTTGGAGGTTCACACATGCTAAAGGTTTTTATTTTCTGTTTTCTTCTTTTATTCTAGGATGCTGCAAAGCTATGGGACAAAGGAAACCTGAAGAATGAAGGTTGCTATCTAACAAAGAGCCATAAAATCCACTTGGGATCCTAAAATAATGGAGCACAGGATAGCCAGTACCTCTTTGTTATAAGTCATGTTTTTTTAAGATAAATATCAAGCTATTTATTTTAGATAATTCACTACACTGACATTGTTTTTAAGTGTTGAGGAAAGTAATGGTCTTCTGTATTGCATCATCGCTGTTTCAGTGGCTTGTAAACATATTCAGACTTTAGTGTTGAGCTTTGAAGGAGACTGTTTCAGACAGAGCAGAGCTGCTGTAAATATGAGTAAAAAGATCATGCACATAGCTGGAGAGGTTCAGTCCGCCCCAGTCCTACTGGCAGGGCAGTCTTCTCTCCACTAAGTCTTCATGTGGCACTAGTTTCTGGCAGTCAGGAGTCTTCAGGAGCTGCAACATGACCTCCCCTGACAACGATGAAACAGGGAGCGACCTGTCCGAGTCTTTGGAGATCTGCGAGCTCCAGGACCAGTACACAGACCCAGAGAACTGCTTCAAGTCTAAGAGCTTACCCATCCTCAATGGACCCTGTCAGCCGGATCGAAAGGCCACAGAGTCTTGTCTGGTCAACACTGCCCACACCTGTGTAGCAGTGCAGGAGAGCAGTGAGCTCCAGCCCAAAACCCCAGACTCCAGCCAGGCAGAGTCCCCCTCATCCAGAACAGACTTCTCCCCATCTGCCTCCAGCATGGTGGGGCTTAGCAGCTCTTTACCCATCGAGGGCCACAGGGCCGCTGGAAGCAAAAAACTTGGTTTCTCCCTCACCCGCCTTATCCGCATCCCAGCCAGGAAGTACGTGCGGGTTATCCTGAGTGACTCCCGTTGCTTTCTGTTCTGCATGTGCTACCTGACCTTCATCCAGTCGCTGATGGTTTCGGGCTACCTGAGCAGTGTCATCACCACCATCGAGAAGCGCTACAGCCTGAGAAGCTCTGAGTCCGGCCTGCTGGTCAGCTGCTTTGATATTGGCAGCTTGCTGGTAGTGGTCTTCATCTCCTACTTTGGTGGAAGAGGTCAGAGACCACGCTGGCTGGCTGTTGGCGGTGTGGTCATCGCTGTAGGGGCAGCTTTGTTTTCCCTACCACACTTCATCTCACCTCCATACCAGATCCAGGAGATGAACTCATCAGCTGGCCATGAAGGTCTCTGTCAGAGCGGGAACAGCAGCGGAAGAGAACTTGATGTGGCATCTTGCCCTCGAGACCAGGAGGGCAACGAGCACAACCTGTACGTGACTCTGTTCATCTGCGCCCAGATCCTCGTGGGTATGGGGTCCACGCCAATCTACACCTTAGGGCCCACATATCTGGATGACAATGTGAAGAAAGAAAATGCGTCGCTCTACCTGGGTAAGACGATGTGGATGTGATGAAGGCAGAGCAGGGGTCTAGATCAAAGGCAGGTGTAAGCTCTGTAGTCAGAAAAAATATTTTATACTCTTTAGGGCAGACTTTTATAAAAAGTGAAGGAACTACATTACGTGTGAAAACAGAAGGCTGACTAAACACAGTTCAGACTTGCTGAGTTTATTTGAATATACACACCGGTCAGGCTGCCTGTGAGACTTACGCAGTGTGACTGTAGTGACGCAGAGCTCTCTGGTTTTTCTCTTAGTGGTCTCTAACACAATTAAGTACCCCAGCTGATTCAATTTCTATCAGAAAAAGATTAAATGTTTGCACTTTGATAGAATTAAAAGACATTTTTTGGCCTATTTGATCTTGCTGATGGTTTACCAGAAGCTTAGGAGCATGTATATCTACCCACTGAGTCCAACAATGCACTCATCCCCCCCCTGCCCTCTGTCCTTTTGATTTAATCTTCACGGCATGCAACCTCTGCACCGCACTGAGGTAAATACAGGGACTGCAAAGTCAACCTTGGGCCTGAAGCACATGTGAGGAGTATGGGGCCAGAAGCAGAACTAGGTTGCTGATGATTAATGGTCCTGTACGGTCTGTGTGTGTATGTGTGTGCATAATAATACTGCTGTGTCCTCAGGCTTGTGTGTGTGTGTGCAAAGGCTGGCAGAAAAACGGCAACTTGCTCTTATGTTCAGCCAGAAAAGCAGGTGTCTGTTGTGTTTGAGAGTTCCCAGTTTGCCCACAAATCATTTGAACATTTCTGCGCAGGTATCCTGTAATTTATGTGGCATGCTGGAGCTCTACTGGCTTTAGTAAGATCGCCTGTACAGGCATACCACATACTCTACATAGCTCTTAGAAGACTTCATGATCAGAGAAGTAATCCCTCTGTCTGTCTGTGGTGGACTGTAGCTGGGTTATTGGGACACGGGGCGCCCCTCAATCTGGTCAGTGTCTTTCACAGATGGTTAGTGTCCCGCTGACCTCTGTGTAGGACGAAAACGAAAGTTGTTTTGTTCATTTAGGCGAATTGTTTGAATGGGTTGTCGATAAGCTGTCTCTTTGTTTACATTATCTCAAAGGTTTCTTGGGTCATTCTCACCTTGCTCTCTTCTTTTTGAATGTTTACAGTCATATGGAGAGTGATGCATTGACTATTTTGGACAAAAAGTAAACAAATAGTCACGCACAATGCTGACACTAGCTCTTGATCACAACATAACACAACCTATGAAGCAAATTAGCTGCCTGGTCCTTTTGCAGCCTGCTCCCCCTGCCCCTGAGACCCAGTATTGATCAAACCCCTGCGTCACAGGGAGCCAATGCAGCATAGCTATTGAACCTGTGAAAACAAGGCAAAAACAGCCTCGAACAGAGACTTATTATGTCCCAGTCCACGAAAAAAACAAAACAAAAAAACCCCATCATCTCTCTTAAGGCTCCTTGATTCATCACAGTGAAGACACACACTTGTCTAGCTATCCACCACAAGCAGCACTTACCCAGCTGACCTTGATGGTTTCTCTCAGAGGATAATCAGTTTGGTTCCAGCAAAGCACAGTTAGGGAAAACAGGGGACATGTTCTGACATGTCAGAAGGAGCAGATAAGTGGGAGAGAAAAGACATGTCCTTGATTTGTATTTCAGATAACCATGGTAACCGTGCGTCTGCTTTTATTATTCTCTATGATTCTGAGGACACTTTTATCTGTGACGCACGATGTAGTATTTGGCGCATGAAGAAATGCATTTAAGTGAGGAAGTCCAGGTGGTGTTGGCCTGTCATTGGGGTTAAAGTGGAGTCAGTCCTCAGGCGTCAGGATTTGTTCCTCACATTTCACAGCTAAGAGAATTTTGAAGGCGCTAAAGAATGAAGTAAAAAGAAATGTCATTATTTTCCTCCCTCTTCTCCCTTCAAGGAGAAAACAGAGTCGGCTAAAACTAAACCTGTTCTCCCAGAATTTCTCAAAGCAATTTCTCTGTTTTCCTGACTTAATTTGTTTAATATAGGCTACCCATTTCTCCAGGAGTCTTCCCCTATATATGCACCTTGAGGTGTTTTTTCCCCCCTAGAACCCATTAATTTAAACCCCATTTCAATTTACACTGGCTCAGAGGGGAGGAGCTGCTCGCTTTTGTAGGACAATGCAGTTTATGCTGAGAGGTACTTCTGGTGCCCTTGGAGGGAGAGAGTGTGCATGTGTTTTCTTTCAGGATGTTATCTTTGTGTATGCATGCATACACAGAGGGCATTCCCTCTAACCCGTCGCCCCATTTCCCCACTCTGGCCCCACATCTCTATGGCAATGTAACCGGCTCGGCATTTGAACTTTTACTCCACTTTATGTGGAAATGGTGAAATTAGGGTACACCCTATTTGGCTCTAAGGATCTTCTTGAGGGGCTTTGTGGATTTTATAGCGTTTTGACCTGACAGCCCCAGTGCCAATGTATCCACTGTGTGAATTTCTCTTTCCCTCCACTATCTACTCTTTCCCTGCTCTGGCAGATTTATAGTACACCATTCTTGGCGTCTCTATGGTGAACGTTTGTCTGTGTCCTTCCTTGAAAGGCCACTCCATCTTATGAGAAGGTGGCTCATTGTTTCATCAAGTGAGGGTTCAGCTGAAAGTGAACTTGTTTGAAACTGTTCAGCGTCTGTTGTCTCTGCTGTTTCTTAATGTCTCCAGCATCTAACAATCTGTCAACATTTGGTTTGATTTGGCAACACGATGACCCACAGATCAAAACGATCAATAATCTGCATTCTCCTCATCGAATTGTTGATCCATTCCAAGCTGTGCACAGTGGCTGTTGACCTCTGTTTCATTTTCCGCTGATGGCCTCTGTGATTTACAAACTAATGATGCTGAGAAGATCTTATTGATGTGGGACAAATGTGGAGGTCAGCTCTGATTAGATTGCTGTCTGAGTGTCAACAATGCCCTCTGGGAGGGGCATGAACTCAGTGAGTGTGCAGCAATGGCATTTCAACTGTTATTATCACTCCTTTTTATACACACTGTTTCTTTTTATGAGTTTGCCATTGTCAATACGATGTAATTGTGTTAAGATTAGCCTGGTCAATACTGGATTTTTCAGACCCATCCAAAGAGCAGTTTTAAAACTGTTCCAACTAAAACATGACTGATATGATGACCGATATAAGGCATTTCAAACCAAAGGGAACAAAAGCAATGTATGTGCATAAACTTATTTTGCATTCACAGGAGTGTAAAAAGACAGTAACTAGGGCTGTCCCGATACGATATTGATATCGGTCCGATATCAACCAAAAAAGGAATATCTGATTATATCGGTCAGCATCTAAAATCTTAGATATCAGCACTCCGATACAAGCAGTCCATTCCAGACTCCACTCCAGCACCTCTAGCTAGCAGCGCCCGGTCCCAGTGATCTGATCACAACATCAGTGTGTACTAAGGTACAAACAAAGTAGCAAGGAGGAGGAGTGATGTCGGCTGTATGGCAGTATTTTTAGTTAAAGTCCAAAAAAGACATTGCAGCTGGGTGTAAAACTTGTCATGCGCAAGTTTGTGTCAATATCTGTATTGGCAGATACTGAAGGTTACAATATCGGTATTGTTTATCGGAAGTAAAAAAGTTGTATCGGGACACCCCTAATAGTAACATTAGTATCAGTAACAGCCTCTAAAAACACAGTATTGGCTGGCATTGCTTCAGTACACCAAGCTGATACCATTACCAGTTAGCCTTAGATGACTAGCTGGTTTGAGGGGAATTATCTTTTGACAGATACAAGGAAACAATAGTGAGATACCAGTGGAGAATGTAAAGTTAGCCAATTTTGTAAAACTTCAGCAATCAGTGTTTCTTCACAAATGTAATATCAATACTCATATCAAATGAAACAATATTGGTATAAAAGCTTAGGAAGCTCTTTATCCGTGTGGGTGGATCAAAAAATTTTAGCTGATAAGCACGGCGAATAAGGTGTAGCATCGTGTATTTGTACTTTATGTCAGCTTGCAGGCGCCAACTCAGAGCTTCAGCATGTCAGCTGTAAAGAAGTAATCATCAGCCAACATATCTGTAATATGCCAGTGTTGGCTGATGGTTACATCCAATCAGGTAATGCAGTTTAGTTATCCTCTTATTTTTATTCAGGATAAGGTTAATTGATTCCTCCTGGCTTACAATCCTGCTTCCTTTGCATTCGCTAACCGTCAGTTAAAATGACTCTTAAACTAACATGCTGTTGTCCAGTCCATGGTCTGCTGTGTGAATTATTAATGCTGTATTAAGATGCTCATGGAAAACCAAAAGCGTGTGTCCTAACCTCAGCCTGACACAGTGGCACTGTAGAGGACTGTTTATTTACCAGAGAGGAGGAGGAAGAGGAGAGGGAAGAAGAAAAGAGGTGGTGCTCAGTTCAGATAGAGGAGCTTTAACACCCGCAGGGACAGCTTGAACACTGGTCTTGTCTTCCCCCTCTCTCTCTCACACACTCTCGCATGCTCATGTAAGCACAGGGGTGTGTCCTCGGCTCTCTCCCCCTGACAAATTTAGAAAGAACAGTTGCTCTCAGTCTCTCTCCATGAAGTGTGTTAGAAAAACACAGTCGCGAGCGGTTAGTTTGCAGCTGTACCTCGCTGTCTTTTTATTTTTTTCCGACTCAGGATTATCAGGAACAGCTCTGGCACGTCCCCTTCCGTGCTCAATCAGTCAATTGCATTTAAATGTGTGTCCTCCTGTTCTGCTTAGCAGCCAAAGCAAATGCAGATTGTGCACACACAGACACAAACACACAAGTCCCCAGAGAACCTGCTTTCTCTGCTCTGCCAGATCACTTTTCAGGACGGGTTGGGGTCCACGTTTGGCCCCCGTCAGAGGCTGGCACACATTTAGAAAGATTGCCGGTGCTGGTTCATCACTGTCCCCCTGGCTTATTCTCGAGGAGGTTTTAAATATCGCAGCCCACTTTCTCTCCACTCTGTCTTGTTGGCCACACAGACCCTCAGGGTTACTCAGCAGCAGGTGACCTTTCAGCAGCAAACTGAAGGGCTGCCAGCTCTTACTACTACTACTACAGGCCCCTCTCTGAGGCTGATCCTGTGTCACTGGTGGTGACTCTAAAATCAGTGGTATTTTAACTCTCTGTGAACCTTAGTTTCTTTCAGACACCTTCTTTTTATTTTGAAAGAGTGGGATTAAAAGGAAAAGATGCAAAGTGTAGAAGGGCAGTAGTTTCTAGAGGCAGGACTCTCAACAGCAACAACTGAAGTGAAGTCATTGTTTCAGCTGTTTTGGCCGGTGGTGACTTATGGCTATTTCTCAGTGTTGGGATATAGTTGTTTTGACAGTGTGGGAAGGTTCCTGGGGAAATGCCACTAGAGGTTTGTGTGATACAGGGACGCTGAGAAACCTTTTGTTTCCAGCTATGTGGGGAAGAAATAGACTTTCTTTTTTCTTTGTTCCAGCTGACTCTTTGGTCGACCAAATCCTACTTGATCCCTGGCTCAGAATTGAAATTAAATAATGCCCTGAAATCACTTTGAAGTGGTTTAATTGTCCCTACATAGAATTATAGCAGGGGATTGTTACTTCTTTTCCGCTTTTGTGACATTTAAACATTGGGGATTGAGTCTGAAAATAAAGCGTTGCTGATTTTTCTGGCTGAGTGGTTTACTAGTTTTTCCAGATGTTTGCATTAACTTCCTGCATCACCAACCATGAATCCTGATTATCGAACATCATAAGGGTTTTCATGATTATGCTAAGCACATGTCTAGTCGGACAAATTAATTTCTTACTAGCAAAATGGACAAGTAATGTATGTAGCTAATCATGTTTCTATCATTTCGACAAAAAGTCAATGCTGTTTTTACCTCCCCGGTTCTCCCCTGAAACATTTTATGGCCAATGAGAATCAAACAAAAGTCCACTTTGCTTCAGACGTCCTCTGCCTTTTCATGTCAGCAGGCTGAAAGCTCTTGAAAACCTACAGCCTCTCTCAGCATTCTCCCTGATTAGACTAATCAGCAGTGTAAACAGAAACATGCCCTCCCTTTTTGCCAGTTGTGTCCAGTGGAGGAAATGAGTTGTTGTCAATAATGAGCAGATGTTTATCTGTTGCCAAGGGGTACAGTATGTCCTGTGATGGTTATCGCCACAGAGGGTACGGTTGCTATCAAGGACTGGACTCCAAATTCATAGATGCTGAGACACTGAGCTTCTTGAGGAATCAACATATTGAACTCGCGTCAATTCTCTTTGGATCACAGGGTTCCGTACTGAGCAAAGACAGCCTGTATGTCAGTGTGAAGCTGGACTACATTCCCTCCTCTCTTGTTTTGTGCTTCGTATCATCTCAGCTCAGCCCAACCTTTAAGTGTATACTGCCTTTAGCGTGTTATTAGGAGTGTTTGCTTCAGTTTGTAGTCTCCTTTTCTAGTGTTTTGCCCTCAGAGCAGTGGACCGGCTATTGTTCTCCTTGACCCCTGTGCTGCAAAGATGAAAAATGAGGGAGGAAGGGCTGCTGGTGGGAGAAAAGCTAATGGCATTTATATTAGTGTAAGACTACGAGGAGCATAAAAAGATGTGCTATTTCAGAAGAATTGTGTTTTATCTTATTAAAAAAAGGCAATATATCCATGTGTTTTGTATATTGCCGTTATTATACCTTGAATGTTCTCTCCTTGTCTTATATTGGCTGTTTTCCCCGTCTGACCTTCAGCTGTTATTTCACCATCCCTGCTGCACATAGCAGACCCATCTGTGTTAAGCCCCCAGGAAGGACAGGGGCGCCCCGTTCTGAGGGAGATGGATGGAACTAAACGTTTTCTGACCTCACTCAGTGGGTTTGCCACTGTGTACACACACACACACTCATGCGCACAGGCCTGCAGACTTGGGCAAATTTTAGCTGTGCACATTCATCTGTCTGTCTTAGCAACTGTGCCGGGCTGTGGCAGACTCCACTGAATGTGGTGCTGAGCTGGTTATGCTTTAGACAGAACATGCTGATAACATGTTAACATATAACTATGGTTCAGCACATTGCTTTGACAGGAGTTTTCTCCTGGGCATGAGGTGCATTTGGAAGGAAAAGCTTTCTAACAAACTAATACAGGTCTATAGTGGTATAAAAATGCTACATGATCATTTTTAAAGCCTGCTGCTTTGGGGTATTTTTCAGGAAATCTGTTTTTTTTCCCCCTGAAGCTGTTTGTTCTACATTTAGGGGGCCTGGTTGTTGTAGCCTGCTTAAGGGGTGTGCAAATGGTGACAGAGCAGCTGTTGGGATCTGGCAGCTTGCTCAAAGGGGGTGTCTTTGCACGTACATGTGTGTTTGGTAGTGCGTGCACCTGCAGTGGGAGTGGGTAAGGTTTGGGGTTTATGGGGGAAGGGGGGGTAGTAGTTGGCAGTGAGTGGGAGGTGGAGTTTTGCATTGCAGAGACTGTACAGTAAGTTTTCCTGCATGCATGCGGCGGCATTTAAACATATGTACCTTTTGTGGAGCGACTGCAGTGAAGTCTGACCCATAAAAACGTAGAGAGTGACATCATACGCCCCTGTCACAGTGTGTAGGAGGCGCCTCTGCAGCAGCACACTGAGTTCTTTTCTTACCTGCATGTACTCCAAACAGTGTTAATGAAAAGTGCGCCCTCCATCTGCGCTGCTGTGCCTGGCATTTATATCTAATTCTAATGAAGGGTTATTAAAGCAGTAGATTATTATTGTTAAGATCGCATAAAGCTCAGCCATTAATACGTCATCATTTAGCATTTTACACACTTTTAGTCTTGCATAGAAAATGGAGCTAAAAAAACTCATGGTGCACACAGATTTGGGGCAGAGTGGGGGTGGAGTATGGGGGACTCTAAGCGTATCAGACCAGATTGCTGTGCCATGTCTGTCAATGAAAGCGGCTGAAAAGCTGCAGGTGCTTGTGGGAAACTAATACCTAAACCCCATAGCCACCGCTCTAATGGATTCACACATGCACTTGGTCCCTAAGCATAATGTGGTTATACCCCCTCAACCCAGATGCTCCATTCATGGCCACTCACCAGCTGAAAGATTGTATACCAGCCCCTCACAGGCTGGAACATTATGCATGCGTAGACGAACACGCAGAGCGGTGGCAGACTTTGTGTGTTCCAGGCTACATTTGGGAGCACTTCACTCAAGTGTGTTTTGGCAAGAGGGAATGGACGGGGGAAATGTAAAGATTTGCTTAGAGTAGCTAGATGAGGTTTTTTTTTCTTCAGAAGTTGATTAGAAACAAATACTGACGGGCTGCATGATTATGCCCAAAATGATAAAGACTTTTGCTTAGATCTCTACCATCCATTCTGATTAATCTTTGATTTGAGGGACATATTTTTAAAACAGAAATCATGCATGTCATTTGCAGGGAAAAAAATCAGCTCAAGCAGTGGCTCACTTTGTCCCTTTGCTTTACTAAAACACACTATCTGATCCTCCTGCTCTTTGAATTTTTTGATGTTATTCTCAGGTTGCCTCGTTTGGTCCGGACTTTAGGACTTTTTGGTTTGATCCAAACCAAAATGTCATGTCTGAACACTCCCCCTGACCACGGTCCCGACTTTTGTTGGACCAAACAAGCTGACCATGGTCCCCCAAAAAAGTCGAGACTCAGTCCAGTTTGAAGTGAACCATGTTCTGGTTCGCTTCAGGTGAGAATGTAACCGGACTTCTTATAAGACCAAATACAGGAAGTAAACCAAAACAGCAGGGCATCAGAATAGGAAGCGAAGGGTCTTTGAGCGCTAGTAGCCTGACGGAGAGGAGGAGGAAGCTGACGCGTTATAATTTATCACACCAGAATGTCTGAAACTACCGGCAAAAGGACTGGTTACGTCGGAAATCAATACTACAGTCATTAATGATTCACATCCCATCCCGAGGTGTACTGGCTAGAATTCTTGTAATGTTGAAAACATACCTCACTCGTCTTCTGTGTAATAAATACAAAGAAAACATATCATAGGCGCCCATAAGGGCCCGCCTTCTCCTTCGATAACGTCCTCAGAATCATGTCACACAGTCTATGGTCATGGCTCACATGTCTCCATCTGTCCTTGTTGCAGCACCATATCAATTTAATAGCTGTCCAAGCTAATGCTTTACGCTGCTGCTGCTCCATTGTTGACGGAAAAAAATGACAGAAGGTGATTTTCTGACCAATAGCTGAGCGACCTGTAGACCGCATGTGATTTGTTTACTAAAAAGGTACGTTTCCGGATCAGAGGGAGTGAAAGTGACCTCAGTTATGGATTGCTAAAATAAATGGCATCATAAACAATGAAAAGCTTCACTGATAAGTGGATCCTAAGTGGTTGAAAATATATAAAGTGAGTGTTGTCATTCGGGTAACTTTTATAAAATGAGCTGCTGATGAATAATGTTTAATACAAATTGGAAACAGACTTTATAGGGTTATGCATTTCTACTTTGCCTTCAATCTTGTTTTACAGAATAGCCAATATTTACCATGAAAGACCATTTTTGAATGAGCATTTTTTTGCCAATTTTATCTCCTATTAGACGAGTAATCCTAACCTTAAGAGACTGATTGTAAATTTAAGAGGGAACAGCACACTCCCTGTCCCTGCATGTTAACCTGCCTCTGCATCACGTTTTGCACACTTGCACCTATTTTCCCTCCTTGTCTCAAGAGGTTTGAAGAGGTTCCACTGCCTGAAATCGCACATAACAGTCCCTTTCAGTTAGAAACCATAAGCATTTACTCTAGGATGAAGTGTGGATTGCTTATTTGTGTAACTGTAAAGGGAGCTAAAGTTTGAAGAGTGTTGGATTTGGAGGGACACATAATATTGATGAATAAGCCATTTAAATGGTTTTACATAACGTGACTGCATGAAAGACTTTTAAGAAAACGAAAGCAGTAAACTTATTTGGAGTAGAAGAGGCACAGAGGAATTAGCACATTTCTGTCAGGCTGTGTCTTTGAATGACGTTTCATCACCGAGCCAGTTAAAGAGAGCTGTGTCGGTCTCATTGGCTTGTCACAGGGGGAGATTGCAAGAGAGACAGAGTGGAATAGGTCTAATAAATAACACTTTATAAGGCTAGCACAGATGGTGAGACCGTCTTTCTTCCTTTTCCAACTAACTCTTGACTGACAACAGTTGAATAGCTGCACAGAAAATAGCTCCTGGGTCCCGCTGAAAACAGAATTTAATACGGCACAGACGTCAAACGTGAATCATTATTCACTTGTATCTACAGTCTTCAGTTTGAGTTCATTAAATAACAAGTGAATGTGCGTACAGAGCTGTTTGGTACAGGTCTTATCTGGTTTGCCTCACAATAAACTTACTGAGAACAATAAATGGGCCTTGGTTGAGTTTGCAACTACATCAGTCAGAGAGATGTTTATTCATGCTTAAATACAACAGTCTCAATGGGTTTATGGGAAAAAAAGGCAATTTCTATCAAGTGATTTACTTTATTTGCAGACATAACTGAATCAAAGCACCAAGATGCATTGAAATAAAATTGAGTTATTCACCATGAGCATCAGTCAGGAAACTGAGATATATAAACAACAATTGGTGCGTAAATAATCAATCATAGTGTTATTTATCTCGACATAAACTGCAAGGGGATTTTATAAAGTAACCCTTCCGCTTTCCCTCAAGCAAGTCTTTGAATCTTTTGTCCCGAACAGTGTTTGTCCGTCTGACAGTGATGGATTCAGAGGCCCAGTCGCTTGTTATAATGCAGCATTCAAAGAGCGAGCAGCTGTGGGGTGACCTGATATGCATCACTGGCTGGATTCTCCTTCCATCACCATGTTCCCAGTTTGTTTTTTTTTCGCTACTTTGCCATTTAGATTTCTTTGCAGTCAGCCTTACTCCCCGGCCCATCTGCCCCTGAAATGGATTCTGGTGGACATCAGCAACAGCAAAGTTGCATTCTTTTGCTGTACATGCAGGTCCAGAAGCCTGAGGGCAGCACCAGAATCAGCAGAAACTTGCAGTTTGGTGTCAGAGGTAGGAGCCATGACCTCAAAAGTTATGCAAGGGAAAAAGAAGAGGGTCCCTGAGGAAAGCCTTGTGTGATAAGGTTTATGAAGGACGCTGCAAATGCACTTTTTTTCTTAGTGAAGTTGCTGGTTAAAGCAGTTAATTTTTGAAGAAACACATGCAAGCGTCTGGCAGAATTTTAGCTTCACCAGCTGGCTGACTACTGTACCGAAATATCTGTCCTGCAGATTAGGAAAAGCTAGAAATAGAGAAAACCCTGCTGTGATCCTTTTTACTTCATTTTTCTACATATTTGATTTAGCAAAGTGAGTCCAGGAAGCCCCTGCATGGAAAGCGAAACAGCTTTCATGAAAATTTAATTACAAAATACTGTTTAGGCTTTTCCCTTTCCTGCAGTTAGATGTACGATGTGCGAAACCTTCACAACTTCTTCCTTTTTTTTCTTCCACCCTGATGACAGAATTCATTTCAACCTTGTGCCGCATCTTCACAGGATCTCTGAATTGGATCTCCACCTGCCCCTTTTTTGTATCTCACCCCTGCATCATCAATCATGCACCACATCAGCACATGACATCTGGAGGAGAGACAGGGTCACTGGGTCATAGTGTGCTGTAATCTAAGGGAGGGGGATGGATGGGAAAAGTCAGTGCCAAGACTCTGATCAAATTCACGATGCCCCTTGTGACTGGTCGTATCTTTGCTTAAGGGGCTTATAACATAAATGGCAGGAATTAAAGTGGTACCAAAGCCCACTGGGTGGCCTGAGAGTTGATTTCCAAGTACGAAACGCTTTGATGTTGCTGATCGTGTGGTTTCGCAGAAGTCACGTCTCTCTAAGTCTTTGCACCAGCCTGTGCTGTCTGCACGCCAGGATCAAAGGTCTGTTCTTAATCCATTAAGATATTCACCCCATCCTGCATCTCCCTACATCGTGTACTCCACCGCTGCATGATCTGAACTTCACTCCTATCTTAGCCTTTTAACCACCCACTGTTCTGCCTGTGGGATGCCAGAACTGCATGTTCTTCGCTCTCAGGCTGCCACTGTACTTTTACATATTTTATGAATAAAAGGAGAGCACATAGAGTACATGTATGAGTAGATAATGTTTTAGTTTTTCTGGACATTGTGGTCAATTTAATAAATAATCTCCTGTCTTCACAAATGATACAACATGAAAGTTACGGTCTGAGTCCAGGTTATTGCAAGTGTTCAAATGAGAAGGTTGTGATGTACAGTAATTTGGTAAAAACGTAAATATAATCAGAAATTATGTTTTGATTTTGAAATAATTTGCTTTCTCATACTGATAATAAATCCTGTTTTTAAACTATTTTGTTTTAGGTTTCTCATAACGGTGATGTGAATAGAGCGCAAGAAGCAACCGATTGAGGTTATACACCTTGTATCTTTGTGAGCGGTCTCTTACAGACTGCAGATGTCTTATGTTTAGTCGACCCAATGATTGGATGTGGTCAACCTCACAGGCCGGTACCACAGTTACTGGTCAGTCACAGACACTAATAAGACTTTTGTCAGTATAAACTTCAAAATAATGGTTGTTTGCTGTCTAACATGTAGGCAGAATTGTAGCTTTGCTAAATAACAGCTGCTGTAATGCTAATGCCATGCATAACAGTGGTAAAAAAAAAGCACAAATGACAAAAAGCACAGATGGTAAGATCAGTATTTTTTATCTAGAATCTTCCCATAATGAATTGAGTAGAATTGTATCGTCTCAAAGGCTTGGCTGCACTGTCACATTGTCGGCCTGCAGATCTCGTGTTTGGCTGTTTTGAATGATTTGTGCAGACTATTTTTTATGACATTCGTGGTTTAAATAGTCAGGAAATATGGACGATAGAGAGTGGGGGTAAAACATGCAGAGAAAGGGGAATGGCTGGGAGTCTAACCTGTTTGCTGCTGCAACAAGGATAGTGGCCTTGGTATGTTGGGTGTACTTGAACAGTCAGGACAACCTGTGCCTCCATTGTACTCAATTTTGACTGTTTCCTGAGTGGCTTCTTATCTTTAGAGCATCTATCAAAATTTGTTGCCCTTTGAACAACCAGGAAACTAGTTGATTTTGAGCATCCTGGTTTTAGGCATGTTATTATGAACTGATTGATATTGAATGCACCACAGCTATTCCTGTAAGTTTATGTGATTGCATGTGGTCCAGGTTGAACTAGTGGTCTGTTTGTAATCATTAGCAGGGCTGAGTGTGTCATAATTGGCAACCACAGGACTTCACACAACCATGTCTTGATTAAATGTAATTAAGTGGTGAAAAAAAAGGTAGCGTACAAGATAAAATAATTAAAGCTGGAATGTAATAAAATGTCACCTTTAAGAAAATTAAAAAAACACGGAGTCAAAGGGGCGCAGCGTGCTCCAGATTGTAATAGATACTCTCTTTCCATCAGTCTGTCAAGTTCACACTCAGTTTACTGCCAATTGTATGCAAACACATGCAGCAGCATATTTATAGACCTGCTGCTGAGGCTTTGCTCTGTTTCGGTGGCCAAACAGACTGGTTGTGCTAAACCAACTGCTGTGCCACTGCAAAGCTAAATCTGCATGTTATTATCACAGAGACAATATCTGCCAGCTTAACACATGGTGGAGAGATAACTTCCTGACCTGTTTGTAACATTCTTAGAGCGGTGGAGCTGCAGTTTGTGCTCGTGTGACTGTAAAAATGGATTTAATTTTGGCTTGTTTGCCATTGGCTACACTAAGAGGATTTGTGTTTTTATCCGTCATCCCAATCATACCCATCCGATCACCCATATCAGTCCAAAGTGTGTCTATATCTGTATTCTCTGCCTTACGCAGAATGAGGATAACAGATCAAGTTTGCTATATTAATTCAACCTTTTTTTTATCTGCCTCATTCTTGCGCCCCACCTCAGAAACCCTCGTCCTTAACTTTGGCGACATCTCAACGTCTTTAGGTTTCCCACTTGCATCTCCCACTTGTGTCATTCACGCGCGACGTAGCCCCGCCTACCAGAGCTGCATGAAGAGAACGAAGAGAGGAGAGAGTGTACTAGGAAGTTTGTTGTAAGACACATGAGACTTCTTTTCCCCCCCGGGCCGTCACAGACAAACTCCCCTCAGATTTAAGGCTCACTCTTTTCATGGAGTAAAGAAGAAAAGAAATAACACAAAATCTTAAGCGTTATCCTATGTTGTATTGGTTTTATGACAGTTATACTCGATATCTTTTGCTTAATATTCTTGTCAGACCCTTTTTAATCTCAGCTCATCACATACTGACTGTTAAAAAAAAAAAACAGGGCTTTCCTTAGTGACTGTTTTAAGGTCTGTCTCTTCCTCATTGTTAAACTCCAGTGATGTGAAGGTTCATTGAAGTCCACTCTGCAGCATCCAATCAGTGAGTGATATGGTGTCTGTCAGTGAAAGGAGTCTCGTGACGGCTGCTTTTGTGCACCCTCACTCATCATTCCCCTGACTTCCCTCCTCTATCCTCTCTCCTCTGTCCTCCAAGCTGTGTTAAGGGCTTTGGAAGACCACTTAGCATGGCAGGTCTATAAGTACTCATGGCTTGCCGAGGACTGAGGACAGAGGAGACTGCGGTTAATAGTTTTGGGATCCAGGGTTTAAATTGTCATTTTTTCTGCTCATGTCCTCTCTCAATGTCTCATTTTTTTCTTCACGTCACTTCCTTCAGGACTTTTCTAAATCTAAAGCTCTTGTACCCATCAAGACCCTTTTCCATTACCTACCTAATGCTTAATGCAAGAGCACACACTATGCACAAATATCTAATATGCCAATAGGAAGGTGCAGGCAGGTTTAACATTTGTTTTTTAGCTGCCGCTGTCATAAATCATTGCATGTAAACTATTTAGAAAAATCTGGTGTTTATGACAAACAAACGGAACCACAAATGCTCAAGTCTGTCTGTATTTATGTAACACACAAAATCGGGGCCTTGTCTGAGTTAAGCACACTGCCAATATGCTGCAAATCTGCCAATCTTCTGATTTTATCTGCAAGAGGACACTCAGTGCTTAAAGGTACACAGTGTAGTATTTAGAAGAACAGACTTGATAGAAGGACAGTGGGATCTCTGAATGTAAGAATACATTTGTTTTTGCCATTTTTAAAGAAGCCTTTTATGGGAGCGGGACCCCTGTCCAGAGAGGTCGCCACCTTATACTATCATGTTCCTTCTGTGGCACAGCCCGGACAAACTAGTAACATATGGATTAGTATTTAGAAAGTGGCTGTTTGAAATGTGTCTGCTGAAGAAGAGAGCGGTTTTTGTGCGAAATGAATCTGTTATAGATTTTTTTGATTTAAGAAACAGAGGTTTAGAAATACTTACGGTGCATCAGAGACGTTGATAGTCCTCGAAGGCCTCTGTTCCCTCACTGACTGGAGGAGTGAGCAAGTAAGCCTCTTAATGTATCATATGACCGCTAGATATTATAATTGAATTTGTATGTAGTATCTTTCGTGCTCAGCTGTTTGTGTGAAAAGTTTTATTCTCTGTTCATTGAGCCCTTTTATAATTGAAGGCATCAGGACAACTGTGCTGATGAATGTGCACAACAGGACATTGCTTTGCCATTTTGTACAGACATCATTCATTACCTTCATTAAATGACATGAAAATAACACCAGGATGCTGCACAGTCAGTAACCCTACAAAACTGAGCACAAGTCAGGCTCATCTGTATTCTGTCTGTTACTGCAAGAAACATTAGATCACTAGAATTTATTCATTTTCCTCTCCTTGTAAAATAAATACATTTAAGCTACATTTGTTTTATTACTGAAATGCATTATGTGATTATGCCGCTCTAGCACATTTATGGATATGTGAAAGTTTAAGCCCAGAGATAGAAGAGCATTCTGACAGAAATGGTTTCATGATTTATGGAGAAAAACATAAACATGCTTTTGTTTAATTTTGCCTTTCTATGCGACTTCGCTGTTAGAAACATCCAGTTATTCACACGGACTGCAAATGTAAAACGCAGTGCTTCTGCATCCTGCTGCCCTCCATCAGCCACACAATATGATGATTTCCCAAAGAAGAGCTCTCAGTTTAATTGAGCTGTTGTTTTGAGAGAGCTGTGAGACCAGAGACGTGACTGGTAACGTTTGTAACCGTTAATCAAAAGTGTCCCGTCATCTTTTCATTTCTGCTTTTTGCACAGCTTTACAATAAGACAGCTTGAATGATAACAAAACAATGCAAAATGAAAGAGCGGCACGACACAATCTTTCCACAAAAAATGGATTTAGTGAAAACATTCCTATTGATATTATAACAGATTTCTACTTTTATAACGTATGCGTATTAATGCAGTTTTTTGTGTGTCTGTCTGTATTTGTGTGAGTCAGAGAGGCCATAGTCCCCCCTGCATGCCCTCAGGGTAAAACTGTAAGGTTAGGACTTGTAAGAAGACACTGCTATGTCAGCAAGTCGCCATGACAATGCCGTCATTCCCCCTGTTTCATTGTCTTTTTTCTCCTCTTGTCTCTGGGCTGGTGGAGGTCACATGACAGAATTGATCCCTCATACCACAGGGATACATGCAGTGCTGTCCCTTTCTATTTGCTCTCTTTCTAACAGCAGCATAGATCATCTGTCGTACAGCTGTCACCTGCAGCCACACTTCCCACCGAGCTGTAGACACTCAACTGTTTAGCGCTGTATCAAAACTGTGGGTGCTGCTGACGCATTTCATAAAGTAGATGTCATTTAATAAGGCAGAACAGCTGATTTTGATTAATTTCGGTCACATAGCAAGTGTGGAAATAGATTATTCTCTCAGGTCAGTGACAGTATGTGTGCTGCGGAACGCTGCACGAATCAGCTTGACATGGCTCTTAAGTAATGCTGAAAGATAATGTGGAAGCATCTTTTTAGAGATTAGACAGACGCTGTAATGCATTGAATACAAATCCAAGGTTGTTGTGTAGCTGCCTGCCATCCATTCCCAGCCTTGTTTGGAGGCTGATCGAGCTTTGTAGGCTAATAGCCAGGTGGAGGGCTACATAATTTATTGAAAGCAAGTTTCGAGCCAGAGAGCGGGAGCCAGACTCATACCTCAGCAGCCTTTATTGCGAGGAATTGACAAGAGAGAAACGAGTCCCAGAATAAATAAGACTTCCTGCACATGGCCTGGATGTAAACATAACCAGCCTTTGCATACACAAATTTTACCCTATTCAGTTTATGTCGAGTTGCATTTGCAATAAAAAGACTGTCTGACACGATGGGTCTTGTTGTGAATTGCAGCCTCAACCTTGTAACCCCACAGTGTTCGGACAAGTAATGAAAGTCCTGTCCTGTCTTTTGTCCACGTAATTAAATCAAATCATTAATCTGTGGTAATGAGTCTGGCCACAGGGGAGCTGCTTCATTAGGTGCAATGTGCTTTCTCATCAGGTCTGGCTTGCTGCTCGTTCACTTCCTTCTTCTTCTGCTGCTCTGGCTGCGTCTTGGGGGTGAGGGGTGAGGGGTGAGGAGAACAGAAGGTCAAGAGGGGTTGAAGGGGGGTGGGGATTTGGCAACTTGGACGCCATTTTATTGTTTTGACTCAAGTTCCATTCATAGCTGAGACAACTAGGAAGATAGTGAGGCACTTTTCTGTATTTGTAACAAATATTTGACTCTAAATCAACCATTCAAGTAACACGTTTAGGTTATATTGAGCTTCTCTGTTAACCGACTACAATTAAACGCTTATTGACACATACTAATGAATGTTATTATATTCCTTTTCTACACAATTTGTTCTGCCAAGATAAATTTTATAATCGTTATCGCATCGACAGCCTCTGGTTATTAACCTTATTGAAATCAAGCTCCTGCCTCTCACTGTTTCCACTCCTTGCTGCCGTTCTTCCTTCTGTGTTACCTTCATTAATTTCTCTTGAATGAGCCGGTGCAGCTCATGAATACAGAGGCTTTCACAAAGTGTGGAGGAGGCAGCATGGAGACAACAGAGCAGCGCCGGTCCCTGAAGGTTAGATGTGAGAGGGATGTTGCTGAGCAAGCTTTATCACTCAGTTACACAGCAGGATCAGTCACCACAGACTGCAGCCCGGCTCCTCTCCGATTCTTTACGTTCAATAACTCCCCAATCTCTCCCCTCTTCTCTGATGTTATTATGTTTCCTCCATCCCGATCTGTTTTTCCTTGTCACCGCTGCCTCCTCCTCCTCTCGCTTTTAAATTTTTATTTCTTCCTATGTGCCACTTTATCAGATCATTTTTTCCTGGAGTATAGCTGAGTGAACCTCTTTTTTTTCGTTTGCCTGACATTGCCACGTCCATCCATCACAAACTCTGCAGCTGAAACACCAAAGTGGGGTCAATGATGCACCATAAACCCTCTAACCTTATTCATCCCTCATTGTTACCTTTGATGCCCTTGCACCTCCCCCTACCTTGTTATCACGTGCAGGAGCGCAAGCGTCCATGTGTGTATGAAGGAAGCAGAGCTGGCTGACCTTGGTTGACGTTGAAGTCACTGAGTTGTAATTGATCCATTGATGCTTCTTGATTGGCTCTTTTTTTATGTCCATGTGCGGTCTGTTTTTTATATCCCAGCCTTGTGCAATAAATTCTCCCCCGAACCTCATTAATATCTTAATGCTGATATTGGTTTCTGCTTGTAATATGTTAACTTGCACGCTCTGTGACTTCATCCCCAATTTAAATCTTCTCATGCATGTCTAATGTGTGTATGTAGTCAGCACAAAATCCTCACAACGTATTGAAAGTCAGACTGGATGGTCATGTAGTTGGTTGAGATGCTGACTTTGTATAACATAAGGGAGAAAAGCCAATAACTGCAGCAGGGGCTCCTAATCCATTACTCCACACGTGTAGACAGCCATATGGAGCCGGTAATGTTTGTCCTTCACGTGCGGCTGGTAAAGGTCTATTGCGTAATTGAGCAAAGTGAGCCTGTGATGCACCATGCATTCCACATTGGCATGCACCCCCAGTGCTCTGCTGACGTATATCATCGCAGCATGTGTGTTAGTGTGTGTGACGGAGCGCTGCCACTCTGCCAGCATATTCCTCAATCCAGCAGCTCTGCCCCAGTTGCCCTTCAGCCCAGTTACAAGCCCTCCAATCCCCTCATCCCTGAATATCCCGGCTGGGTGCCAGGCGAGCAGTGTAGGGCATCCTCTCAGGCTAGGTTTATGACCCTGCTTTCGTCCTCCAGTCGGGCAGAACACTGTAAATGTGATGGATGGAGTTGCAAGGCTGGCGCTTACACAGTCACCCAAAGGGTAGAAATATGGCTGTTAATGCCCTGAGAAAAGGTTGATGGTGAGTAGAGGGCAATGAAAGAGCTGTTCTTGGTGTTTACCTTTGCCTGATGAGAGAGTGACTGAAAACCCTTAGAGCGTGGCTTATGTCAAAGTCTGTTTAGATGATGCAGGACTGAGTTTGAGGGATAGGAAGGATCAGCGTGATGATTCGTGTAGTACATTTGCTTAAGACTAGGGATGTCCCAGTATGATATTGATGTATGATATCGGTCTAATATCAGCCAAAAAATGAATATTGGATTATATCGGCCAGCATGTAAAATCTCTGATATCAGCACTCTAATACAAGCAGTCAATTCCAGATTCCGCTCCAGCACCTCTATCTACATCGGATCCAGCATGCAGAGCCCATGATATCACAACAACAGTGTGAACTAAGGTATTAGCTAAGCTGTGTTGTAGTATTTTCTGTTTAAGTCCGAAAAAGACACTGCACCTGAGTGCAAAACTTGTCATGCACAAGTTAGTGCCAATATCAGATCGGCCAACACTGAAGGGTACAATATCTGTGTCGTATTGGAAGTAAAAAAGTTGTATCGGGACACCCCTACTTAAGGCTACCATTGCAATAGTTGTGGGACCATTTCCTTGCCCCTATTAGATAGATCAGGTAGATTAGAGTTAGAAAGAAAGAGAGAAAGACAACAGCATAAAAATATTAAGAGAAAGATGACTCCAACAACTTATTACTCTTTCCATTTCTTTTATCCCTTTACAAAGCGGCTTAAAAACACACATCAGCTGAAGAACTTTCGGAGTTACACTTTTAAAACAATTTTGAAGAGTTCCACTAAGAGGCAGGAGATGTGAATCCAAACCCTTGCTAACTATAAAACCGTGTGTATCAAAGATTCAAAGTTATCTGCATCCATAAACTCAGGTCCTAGGGTCTACAGAGAATCATAGCCATCCTCTTTATTGCCGTCTGTGTTTTATGTTCAATAGATGGGAATTATTTTGCAGTGTAGCATAAAAGCCTGACTCAGGGGCTTAGGTTTTGTCAGGGAGTTTTTAATTTTAAGATGGAGATGGTAGGATAAGACCTCTCTCTCTCTTTCTTTGTCCTTGCTGACTGTAATTAATTGTTTATTGTCTCTGGGTGGTAATTTATACAGTTACATTGTATTAACAAAATGACTGCTGGGGTGAATTGACTCTCCAGTTGACAGGATATGAGAAATGGCACGGTGAAAGGAATTAAAAAGATGAAATATGATATGCAAGGGGTAGAGAGAAAGAGACTTGAATTGTGAAAGAGGGATGGTTGCTTGCTTTGGGTGCTCGGAGAGGTGATTCATGTCTGCTCGTGTTGATTTATCCCAGGAAAACTGCGGCAGATGTTCAGGCTTATGTGCAACATACATTTTCTTATTGCACATTTTGATTTTAGTGTGCTTCATCCTATCAAATGTGCCTGTTTGTGTGCAGAAACGCGCACAAAGACCATTCACCAGAGTCACTGGAGCCAAGGGAAAGGACTATTGTTGTCCTGCTGTTCATGTTCATGTGTGTGAGCTCGTGTGTGTGTCTGCATTAGGCTGATAAGAGGATTTATTGAAGGTCCTTTTTGTTATTGAAGCAGTTTTTTTCTTCTCTCTCTTCCCCCCCAATAGTTTTGTTATAAGACGCCATAATTTAATTAAGCTTCAATAGATTTTTGTTTTGCAACATGGCTGAGAACACACTCTAGTAGTGAGCATGCATATTCGCTCTGTTAGCCACATTCAGGTGAAGAGGGGGTGTCTGCACACACTTAAAGTGCTGTGAATGCAGGAGATGATGACAGACTTTGAAGATGTAAATGCAAATGTTGGAGGAAGAGCTGAGATATTCTGAATATTCTGAGATGAGACGGCTTTTTTGAGCTTCATTTCAGACAACAACAAACTTTGTTGACAGAGGAGAACAGCGTGTGCGTGCGTGCATGCGTGCGTGTGCATTTGTTACATAACCTGGCAGAGAGTAGGTGTTCCTCTGGTCTTGGGGGAGAAACGGGACATTCGAGTGCAGCTCAGAAGATACAGCACACCTGCTGCTAAACTAATGTGTTTTCTGGTTTTGTTCCTCCAATCAGATAAAGCATCACCATCCTTCTTTTCTTGACCTATCCCAGACCTGCTGAGTAAAACTAACACCTGCCTCTTAAAGATCCTCTGGAAGCAAAAAGGGCCAAAACCAAACACTGATTTTTAAATCCCTACATCCTGAAAAAAATCCCCTCCATGTAATTTGTTATTTCCACAAATATGTTCTCACAGTAACACCAAAGAGCTAATTCCTTCCTTCAGTCACACACACAAGCACACACTCACTCACTCACACCCTGGCACCCTGCGGCGGTGGTCCAGGTGTAATTATAGAAAGTTTTGGCCTCTGATTACCGCTGGAAAACAGCTTTGACTCGTGTCTCCGCTGGATGTCCGCAGGAGGTTTTTCCACTTGTCCAACTACGGTTATCTAACTTTAATGAGTTTTTCCCTTCCTGTGGGGAAGTGACAGAGTGTGATTGGCTCACCTCAGTGACTGTAAGAGAGCCCCTCTGGGTTAATGTTTCACCCCCTCACTCACTCTGAGATTGGGAGAGTTACAGGCGTGCCCTCAGGTCAGTGCGGGACCTTTTCAGGTCGAGTGTTACAGGCGCTTGAAAAGCTGTGAGAAATGACCTCAGGGACGCTGCAGAGATCCCGCTGATCTCAGTGCAGGTGTTGTGAACATGATGAGTGATGCATCGGTGGTAATGAACAGCTCCTGTAGGTCTCATTTTAACAGTCACGGGTTGTTACCGATGGGTGATTAACAGCATTAATGAAGAAGGTGGAAAAATCTCACACACTAAAATGAAGTACAAGCTTCCTAATTTTCCATAATGAGCCAATTTAGGCTCCATGCTTAAATAACCCTTAAATTAGTTTTTATTATCAAGTTAGAAGAACAGTGTGAAAGTACCTGGTGTTGTGGACGTTAATGATTGCTTTTGTCTGTGTCTCTTTCAGCCATCATGTATGTGATGGGAGCTCTGGGACCTGCAGCCGGATACCTGCTGGGAGGCGTCCTCATCGGATTTTATGTCGACCCCAAAACTGTTGTCAGCATTGACCAGAGTGACCCTCGCTTTGTTGGCAACTGGTAAACACACTCCCACACGTGTCGCATCTCCTGAGCCATTAAATACGTTAATTCGTTAATCAATCCGGTCGTTCTTTTGAAATTCCTCTGCTGTGCCTTAACTCCAGGTGGAGCGGCTTCCTCCTGTGCGCCATAGCAATGCTCCTGGTCATCTTCCCCATGTTTGCCTTCCCCAAAAAGCTGCCTCCTCGCCACAAGAAGAGAAAAAAGAAAAAGATCGGCTCACCCGGTGATGTCTCCAGTGATGATGAAATGATGAAGGAAAAGTCCAGTAGCAAAGGCCAGAACGTCTCCTCCTCCATGGGCTTTGGAAAGGACATTAAAGGTGAGGACAAAATGATTCAACCTCTGGACATCGTTGAAGCTGCCTCGACAAAGAAGCTGTGAGCGATTGATGCACAAATGACCCGTAATCCCATCAATGAGTGGGATTAGTCATCTCATCTCATAGTGGGAGTTCCATTGAGATCTCATGTAAAGACATTATTGATTAGTGATGGAGGTGGCTGTCCACACACATGACTAATGAAGCAGAATATTTAGCACAAACATGAGCAGTCATAGCAAATATTGGGCTGTATTTACTTTAGTTAATGAATAGCAAACATCTCTATAGATCACACACTGCTACTGTCAGCTGGAGATTATGTTCAGCTGAGCGACATTGATTTAAAACTAAATGCAGTACATTATTCATGCTCTCTCAGTGATAAGCAGCTTGCACCTGTGTCTGCTTTTAATGTCCTCTTTGAACCAGATTTATCAGGAAACTCCGGGTACTCCCTGGGAGAGCCCTTTGATTCAAGTGAAATCTGCGCCAGTGTTTCCCAGTTTCCTCTTTTTTTGACTGAGAGAAAAATATCAGACAGCTCTCTCTCTCCTTCTCCCCCTCTCGCTTAAATGAGCTCTCGAGGGAACTCAGTCACGTTTCCACACACAGGAGCAGACAGACTCTGCAGCAGAGCAAATCTGTAACAGACGGGCCTGCTCTTACTCTTTGTTTTGTGTGAAACGACCAAAGTGAATTTGAAGATGGATTTGAATGGGTGCATACTCATCGATGCATGCTTATATGCTCTCCCTAGACAAGGTTTAGTCTCAGACATAAGAAAACAAACACTGTTACCATGAATGCAGCACAGCTTCTCAAGATCAGTTGTGACTCTCCTGCCGTTTAACCTGTCCCTGTAGGATGGTTTGGGTTGTTATGCACACTATGGCCAAGTCTGTAGATGTTTAGATTTGTGATGTATTTTTGTTGCTGTGTTCGCCCTTCTATGTAGGTGTGTGTTTCTCTGTAGTACACATTCAGCACTTTCTGGGAAAGACATGCTGCGCTGAAACGGCTTTCTTTGTTTTTGTTTTGCCCTTGAGATCATCAGCAAACAGAGGATTAGGCAAACACAGAATATTTTTAGTGATGAAATCAGAGTAAAGCAGGTTGATAATGTTTCAGTCTTCAGTCAACCCCTAAGATTAATTAAACTTTTAATTTTATAGCACTTTTTAGTGTTAAAGATGAAGGACTGCAGCTTCATGCTGTTTGTAACCAAGTAGTTCAATGGCCAATTACTCACTCTACAGGATTTAAAGATACAGTCATTTTAATTTACTATATTTGTCCTAAACACTGATTGGTCACTCAGCTGTTTTTTATCCCTCAATGAAAACAGAAGAGAGGCTCAAAGTGATCCACTGTGCAGGAGTCACACTGTAGACATTTACACGACCTCACCATCTGTCCCCCCCTAGACAAGATTACACCACACTCCCCAGGAATGAAATAATTAGAGTCACTGTTTTATTCATACCTTTGATCAGAGATAACGCTGACAGATACTCACAGTTTCCCAACCTACAGCAGGATTAGCTGAATCAGAGCATTGACAGCTATCCCCACACCGAGGCACCGTGCCACCCAATTAGGCTGGCTGATAACCTCCCCAATAAAAGCCAGTTTAATCCACATTTTGGCTTTTCTTTTGTTCCCTTTTTTGCTTTATGATAGCTTTGTTTGAAGCTAGTAAGAACCTTGTGACTTTAAAGTCGCAATATTAGCCACAAAGTCAGAGATTAGGTTCTCAGTTGGACAAACTTCCCCATATCAAAAGACTTGACGTCTGAGTTACTCCAGTCTCATACTAAAAGACGAGGAACAAAGACTTAGATTAAAATGGTAAAATGTCAGTCCTTATCGAAGCATTTGAGCATTACAATCTCTAATAAATGCACTGTTCTTTCTTCCCACAGATGGTTAGGGTCAAGAGTAGGCAATTTAATCTATTTTCTGAGTAATCAGCCCCCAAAGTTCAGAGTCATTTGAATAGAGATGTTTTTTGTGCACACGGCACCTCACTTCTTGAAATCTCTGATCGCTATTTTTGATGAAGCGACCTTCCCTGGCACCCCTTTAATTTCCTGTTCACACTGTAATAACGTTTTATGAACTGATAGTTTTTCAGTTTTTTTTTTTGTGCAGGGGGATTTAGGTGATGTACTTTTTGTAACATAACAAACCAGACATCTTTAAACAGCAGCTTGTTCTGACATGTAGTCTCTGCAAGAAGTCTGAAGTTCTCTTCAGGACATCAGAAACTGCTAAAACTACATCAGCTGTATGTGTCTTATGTAAAGGACCAGCAGCATGAATCTGAGGCCCCTGTGGACTGCGGAGAACCTCATTCTGTCAAACATGCACCTGAAATCCAAAAAAACTCTGTCTTGTTGAGATATGAAGGAGCTTGTGTGCTCCAGCTTCAGGACAGTGTTTTGCTTGACTTTGTGTTTCTGAGAAGGGTACTTTATGCAAACTTTTCAAGTGCAAGAAAGGTACTTCACAAGTAAAGCAGACTCTCATAGAAGCCTTAAAATGATAAAAGCCAGAGATGGATCTCTCGCTTGTTCTTCCCCTCTAATGTTTTATGTCCCTGCAATTAGCAGGATGATTAGATTGGCCGTAAAGCCGAGAGGTCACAAGAATGGATAGCTCTAAATTTAGTTAATAAATGCAGACTGGTGGTGGCTTTTTTACATCCAATTTGTTCTCAATGAACACCTTAGCAACCCCCAGGCTAGTGTGAATACACTTCTAAGATTTGAGGTGACATTTTATTGAGTGACAAAGATTTAACTTTCCTTTCTCAGATTATCCGTCCAGGTTCTCATGAATCCAGATGCTTGGTGCAAAGGTACAACTGAACTCCAGTTTCCTTTTTGGATCAAGCCTTGGACTTCCTCAGATTGTTCATTTAGCAGTACTGGGATGTCAGCCATCACTAGCACTGTTATTTTAATAACACAGATCCCTCTGTCATGAATTGTTTCATCTATATCATGTCAGTATTTCCCCCCACCATCATGAGTAAGGATGTGTTGTACCTTCTATACAGTTTTCAATGAGTTATCCCTCTATTTTAAAATGCAAACCCTGTATGCACTTTACATATCAAGTGTACACAGCCCTAATACCACAAATACACAAGTGGACCAAGGGTGAAAACGGGGAGAGCTTTTCTTATTATTTTCTATTTAAATGTCCATATACAGAGTGCAAGACTGTTCAGCGCACATCTCATAGTGTGTGTCATTATTCGGGACATTGTCCAGAGTTGCCATGACAGCAAGCATCTGCCCTGCTGGTGTGTCTGTGAGTGAAAACCCTGTTAGCTCTCAGATGGAAAAGTCTTCTGCACTGCTTCCTCTGACAGAAATCGAGATCTGGGTTTTCTCTTTGGGAATAAAAGAGATTTTTTTTCTCAGACAATGTGCAAAAAAACGCAAAAGTATAGGGTTCTCACAGTTTCAATCTGCCTAGTGACAGTAATGTACTCACAGTTTGATCACATGACTCTTGAGTGACTGGATGAAAGGGTAACATCATCATATCAACCAAATCACGTGGAAACGTCCCTCAAGCTGAAAACATAAAGGGCACGTTTGCCCTTGTTGTGATGAACAGAGGATGACGACACTAAGGCTGATCTACAGAGCGTTGTTTGTTTTGATTTCACAGCAGAGACGTTCACCATCCTCATACTTGAAGTGTTTTGTTATGTAAAAGCAGTTGATGTTGATGGGTGTCAAATTGTGTCTTCATATCAGAAACATTTAAAGGCATGGTTGACTAATTTCTAGTACCACCTGAGGTAATCATTACTGAGGGTTTATTAGGGGTACAGTCGCCGCTTTTTCTATTTTATCTAAATCACAGCTTTTCAGTAATGACTCTTCTTCAGTGGTGTTCAGTTTGTGTGAGAATGAGAGCCAAATTAAGAGCCTGATTGTGTGTTAATTACAGCACCGCAGTAATGAAGATCTCTGTCTTGTCTCGTTTCCCCCCTTTAGATCTCCCCAAGGCGGCACTGAGGATCCTCAGCAACATGACCTTCCTGTTCGTCAGCCTGTCCTACACGGCGGAGTGTGCCATCGTCACCGCCTTCATCACCTTCATTCCCAAATTTATTGAGTCCCAGTTCGGCATCCCTGCCTCAAACGCCAGCATTTACACCGGTGAGTCTTTCTTTTTGTACTGTTTGCACTTATTTTGTTGACTCTTTTGGCACTATCCCACGCAAACATATTTTTGTGTTGTCTTGTGAGTCATTGCATCCAATGCTCTTGGTGAGTCGCCATTAAGGATGTGTGGGAGCCTATAATGAGGGATTCATTACAATATGTTCTAAGCAAGGAGCCTAAATGAGATGTCTGAATGCAGTCGAACAGAGGTTTACTATTCTTCTAAGCAGTAAAACCTTGTTATAAAATTCCATTAAAGTACCCCTTGACTGATACAAATAAAGGCCTCTTTGGAGAATCGCACAATCCAGTGTTGTCCATGTAGTGGCAGGTTTATTAACCAACAATTTTATGGATGACATGCATCATGAGGTGTTCTGGTTTAATGCTCCTGTTAGCTAATTTCTCTCTACAAATGGTCAAAAATACTAAACTTGAATGTGGCTCCTTTTATTCCAGAAGTTGTTGTTTTTTTCTTTTAGCTTTGTAGGACTAAACTACAAATTTCTGTTTTGAAGTAAAAATCATTGAGCTTTTTGGGCAGTTAGTAACTGTAAAGAAAGTAATAATTCCCCATCTCATTGCTTCATCACTTTATGCATCGGTGCAAATATGGCAGGAAAATCTTTACCCTTGGCCAATGTGAGGTTTGCTATAGATTTTAGCTTTGAGAAAACATGTTTGATTTAGAATCAGAATTTCTAATTAGAAGTAAATGTTTGTTTATTTATGTGAAATGATTATACATTTACTAAGAAGTCATTTCATAGGTTAATGGAGCTGTATTGGATCAATGAGGCATAACTGCCTAGAGCTAAGAGTTAATTCAAATGTATTGCCCTGTGCTGCAGTATTTATAAGAACTATTGATCCTGTCTGTGTTGAGTTGTAAGAAATGGATATAAGAAGGAAAATATCTCAATAAGAAAGAATCAGAATATAAGAGAATTAAAATTCAACCCTGCAGGTAGATTTTCACACTGATACACTTATCTTTGTATTGCTGTGTTTTCTGTGTACCCTGATCCCACACTTGAGGACAGATGACACATCCACATGTACCATATGCAGCATTGTTCTGTACCAGTTCGAGCTCACATGTACTCTCACCTCTCCATGTGTTCACACGGTGATTCACCGCCGCAGGGCAGCGCTCTGACTCAGAGTCTTGCTGACTTTCATTTAGTGATAAGCTGTCATTACATCTCTGACTGTAACACACGAGTCTCTGGACTGTGGGAGAAGTATTCATCATGATGTGATCATGCACACATCCACACACACGAGCTATTCCTCAGCTCTTATTGTGATTTATCTACAACATACAAAGGGTTTACAAAGAAAAAGACCACTCCTCAAGTCGTGTCTGAGCCAGTGGTGCTTACACACTTGAAATAATCTGGATTTATGAGCATTATTTCTGCAGGGTGTTTTTTATAGTCGGTGACACATTTGGACTAAAAAAAGTGTGTGTGTTTTTTGTGTCCTCGTATTCTGCTGCCTAACATATGGTCATCCCTGAACACACAGACACACACCTACAGTACATACACAATACCATTGCCTCATTTCATCTGCTTGTTGCCAGGATACAAGGGGTAAGGGCAAATGGGTGGTGCGGTTGCCATAGCTACCTAAAAGATGCCAAGCTGCTGGGATGTGATGATGGTTGGAGGGAAGAAACAGGGGAGGGCGGCACAGAGACTCCTTCCTTAGGAGGACAGATGGAGTGACCATGTGTGACATTTTCCTCATGATTGTTGGATTATTTTTGAAGACTGACCAGAAGGTGACCAGAGGACTTTTGGGTTTGCTTGTGAGGCGCTCACTGTCTGTGTCAACAATGTACCCATGACATCTTAACTGATTTTTCCAAATATAAACAGCATGTAGCAAAAAAAAAAAAAAAAAACACATCTTGTTTGCATTTCTATGTCATAGAAAGTACAAGTGTTAAGTTAAGCTTGTTTCATAAACAGTCCAAAACTCTCACAGGAGCTTTAATGATGTGTTTCTCCACACAATCAACATTTTTACTACGTCTGGTAGTAAAAACTGCATCAAGACTGGATGTGGTTTCAGTTTTGGAGTCTTGTTTCAAACTTTATGGTTGTAGAATTTATATTTGCTAATGAAAAAAAAATCAATAATAAGCATTCCAGAGATACAAATAACTGAACTGAAAATATAAAACCTACCGTATAATATTTAATGTTGCGCTCAGTGACTAAGCACCCACAGGAAATCTTGGTTTTTGTGGTCTAGGCTACTCAAAACAGTCCAAAGCCTTACAGTTGCAGCTCTGTGAGATTTGGTTCACACAACACAAAATAAATGTAACAACAAAGCAGTTAAGGGGGTGTTAGAGTACACAAAGCATACGCTCTATTGACTGTATATGAGGCTGGATGACATGTCTCCTCATCCTCCTGATGTACAGGTAATGCAAAAGTATCCCACCAGACTGGTAGGGACATTTTTAGTGAGGTTTTTGGAGCCTAGAGCATGCATATTTGGGATCAGCAATGTACTGATAAACTAGCAAAGACCCTCAGGTTACAGCCCCTGTTGTTGGTTTGAAGCCCACTCTCGTGCTTATGGGAAGTTTAATGACTCCGATGTTTTTTTGACATTCCTCCTATGCTCTGATAACCTTGTGCAGGAGCCAGATTTTTCAGTTTTCAGCAACGAGTTAAAACTAAACTTCCAAAAACCTAACACTTAAGCATTAATCAGCATGAGATCCAACTGAAAACTGTTTGAGGAGAAGACCTTCATAGCTGTGTCTTACAAGCAAACACAGCAAACCAGACAACAAACATGTCAAAATAAAATAAATGTAAGCCTTGAAAATAACCACCTTGCTGAGCGTGTGTCGTGAACGGTTAAAGATCTGCCACTGCTACATGCTCATTAGATGTTTCTACAGAAATAGCACTGTAACATGTCTGACACGCCTCCCTCAGCTGCACTCTCCACCGTGCCTGCCGCCTGTTTGCCCGATAATTTGGCGACTCTCCTAACCTCAACAATTTCTCTTTTCAAAGCGGCACTTTCCATTTTTATATCTTTGTTCTTTTGTTTCCAATGTCTAAGGCTTCAGGAGACAGAAATGTTAGTACAGCTTGTACTGAGCTGCTCTGATTTAAGCGCTCAGTGATAGATTAGCAATGAAACACATACATGGGTATATTTATCCAATACCACACAAAAAATCTCACATTCATGCCAGCATAGCAGTTAATCCAGAGAAGATATGTGTAAATCATTAGTGTAGCGTTTAACACTAACCAGCAGTGTGTGTTTTTGTGCACGTGTGTGTGCGCCTTATGTCACTTTGATATGGTATCTGCTTTGGCTGTTTACATGTTTAATCCTGCAGAAAGCACCAGGTCTTAGCACAGAAACATGCACTTATGGGATAATATTTTATTACAGCTGTCAGTTGCTCAGCTCTCACTGAGCGTGCTCAATGACACTGTTTCCGTCTCTCTATCAGTGTTGCACATTTCCACACATGCATTGAGCACTTGTCTCTACTTGGATTATTTCTGCTGATCCTCTTTCTCTGATGACCCTCCACCCTCTATGGCTGACCCCATCATGCTCATTACCCACTCTGTGAGCGCCTGTGGTTGGGCCAGGGGGCGGCCATGTGCAGCATCCCCGGGCTTTAACTCCTTCTCTGTGATACTTTTCCACCCTGCCAGCAGCCAGCTTCTCCTGTCTTCATGCTGTCAATTAGACTAGCTAGAAAGAACAGAGAGCACGTGTCACAGCCTGGACTGACTCACTGTTAGCCCGTAGCGTAGCCCAGTCAAAGTGTTAGAGTAACATTTCCTGCTCCTTCTGATTTAAGCTATTCTTGCTTTGACAGGGGGTCACATTCAGATTCATTTGTCTTTTTCTCATAACCATGTCCAACAAAAACATCATACAGACTCTCATATAACAGCGTGACAGACTAACATGTTCTCTGTGTTAATGATCTGGAGATCAAAAGCTTTTTCTGTAAAGTCTAACCTGTAATTGATTCAGTGTTAACATTTTTATAACACAAATTAGCTCCTCTATTTCTGTGCCGTTTGCAACACTTCTTCATTTATCCTCTATCACACCGCCCCTCTTTCTTTCTGATCTCTTGCACAGGTGTGATCATCGTACCCAGTGCTGGAGTAGGCATTGTGTTGGGCGGCTACATCATTAAGAAGCTGAAGCTCGGCGCCAGAGAGTCCGCAAAGCTGGCTATGATTTGCAGCGGCGTGTCTCTGCTCTGCTTCTCCACACTCTTCATAGTGGGCTGTGAGAGCATCAACTTAGGAGGCATCAACATACCCTACACCACTGGGTAAGCTCATGTAAACACTTCCTCTTTGTCCCTACAACATGACAACAGAAGTAGCACTGGTCAGTCCTGATCTTTACAGATGTTTCAAGAAACGTATAATAGTTTATATATCCAAACTGCACAAATACTAAAGGAGGGCTTGTAGCTGGCTTGCTGTCATCATTCCTATCATCCTCATGTGTTGTGGCGTTGTGTTCGAGTGTGAATGACTAATTAGCAACACTGGCATCTGCTCTCGTGGCTCCAATGAATCACTCTGCCACCTCTATTTCTGAACCTGCAGCCCGACGAGGCATCAGCAGCCAAGTTAACAAACCGTCATTGGATGTGTCAGGCCCCGCAGACAGAAATACACATACACACACACGCACGCAAAGAAAGGCACAGAGGGGCCGTGCAGGGAGTGACCTTGGAGGAAACACTTCTACTGTGTTCATAACTCATCTCATCACAGAAATTCTTGATGTTTTTGTGCCTAAAATCAACCTTTTCAGCTTTAGAAAAGAGTTCTGTATCTGCTAGTATTTCAGGTCAAATATGTTCATATAATGGACTGTTGTGGACTGTCAAGTATGTCAAGTATATCCTCTCAGAAGTTCACAAAACACAGCTCACACAAAGGTGAAACTGCTAAACCTCTGTGAAATTTACCTTTCACATAGCTACACTAATCAAAGTGATTATTTGCCAAATAGTCGTTGTGCCCCCTAAAGCCCCAGAGCTGACCCATTACTAACACAAGTCTTTGTCCGGGCCGCTGTTTATAGAGGGGTCAGCAAGACGGGGCTCCTCATTATGAACAGCACTGCTCACTGGTCACTGGTGGCACCCACATGAGGAATGTTCAGCCCAAACCCACCCCTTTGTGTCACCCGTCTGTACTCTCACACTAGTCTAGACCAAGCGGTCCCCCTGTAGACATACTGGAGACTATTTGACAAAAAAGGACCTGAACATTTTCAGAGCTTGAGTTATATTTAAAAAAAAAAAAAACACTCCTCAAAATCTGCTGGATTGTCTTCTTTAAAGCCTGCTGCTAAATTTAAACATTTTTAATTAAAGCTGTAAACCACACCTCCTCTGAGTAAGAGCTCATATTTGTTTTGTGTTCACTGTCTGCAGCGCTGAATCACATTAAGCCGTCCTGACTCTGTGTTTGTGTTTTTATGAGGTGTGGCCAGCACACAGAGACACAACATCTGGAGGGTTCAGCGAGGGACAGGCTTTAGTCTAGGGTTAAAAAAAGGACATGTTCAATCAGTGCAGCTAGTTTACAAATCCAGCAGGGCCGATGTTTTTTTTCTTTTTTTTTTTTTTCAGTACACACACACACACACACACACACACACACACACACACACACATCCGTGCTGTCTCTGTCTGTCCCTCAGGGTGTCTGGAATGTAACACTGTTATGTCAGGACAAGCCCAAATGAGTTTCCCTTGTCACAAACAATATGAAAATCAGACGGCTGAAACAGGTTTGTGTAAAATGAGGGTCTGATGTTTTTAAGTCCTGTCTAAAGCAGATTCTAATTGTCTTCAGTAACACAGTGTCCTTAGAAAAATGTCAGGAGTTGAAACAAATGATCACAACAGAAACAGTCAGAGGTGCGTGTTTGTTCAGCGAGTCCATGGCTGTTCCGCAGGGCTCATACTGAAGCCCTACAGAGAAAACCCCTGACTCGCTCCACTGCTCCTGCTTCAGACCAATCCTAAGTCTTGTTTGGCTATGAGCGGCTGTTCCCACACTGCCTGTCGATCCACTGGAGCCTCTGTCTTTTTATTAGTAATGAACTACCGTAAACATCATCTGTTACTGTGCTAAACACATCTCTAATAATTACACAACATAACAATAAAGCAAAAGACAGTTTATGGATGTCGTTTTCTGATTAAAGAAAAACTTGACGGCCTGATGCTCCGAAGGGACAAACAAATAAGGGCTAATGACTGCAACAGAGTTTTGCTATTGCAAGGCTGCTGTGTAAATCTATCAATAATTGTTCAGTAATCGTTGGTTTTGACATGATTCAATGGATTTAAAAGTGACAGTTTTATGTTAAACACGCACAGTTTATGTCTGTAAGCGGTTAGCTCTACAGCCTTAAAGCATGGTGACTCAGACGTGTTACACGTCAGAGTGAACATTTCTGCTTATGGTGAGGTAAAACGAGTTAAACAGGACCACCTGATTCAGTTTTTTTTTGCCTCTTCACTGACATTTTCTTTTCTGTTTCAGTCCATAAAAATGATCATATCCCATAACTTCAACTCTGTCATTGGCCCACGTTTTTTTTAACAATCTTATTGGCCACCCCAGGTACCACCCCAGATTCCTCAACTATGATTGGCGGTTCGCCTTGTCAGACATCAGTTAAACTTGTAATTAACTATTTGAACAGTATTTTACACTAAAAGTTAAGTATATTATTTATTTGAATTTTTTTCTGTCCGTTTGCTCAGGCCGACCTTGACGATGACCCACAGGAACTTAACGGGCAGCTGCAATGTGAACTGCGGCTGCAGAATCCACGAGTATGCTCCGGTCTGCGGCTCTGATGGCATCACCTACTTCAATCCCTGTCTGGCTGGATGCAGCACTGTAGGCAACGACAGCACCGGGGTGAGCATGCTCTCACACACACACACACAAACACTCACACACACTCATGTAAACACTTGAGTAACAGCCTCATTGTTTAAGTATCTAAGAAATAAAAGCTATTCACCAATTCAAACTTCAGACTGATGAAAAAGGCAAAATGAAAGGGATTTTGAGACCTATTCATAAAAACACATAAATCATAATGGATACACAAAAGACCTGTTGCATGCACATAAACACAAAGACACGCTAGCTACACAACCTCCTCCCAAAACAGGAAGTGTCAGACCCCTACCACAATGGCAGATCGGAAATTATAACAAGAGGAAAGGAAATGTCCAGATTCTTTATCCAGATCCGTAAGGAGACCATCACTGGTGCCACCCAGTCTGTGTGTGTTTGTGTGTGTGTGTGTGTGTGTGTGTGTGTGTGTTGCTGTGTGGCTGTGTGTGTGTGTGTGTCAGTGTAGCTCCAGCATCAGCAGCATTATGTATAGAATGCTAAAAAAGCCATGTTGAATATATCATAGTACAGTATGATAAAAATGTATTACAGTATGTGAAAATATCATATAACATAGTATACTATGACCAAAATTTCAGAATTTGGGGTGAAAAAAAAATTCCCTTTTTAAGATCAAAAAACATGCTGTAGTATTGTCTGATCAAATTGCCATGGTAAAGCATGTTTAAAATGTCATATTTTAGCAGAAAATAAAAATCAAATTTTGTCAGAAGAAAAACGACATAGTATACTATGACCAAAATTTCAGATTTTGGGGTGAAAAAAAATTTCCCTTTTTAGGATCAAAAATTCCTGACAATAGAATGTTAAAAATGTCATATTTTGGCAGAAAAAAAAAATCATATTTTAGTCCAGAAAAAAACAACATAGTATACTATGACCAAAATTCCAGATTTTAGGGTGAAAAAAAATTTCCCTTTTTAGGATCAAAAAACATGCCGTAGTATTGTCTGATCAAAATTCCTGAGAATAGAATGTTTAAAATGTCATATTTTAGCAGAAAATAAAAAAAATCATATTTTGTCCGAAAAAAAACGACATAGTATACTATGACCAAAATTTCAGATTTTAGGGTGAAAAAAAAAATTCCCTTTTTAGGATCAAAAAACATGCAGTAGTATTGTCTGATCAAAATGCCATGGTAAAGCATGTGTAAAATGTCATATTTTAGCAGAAAATAAAAATCAAATTTTGTCAGAAGAAAAACGACATAGTATACTATGACCAAAATTTCAGATTTTGGGGTGAAAAAAATTTCCCTTTTTAGGATCAAAAATTCCTGACAATAGATGTTAAAAATGTCATATTTTGGTGGGAAAAAAAATCATATTTTAGTCTAGAAAAAAACAACATAGTATACTATGACCAAAATTCCAGATTTTGGGGTGAAAAAAAATTTCAGTTTTTAGGATAAAAAAACATGCCGTAGTATTGTCTGATCAAAATTCCTGAGAATAGAACGTTAAAAATGTCATATTTTAGCGTGAAAAAAAAAATCGTATTTTAGTCTGGAAAAAAACGACATAGTATACTATGACCAAAATTTCAGATTTTAGGGTGAAAAAAAATGTCCCATTTTAGGATCAAAAAACATGCCGTAATATTGTCTGATCAAAATTCCTGAGAATAGAATGTTAAAAATGTCATATTTAAGCAGGAAATAAAAAATCATATTTTGTCCGAAAAAAAAAAACGACATAGTATACTATGACCAAAATTTCAGAATTTGGGGTGAAAAAAAAATTCCCTTTTTAAGATCAAAAAACATGCTGTAGTATTGTCTGATCAAATTGCCATGGTAAAGCATGTTTAAAATGTCATATTTTAGCAGAAAATAAAAATCAAATTTTGTCAGAAGAAAAACGACATAGTATACTATGACCAAAATTTCAGATTTTGGGGTGAAAAAAAATTTCCCTTTTTAGGATCAAAAATTCCTGACAATAGAATGTTAAAAATGTCATATTTTGGCAGAAAAAAAAAAACATATTTTAGTCCAGAAAAAAACAACATAGTATACTATGACCAAAATTCCAGATTTTAGGGTGAAAAAAAATTTCCCTTTTTAGGATCAAAAAACATGCCGTAGTATTGTCTGATCAAAATTCCTGAGAATAGAATGTTTAAAATGTCATATTTTAGCAGAAAATAAAAAAAATCATATTTTGTCCGAAAAAAACGACATAGTATACTATGACCAAAATTTCAGATTTTAGGGTGAAAAAAAAATTCCCTTTTTAGGATCAAAAAACATGCAGTAGTATTGTCTGATCAAAATGCCATGGTAAAGCATGTGTAAAATGTCATATTTTAGCAGAAAATAAAAATCAAATTTTGTCAGAAGAAAAACGACATAGTATACTATGACCAAAATTTCAGATTTTGGGGTGAAAAAAATTTCCCTTTTTAGGATCAAAAATTCCTGACAATAGATGTTAAAAATGTCATATTTTGGTGGGAAAAAAAATCATATTTTAGTCTAGAAAAAAACAACATAGTATACTATGACCAAAATTCCAGATTTTGGGGTGAAAAAAAATTTCAGTTTTTAGGATAAAAAAACATGCCTTAGTATTGTCTGATCAAAATTCCTGAGAATAGAACGTTAAAAATGTCATATTTTAGCGTGAAATAAAAAATCATATTTTGTCCGAGAAAAAAAAACGACATAGTATACTATGACCAAAATTTCAGATTTTAGGGTGAAAAAAAATGTCCCATTTTAGGATCAAAAAACATGCCGTAATATTGTCTGATCAAAATTCCTGAGAATAGAATGTTAAAAATGTCATATTTAAGCAGGAAATAAAAAATCATATTTTGTCCGAGAAAAAAAAACGACATAGTATACTATGACCAAAATTTCAGATTTTAGGGTGAAAAAATGTTTCCCTTTTTAAGATAAAAAAAACATGCCCTAGTATTGTCTGATCAAAATGCCATGGTAAAGCATGTTTAAAATGTCATGATTTAAAAGGGAAAAAAATCATATTTTGTCCAAAAAAAACGACATAGTATATTATGACAAAAATTTCAGATTTTGGGGTGAAAAAAAATTTCCCTTTTTAGAATAAAAAAACATGCCGTAGTATTGTCTGATCAAAATTCCTGAGAATAGAATGTTAAAAATGTCATATTTAAGCTGGGGGGAAAAAAATCAAATTTTAGTCCGGAAAAAAACGACATAGTATACTATGACGAAAATTTCAGATTTTAGGATGAAAAAATTTTTCCCTTTTTAGGATCAAAAAACATGCCTTAGTATTGTCTGATCAAAATGATATGGTAAAGCATGTATAAAATGTCATATTTTAGCAGGAAAAAAAAAATCGTATTTTAGTCTGGAGAAAAACGGCATAGTATCATATGACCAAAATTTCAGATTTTAGTTTGAAAATTTTTTTCCCTTTTTAGGATCAGAAAACATGCCGTAGTATTGTCTGATCAAAATGCCATGGTAAAGCATGTTTAAAATGTCATATTTTAGCAGAAAATAAAAATCATATTTTGTCAGAGGAAAAACGACATTGTATACTATGACCAAAATTCCAGATTTTAGGGTGAAAAAAAATTTCCCTTTTTAGGATACAAAAACATGCCTTAGTATTGGCTGATCAAAATTCCTTAGAAAAGAATGTTAAAAATGTCATATTTTAGCAAGAAATAAAAAAATCTTATTTTGTCCGGAAAAAAAAAAGACATAGTATACTATGACCAAAATTTCAGATTTTAGGGTGAAAAAAAATTTCCCTTTTTAGGATCAAAAAACATGCCGTAGTATTGTCTGATCAAAATGCCATGGTAAAGCATGTTTAAAATGTCATATTTTAGCGTGAAAAAAAAAAATCATATTTTAGTCTGGAAAAAAACGACATAGTATACTATGACGAAAAATTTCAGATTTTGGGGTGAAAAAAAAATTCCCATTTTAGGATCAAAAAACATGCCTTAGTATTGGCTGATCATAATTTCTTAGAAAAGAATGTTAAAAATGTCATAGTGTAGCAGGACATAAAAAATCATATTTTGTCTGGAAAAAAAAAAAAAACGACATAGTATACTATGACCAAAATCTCAGATTTTAGGGTGAAAAAAAATTTCCCTTTTGAAGATAAAAAAACATGCCGTAGTATTGTCTGATCAAAATTCCTGAGAATAGAATGTTAAAAATGTCATATTTTAGCGGGGGAAAAAAATCAAATTTTAGTCCGGAAAAAAACGACATAGTATACTATGACGAAAATTTCAGATTTTAGGATGAAAAAATTTTTCCCTTTTTAGGATCAAAAAACATGCCTTAGTATTGTCTGATCAAAATGATATGGTAAAGCATGTATAAAATGTCATATTTTAGCAGGAAAAAAAAAATCGTATTTTAGTCTGGAGAAAAACGGCATAGTATCATATGACCAAAATTTCAGATTTTAGTTTGAAAATTTTTTTCCCTTTTTAGGATCAGAAAACATGCCGTAGTATTGTCTGATCAAAATGCCATGGTAAAGCATGTTTAAAATGTCATATTTTAGCAGAAAATAAAAATCATATTTTGTCAGAAGAAAAACGACATTGTATACTATGACCAAAATTCCAGATTTTAGGGTGAAAAAAAATTTCCCTTTTTAGGATACAAAAACATGCCTTAGTATTGGCTGATCAAAATTCCTTAGAAAAGAATGTTAAAAATGTCATATTTTAGCAAGAAATAAAAAATCTTATTTTGTCCGGAAAAAAAAAAAGACATAGTATACTATGACCAAAATTTCAGATTTTAGGGTGAAAAAAAATTTCCCTTTTTAGGATCAAAAAACATGCCGTAGTATTGTCTGATCAAAATGCCATGGTAAAGCATGTTTAAAATGTCATATTTTAGCGTGAAAAAAAAAAATCATATTTTAGTCTGGAAAAAAACGACATAGTATACTATGACGAAAAATTTCAGATTTTGGGGTGAAAAAAAAATTCCCATTTTAGGATCAAAAAACATGCCTTAGTATTGGCTGATCATAATTTCTTAGAAAAGAATGTTAAAAATGTCATAGTGTAGCAGGACATAAAAAAATCATATTTTAGTCCGGAAAAAAACGACATATGACGAAAATTTCAGATTTTAGGGTGAAAAAAAAATTCCCTTTTGAAGATAAAAAAACATGCCGTAGTATTGTCTGATCAAAATTCCTGAGAATAGAATGTTAAAAATGTCATATTTTAGCGGGGGGAAAAAAACTCATATCTTAGTCTGGAAAAAAAACGACATAGTATACTATGACCAAAATTTCAGAATTTGGGTTGAAAAAAAAATTCCCTTTTTAGGATACAAAAACATGCCTTAGTATTGTCTGATCAAAATGCCATTGTAAAGCATGTTTAAAATGTCAAATATTAGAGGGAAAGAAAAAAAATCATATTTTAGTCTGGAAATGTCACACTATAGAATGTTAAAAAATGTCGCAGAATTGTATGTCAAAAAATGTCATAGTATAGTATAATAATTAATTCAAATTTTAGTCGAAAAAAAACTCTGCTTGCAGTGTCGGCTTGGGCCCTTTAGAGTGTTTGAATCAAAAAAAGACAATTCTTTTCTTCTTTATTTTGGTTCCAGATTAGGAACTACACGGACTGCGGCTGTGTGCAGAGCAGACAGGTCATCACGCCATCCTCAGGCGGTCAGGTCAACCAGCTGCAGCTTGTCATCGTCAAAACCTACCTGAATGAGAACGGATATGCTGTATCGGGGAAGTGCGACCGTACCTGCAACACCCTCATCCCTTTTCTCATCTTCCTCTTCATCGTCACCCTCATCACCGCTTGTGCCCAGCCCTCTGCTATCATTGTCACTCTCAGGTAAAGGTCTAAACCTTCCCTTATCTGCAGGATTACCTCTGTTTGTCTGTGTTGTCCTTTCTCTTTCCGATTTGTTGTTTTCTTCATCTTCTTATTTGAATGCAGCTCAGTGAATCTGTGTTATTGACATGCTGTGTCTCCTCTCTCAGATCTGTTGATGAACAGGAGAGGCCTTTTGCTCTCGGCATGCAGTTTGTGTTGCTTCGAACTCTTGGTAAGCTGCTAAATATTTGCACTATCAAAACCACCTCTAATGGAACAGTACTGAATTTAAGTGATGTCTTGTTTGGTTTTTGGTGTCATTTTCTTATCTAAGCTTAATCTAAAGTTGTCTGTGTTTAAGTTCTGAATAATTTTTCAAAGCTTTGACTTGAATCTCTTGTTTTTTGTACTTTTGCCAGATATAGCTGATGTTACAAGTTAAATGTTTTAAAAAGTTTCAAAAAGCCAGTAATTTGAGAGAAAACAAGCAGCTTGTCGCGTCTCTTATTTGATTTTTATAGCCAGTGTTTTCCAGCTGGTCAGTAACCCACTCCTCTAACAGTCTTTTCTCTGGCTTTAATGTTCTCCCCCGTTAACACCCTACCATTTAAAAGCCAGGGGGGAAGCAGCTCAGTAGTGGACCGCAGTAAACTCTGGTGTAGATAAGTGTAGAAAAGCCCGTGGGGTTAGAGAGCTCTGCCCTAACACGCCTCTGGTCTGCTCGGTATGTCTGTGTGAACATAAAGCTGTCACATCACTTCTCTTTAACTGTCCCCACATGTGTGTATCAGGGTCAGGAGGGAGCGTGTGTACACTTTTACAGTTTGGTCTGAAAAATGAATAATGGGTTTATTTTCCAGTCTGATGCAATCCTCAGCTCAGCTCTGCAACACTGTTTAAAATTCAGTCCATGAAGGTCTGCTTTAGTGTCACACTGCCAGAGAGATGCTGAATAAACTCTCAAACATTTACACCTGTGAGCATGTTGTGAATGTTGGGGCTGTGTTTGATTTAGTGTTTGAAAAGACAAAGATCATGTCAACTTCCCCTGGCAAACATCAGCTCTGATCATGATAAAACAGTGCCATCCAGTGGTGGGATACAAGTTCTGCAACACACTCATAAAAACAGTCTTATAAAAAAAAAAACGTAACTCTCTGTGATTGAACACTAACTTTTTAATATGCATAAACCTTTATTTTGCACAAATTGAGAGTAAATGCAGAACATAAACATAATAACTTAAAAACTATGTGAATAAGCAATACCAAAAATACAGGATTGTGACAAACCTTTTGACTCAAACTGAAGACCTTTTAAGAGCTTTCAAAACCCAAAATACTGAGTATTTGCTGCCCATTCGGTTCCTTGAGACTAAATTCATTATAGTAGTGTGTTCTCATTTCCTCTCCTTCTCTTCTCTGTTTGTGGTATATGAATATGTATGTACCTCCTACAATGCCCCATTTGTCATGTGAACAACCAGATGTGAAATGTCTGACTTAATGATCTCTCTCCTCCTGCAGCTTATATCCCCACACCCATCTACTTTGGCGCTGTCATCGACACCACCTGCATGCTGTGGCAGCAGGATTGTGGCGTCCACGGCTCCTGCTGGGAGTATGACGTCACCTCCTTCCGCTTCGTCTACTTCGGCCTGGCCGCCAGCCTCAAGTTCGTCGGCTTCATCTTCATCTTCCTCACCTGGTACTCAATTAAGCACAAGGAGGAGCGGGCCGAGCGCTGGCGCCAGCACCTGCCTCCACTCGGCACTGTCAGCGAGCTCATCTGCCATGCGGGTGGCCAGAAGAGCCACGCACGCACCCGCTCCTGCCCCGTCTTCATCCCACCACGACCTGACCCGCCTGCTGCCCTGCTGCTTAACCGCGGCCACAGCAGCCTCAGCTGCCCCGGCAATGCCCTTAAAGCAATAACTCCTCCCATCCTGTTACCGCATCACCACAGAGGCTCCGCCCATGTCTGAGAGTTTTAAAGCCTTCCTCTGGGCTTCATGGTGCCTTCCTGTTTGTGTTTCTGCACCACACAGTGTCTGCTTCACTCTGACAGACACCGGGCGGGACTCGAACCCTGCTGCTGCTGGGCTGACAGGCAGAGACGTAGGTGTGCCCACCTCACCTAAAGGGCTGCTCTTTGCCGTTTATTGTAACAGGAGGCTGATCGATGATCTTTTACTCTGAGCATATCATCAGCTGCAGCCACACAGACAGTCAGACCTGCTCCTCAAGGTCTGGACGATGTAAAGACGTCACATGGTGCTACTGTTAGCGGGCAGGGCATTACAATCTCTGTACAGACATCTAAAGCACAAGTGACAAACCTGTACTATGCAAGATCTGATGTACAGCTCCTCCCTTCTCAGTACTGTACAGCTCCCTGTACCTCCTCTGTCTTCCCTCCTTCATTCATTCACCATCTTCTCAGCTGATTCATTTCTTTATTTCTTCTCTTACAGTCACATATCAGCAGTCTCCTAAGTAAGCCATTCCACCCGTCTGACGTTACCCTCTTTTCTTTCCTTCCTGTTTTCGTAACAGTGCCTCTCAGGCTGCCTCGGCCAGTCCACTTACAAAGCTAGCTACCAGGTTACATGCTAGCCACTGAAAAAAAGCCAGTCACTGTCCTCTCAACGAGCAATGCTACTCTGCTTCGTTTTCTTAAGCTCTGTGTCTGGGAACATTTAAAGACAAAGTTCCTCGCCTTGAAAAGGTTATCATGTAGCTCAAACCGACAAGCACCGACGGTACAGCGTTTGACAACATCTCTGAAAAGTCACAGGACATCTTTATTCTCTTACTTATCACACTCGTTCATTATTCTGAAGTGTAAAAAGTGACAGAAGGAAGGATAAAGAAAGGTGTCTCATCTCTGACCATGTGCTGAAGCTACTGTATGCCTATTACATGTGATTGTACTCGAAACTGGAAACATGATAGAGGCTTAAAACAACAAAAAGCATCATTTCTTAACAAACCTGATCCAGTTCTGACTCACTTCAGAGTCAAATGATTTGTGTCTAATTTATTGCAACAATCAAGGCAACAGAAAGATGCATCATTTTGGCTTTGTGTAACAGCTTCTCCATCCGAATGGTCATCAGATGTACATAGTAGTTATCTAGTAGATTAGGCTTTAATAAGTAGTGCGGAAAGCATGTTAAAAAACAATTAAACCAATATTTATCAGCAGGAGCAATCTGATGGGGATGATCCAGTTTCTTGGGTGTTTAGGGCCCTCTAGTGGACAGAGAGGTGATTGTGTAAAGGCCAGTGAATGTTGCTGTTCGTCAGACCTACTGTACAATGAGATTCTTGGTTAAGAGGTTAATATTTAAACTGAACTGCACTGATTTTAGCTCTCCAAGCAAAAATGATGTACTTACACGACTTTAAAGCTGAAGACAAGGTTAGATTTTATAACTTTGTTTTCAGCGGAGTTCGGTTTATGGCACAAATCTGAGAATTTTCTCATTTTCACTCACCACTGGTTCTTGTTATTTACTTAGGTATTTTATGGATTTATCTTTCTTTCAACAGGCCAGCCGGTTTAAAGAAATAATATGTAAAAGCAGGTGATAATTAAAGAAATACATTTGTTTTTCAGATAACAAAAAAATTGCTCACAAAAAGTTGTCATGGGAATATGTTTTGGAACCATTTTTAAGTCTAATAAAGTTATTTTATTTCCTACTCTGATCACCTCTGCTTTTAGCTCTCAAAACTCTACAAAGAACGGAGAATCTGCTGCAGTGCGAATATTTTCAAAGTTAGTGTTTTTGACCAAGATTGATTCCTGGTGTTCTGCCAGGTGAAGATTATCAAGTGTTTAACAGCCGTGACTGATTTTAGTATTATCGTGACTTAGTACCTCAAATGACATATTCATAAGTGATCATTGTGTAAATACTGACAAAGCAAATGAAGCGTATTATAGAGCTCACACATAGTTAGGAGCATATTTATAAACTAACCCCATGTCATTGTAGACTAAAATAAGAAAATTAAGACTCAAAGCTACAAAAAAGAAAAAAAACTTAAGGGTGGATTTGTGTCGCAGTGCCTGAACAGTATTATTCAAGCAGGGGTCATGCGGGGAGGGAGTCGGGTTATCACAGAGGAGGGACAAGTTTAATTACCCACAATGCCCCTCTTCTTTTTGTCTGATGATTCTCTGCTCGTCTTTTTGTGCTCAGTGCTGCTTAAAAACTCAACACAGAAAAACTTTTGTGGGACTATTGATTACGTTGTCTGTGCTAATGGCTTCCTGTCAAGTCTTTACAGTGTTTTTATTGTTAGGATGTTAACGGAAACAAAGAATTAAAACTGAAGTGAGATAAGAAATCAGAAGTAGAAATAAATTTGGCTTTTACTCCCAAAGCATGCACGTCTTGCAGGACAGGGCAGAGAATCATCCAGTTTTCCCACACAGATTATATCCACAGTAAGCGCAGATCTGTCCGTCTGTCTTTACTTTAATGTAAACCTACTTATTCGTAAGTGTCCTGCTGCTCAGACGCCTGGTTTACTGCTGACAGACGACTCCAGGTTGACTGTATGTTGCTTTAACTCATTTTCCTTTTATCAGTATTTAAACTGAAAGTGAATTTCCTGGACAGAGCAGAGGCTGCATTCTGAAAGTCGAGCTCTTTTTGCTTTTGTTCTTCAGGAGCGAAAGCCTAATTGATGTTTGTGAACATTTGGTTTACAAATGCCTTGAAATACTTGATATTTGTCATTAAAAAATGTGAAAAATTTCACCTAAGCTTGTTGAGTTATCATTCCAGAAAGAAACATTTGAAGCTGAATCTCAGAAGGTTGAAATGATTTATTAACAGCTTCATGGCTTTCCTGAAACCACACTTCTACACACACCATCAAAACCAGTTTTCCCATCAGCAGAGATGAACTGGCAGAAATATTCAACGATTTTGCCCTTGAAGGTTATAGCTGTGCCGCATAACAAACATTTGAAGGCTACACTTGGAGCCAATGATCTGACCATGTGCAACACTATACTCTGGATTATCAAAGCACTACATAACGCACCACATGATTAGCTGATGCCACAAGATATTTCGAACAAAAACGTACCACAACAAACATTTCTAGCGCTGTTGTGATTGTGTAAACATTTGCTTTTAATCACTATAAAAGATTTTAGTTATGTTAATGTTCAACGCTGTGTTTGGTGACAAAATTGCACCAGGTCAGAGTTGGTGTGGCGGTGAAATAGTTCCCTGGAAAGATGAATATATGCACATTCTCACTGCAGTCAAAGGATTTGAACTTAAGCTGAGCCGTGATTGTCCAAACTGATAAAAGCTGATGGACGAGATGTTAAAAAGGCTGATCAAATATCAGCCCAACAGATTATTAAAAACGCTTTTAATAAATAGAGTTTGGCCTTGACCATGTTGACGTTTCTCTGCCATGTGACAAAAAGTTCTTTTGGATGGAAAAAAGAAAACAGTAGAAAAACAACCATATCATCAAATATGATCCACGCACAGTGGAAGGTGAAGGTAAAAGTGCATTTGGGGACAATTGTTGCCTTTGATTCTTTAAGTGAGCGAACAGTGTTTAAACGAAGCGTCCTGTTGCCGGGCAGATTTTTGATAATTGATCTCTTAAGACTGGAGAGTACCTACGGATGATGCTAAGCATTCATTCAGCTGTATCAGTTCCATCACTCACGCTGGTTTTCATAAAAACATATATTAAAAACATCAATGGTGTTATCTGCGTGGGATCGATCATTTCTAATCCCATCACTCAAGTTTAGCTGCATTAAGGCTTTTCTTTTCTAAATAGATATTTTAAAAAACATAACACTGTTTACTAATAAATGTAGGCACCTGTAAAAAAATAAACAATAACTTTAACACTTATTATACAACTCTGACTGAGGTGGCATCACTCGCCATCACTCTTGGCGAGCTCATCTCCCAATCACTGTGTCTCTGTGTCTCTATGGCGACCAGCAGCTCATTGGCTGGTTGGTCAGTGCCTGCGTCTGCCTCAGAGGGTCTGATTGGAGGGAGGAGGCAGGGACCCACTGCCCTCGTAGTCCAAGCTGAGGGGCAGCGGAGACTGAGGCAGTACCTGCAGTACCAGCCCAACACTCTGTGGGGTGTTGCTCTGTGAGGTTGGGGGGCTCCCAGGGGTGCTAGTCTGCACCTTGGGCCTCAGTGTTTGTGGGGTGAAAGGGAGGTAGCCTTGGGCTTTGAAAATGTCCTCCTCTTCCTCAAGGTCCAGGTCCTGGCCGAGACCCTGAGTGCCTGTTAGCTCTCCGGGCTGCAGCTGCAGGCTGTTGTGAGTGCGTAGCAGACTGTCATGTCTGGTCTCCAGCTCGGTCAGTCCGTTCCCGCTGAACACGTCTCCCTCGATCTCTTCCAGCTGCTGTGCCCACATGTCGCTTTGGAAGAACAGCCTCTCCCTCCTTGAACCCACTGATGACGCTGAAATCACAGACCCCCCAGGTCTATCTTTAAGTCTCTCGGGAAACTCGTTGACGGATTCCAGTTTCCATTCCAGTGTGGACCTGGGAGTGGGTGTGAGTGATGCTGGTGGTGTTGTGCTGGGGGCGGGGGTGGAAGGGTGAGCCTCTGTTGCCAGGCCTGGCCAAAACTGTCTGGCTGAGGCCGGCTCCTCTCCGCTGCCCTCCTCGAGGCCTCCATCCCCGGCCCCGGAGCCCAGCTCTGGCAGGGTGGAGTCGTCAGGCTTGTGAGTTTGGTTGGATTTGTTTAAAACGTGTCGCAGTGCAAACATATTATCTACATCCTTCTGGAAGTTGGCCCAGTCATCTGGGCTGGGGCTGTAGTCAGGCCTACATTCATAAAGGCTTTCGTTTATGCTATACAGATCCTCCAGTCCCTGCCAGTTCACCTCCTCATCCGTCAGGTTGGGCAGTTTAACCCTGTCGTCCGTCCCATATGGGCTGTGAGCTGCCAAAAAGAGAGGAACAGAAACTTTAAAGATGTGGAGCCCAGAGAACAGGGAGCTCTTTTCAAGTTTACTCAGACACCATGCAGTCATGCCCATTCTCCCGCTCTTACTACAGCAGCCAGCTGAGGGGTTTGATGCCCCAAGCAACACACACAGTCAAACAAATTCACACACACTCGTATACACACACTTCAAAGCTGCATTAGATAAACTAGATAAACATAGCACCCACACTAAGCTCAAGCCATGAGTAGTGCAAACACATGCTGCCTTAGAAACTCACATCAGACAAACTGAAAGAAAAAAACATTTAATGATCCATCATAAAAGACTAGCAACCTGAGCTGCACAAGAGAAATATGATGGCATAGTTAATGAAAGGCCTGGACTCGACTGAAATGCAAAGTCAGGCAACCTGGAATAAAAGAACTCAACGGAGGAAGGAAAAACAATCAAAAACAAGACGGAAAGTTAGCTGCTGAACGGTGTATCCACAGAAAACAAACCAAAGTTCTATCAGAAAAAGAGGCAAATTATGCAAAACTTATGCAGCAAAAGGCTAAATCAGGATTCTGTTTTATGTCTGAAAGTGAAAACAGAAGAAAGGAAGCAGAAGTGCCAGCTGAAGTTTCCTGGTAAAATGTGCTTTCCTGAGTGTGCTGAAGCTAGAGAATGGACATGTTTGCACGGTAGTGGAGGGACTCACAGGAAGGAGAGGCTGGGTCTCCTCTTTGACCACTTTCGGTGCTGCTGCTGCCTGGTAAGCAGGTGTCAGAGACACAGGTCAAAAAGAGGAAGACATCAGCGGGAGCACAGAGAGGTCACGGCAACTCGTGCGTCCATTCTACCACAAGCTAATGGCCATGAGCAAATGTGTGGATGTCATACACTCGATATCTAATGGGATGGTTTGTTTGTGGATGTGACTTGAATGACATGGAGGGTGACGTTAAAGGAGTAGTTCCAACATTTAGATAAATTCATTTGTTTTCTTTCTAGGAATGAGAAAATCAACACCATCCATTAGAATGTTCACTGATAAAACGGCAAACAGAGTAAAGTTAAAAGCTAGCTTGATTCACAGGGAAAACGTATGCTAAGCTAAGCTAACTGTCTCTGGCTGTGGCTCCAGACATGTAATGACTGCAAGTAGAAAAAGAAGTGGCCTGATTCCTTTGAAAAAATACATATGTACATACATACATACAACAGCTTTTGTACAAACTAAATAAAACCAAAACTATCAACATGTTCATAAGCTAGGCTAAGCTAAACTAAGTAGCTGCCGTTTGAAGATTAGATTTAGCAACTTAGACTTAAAAGCGGTATTGATCTTCTTATTAGACTCTGGCAAGAAAACCAAAACGATCTCCTAAATATCAAACTACTCCTCTAAGACTTAGTGTGGGATCTGATGCATGAGCGAGGGGATGATATTTGACCATGCATTGTCATTCACATGCATTAGGTGCTTGGGTGGGTCTTTGTACCCATCATGCTCATGGAAGAACAGCTAAACAGAGCGACTTTAAAGCTATGTTTGGACTTGAGTGTCTGCAGAGGTATGGAATCTGTTTGCAGAGAATATCTGAGCTGCTGATTATATATTCATACTGCTGCAGGCTTTAAAGTGAAGGCAGATGGTGTGCACAGAGGTGACAACAAATGAAGCTGCTCTTATGAGAGACAAAAAAATTCATCTGTTATGATTTGTTAGCGTGCCCCCAGCATGCAGCCACAGATCAAGCGCCAGCACTCCATGGATGGATAGATTAGTGGGAATGAGGCGAATTCGGCCCATGCAGGTGTTAAAGAAAAAGCCACTGAAGAGAAACAAAAATTGGTGGATACCTGTGTGGCTCATAGCTTCCTCCTTCTTTACCTCCTGATCGGAAAAATAAAAGCAATCGGTTGTTAATGCTTTGATTCAAGGAGATACTAGAGGGAAATAAATAGATCATTCACTCTGAAGATTTCTTCATGCACAGCTGCTACTTCCTATGGAGAAATGCAATTATTGGATGACCAGAATGAGGAGAAGAGAGATTTAAATGGAGGGTTTTGGAGGTAGTGGTTTGAGAGATGCGGATCAGAACTGAGGATTGTGCTGCATAGAGTCTAACAGGGGTTTCCCTTTCAAAATAAAAGACACAGGGTTATCCCGTCAGGTAGAGTTGCACGCCATAAATAGAAGCAAGTAACTGCTAGATCCATTTCAACAGGCCAGTTAAATTTTATTAATCTACCCCTCCAACAAAAACATCACTTCATGTAACCACAACAGCAATTTCATCGGTTCATGGAGCTGGCATCACACATGAGCGAGGGCAGCCAGTGCGGGTAAGAGATTTTAGGCTGCTATGTGACGTGTGTTGGCACCGTTCTGACAAGTCCACAATGCCAGCGCTGAAACACAATCAGTTTTCTCAGAGCAGCCTGGCCGCTCCAGCGCTTCGCTCTCCAGCTGGTAATTACAGACACTAAGTATTTTACCCTCAGGACCTAAACAACGCAGCTGGTTCATGCCACACACGAAAGCTATGGCCGGGCCTTACGGGCTTTGGTCACGGCAATATTACTTGTTAACCCCCTCCATCCTCCTGGGCTCTGACAGAGTCCTCAGACTGTGGAGTTGTTGTAAAAAAACAGAACAGCTGACTACAGCAGTGATGCATGACAAGCTCAAATAGAAAGACAGCCTTGACAACAGCATCCTCCAAATATTATTTCTAACACTGGTTGAGTCACAGAGGGGATGAAGGCCAGGATGTTCAAGTGTAACAGGGTCTGATCAAATTGAAACGCTCTGTGTATATAAGGAAAATATTCAGGTGAGTGAAAGTCCTCGGCTGGGAAAAAACAAGTTAAGAAGTGTGAAAAAAATGTTGATCACATAAAAGGACATACTGATGATTTCTTGACCTCCACCTGGAATTTAAGCATACATCATTGAACAGATCATCCCCAAACGCATGCAGCATGCAGAAATGTACAAACACACACACCCTGAGTCTGATACAGATTTAAAACACAGCAGAGGAGTAGACTGAAAAAAATCAAGTATCCAAATTTCTCAAACATAAAGCCAATCTCATTGCTATTTGAGCAGTTTTTAACTCAAATCAATTATGATTTAGGCACTGATTCACTTCACGCCAATTCTTCTCTGTGTTAAATCTGCTTCAGTCATTGTTGGCATAACATCCACCACTAAACCCAGTGAAAAGTCCACATGAGAAACCTCTAAAGGACAAGTAAGAAGGGAGTTTTTTGTTCTCTTTTACCTGTATCCAAGCCTTTTGGGCGGGGATTGCACTGCTTGTATCCTTGACAACTCCTCATCTCCATGAGCTGGGCATGGAGAGAGTTCAGGACCTCCCGATCGACTGCATATACTGCATTGGTGAGCTGCACGGGTGAGAAAATAAATCCAAGATACTCAAAAAACTGAATATAATTTTTTTGTTTTAGCATCATAAAGTTGATCCATCTCCAAAGAATGCAGAATGAAAGTGTAACTGCTGTTTCGTCTTGTTTTTCTGCTCCCAAAGGACGACTTTTATGATGAAGGGGCTTAAAAACACAGACAGAAAGGGAGCATGGATGAATGACTGTGGACAGATGTTCACACACCTGGTAGGGGTCACTGTTGAGGTCAAAGTACTCCAAGAAGCCGGTGGAGAACTCGCAGAACAGTGTGTTGTGGGTCTCATTGATGGTTCTCAGGCACCAGTAAGTGTTGTTGTTGGAGCTGGTGCAGGCGCAGAATCCACCCACTAAACAGTAAAACAGAGAGTCGCTCAAATTGACTGAACATATGCTGACAAAGAACACAAATAATTCACTTTGACTGGTGTGAGATTAACCCAAGAACCAGTAGTTTTGTGGAGGAATGAACTCTGAAAACTGTGAGTGCATGATACAACTGATAACGACACAGACCAAAAAAAATACAAAGACAGTCTCACTGGAGTTATCTAATTAAATCTGATAGGATGTTAAGAAGCCTTGAGCAGACTCGATTACCCAGATCTAGAAAAAGGTGAAGAGGGGGAGCTGAAGGAGGTCAACTGGATCTTGGATAAAAGCCCCACTCTAAATTATGCCCGACATGTTACATTTCCCTGTAAAAATGCGCATCTTCAAATGTGGCCTAATGGGAATTATTTAACTCTTGGAGGTAGCCTCTAGTGGCCATTCAAGGAACTGCAGTTTCAAGTCTAATTTCTTTGTTAAAATAATTAAAACTATATATATAATGAATTTAATTTCAGTTAACATACGTGACCAGAGGGGGGCAGTCTGCCAGTGATCATTGTTATGTGTGAAACAGGTGAGGCCGGGCAGGCTGCAGTCGTCCCCCTTCCTCAGGCGCTTCTTCTCCTTCCTCTCCTTCTTCCTCCTCCGGATCTCGTTGTACAGCTGAACCCTTCCGTCGATTTCTTGTGCAGCCTCCCTGTTGGACAGAAATTTGAGGGAATTACAAAAAAACAGTGCAATGTAAAAGATGACGTCGGCACATATCCTCGCCCTGATGCCAGCAGCCGCAGCGGTGGAAGATCTTCAGGGGACTTCCAGAAGGCATCACTGATGCCAGGGTATGACAGTCTGTTTACTTTCATGTTTAAGCTCTGACGCTGTCCAAGTTTCTCTCGGATGACATTCTAGCCACTGTCCCCTCTTCCTGCACACAGAGCAGGCACTGAGAAAAAGCAGCTGCTTTGTATTGGCATAATGTGTTCCCAATGTTTCCTGGTGCAAGTTGATCGCTGTGTTTGAGGGATTGACTGATTTCCCCTCTGTTGAGTCACTCTATCTTTCCATGCAACTCAATCACTTCCAGACACACAAAAGATGGGTCCCTGCCATACATCTGCTTTGTCATTTTGAGTCTATTCAGGGAGCAAACACTGAATAAAAGTGTGTAGATGTGCTTTAAGAGTTCATTTTTGTTTTAGGGCCACAAACACATGAGAGCACTTCAAAAAACCACACACATGCTGGATAAGCCATATGGGGACTACAAGGTTATCTACATGAAGGTGAGCAGTGTTTTCCATGCAGTGATCATGCAAATACTGAGCAACCTACAGAGAAACATCTACCATGAGTATAAAACTGGACGAGTTACAAGCCAGGGTCAGTATGCATCTAAAAGAAGAGGGAATGAGATTAACCGGGGAAAGTCGTCATTTAAAGGGGAAGAAAAACTCACTTAAACGGATGGAGTTGCTCATTCCTGTTCTTCAATCTCTCTGCTTTTCTGTCCCCTTTGTTATAATAGCTGGTTTTATAAACAGAGAAAAAGACTAAGGACCAGACAGACAGCTTTGGGGTTTGTATTATGGGAAAAACTTTTAAATCAGGTACAAGATGAGAAAAAAATTTGCACTCTGACTGGCAAATTTGGAGGAAAGTTTCAGTGACTGACCCCTTCTTTCCACAGTCACATTCGTCTGGTCGTGTCCTCTTCAGGTGGCCTCGTACTTCCCGCAGATTTTTGATTTTGTCTTGAAGGGCTTCAATCTGGAATCAAACGTGGAACAAATGATACAGATTAACTTTTTGGTGTTTGAAAAACCCTGGACCGAATCTCAAAGATTAAGCTGGTGTGTTTCCACTCACCTCCTGGTCCACGTAGCTCTTATGGTCTTTCCAGGCTCTGGAGGACTGGTAGATTTCTCTTTCACAGTGGACGCTGTCATTCATTAGGATGAAACACCTGAAACAGACGCAGAGGAACTTCATAAGTCATTCACGTCTCCTCAGACAAACACCAGCTGTATTTGTTCATTGTTTGGGTACTCGTTCTTACTTATGTGTAACTCTCACTGAGTTGGGGTATCCCACAGCATTGGTATCATCTGCCAGCATTTCCTCTGAAGCATCATCAGTCCCCAAATCAAACTCCGGATCCTCAGAGTTGTAGTGACGCTTTGAGATGACACGGCGGCGAATAGCTGACTGATCGTCGGCTTGAAGGTCGACGTCATATATTTGACCTTCAAACTCCACGGACAGGGACCTGGCTTGTCGAGTGTGGACAAAACGGGGCCGATAACCTGCAATTATAAAAGTTGAGTCTTACGTTTCTAGAGTTGCACCTTTTCAAGCGAACACTAGAGGGCAACAAACCACTCCAAACCTAACACAGCTGACAGGAAGGGGAACATCCACAGAACAAATTGTGGGACTTGTAGAGGATGTTTGCTTTTTCTGTGCATCTGTCTTCTTTCAGAGCATAAATAATCAATTACAGGAAATCTAGCCTCGAGCATGTGCAGACTTCTTTTTCTCAAGCTTGTATTGAGAGGTGGACGTCAGCACTATGTTAGAAGTTAGAAGAAGAAATAAGTTGCATGTTGACTGAAGCAGTCTGATCTCTGTCAGATCTTTTTCTTCTGGACTGAGATACCCAAGATTATCCTGAACATGTGTGTAAATAATTCTCTCTGACTTACATGACTTTATTTACTAAAACAGTGTTAAAGGATGTAATAATAACAGATTCATGTGCACTCACGCTGGCCGGATGAGGAGGAGAGCTGTTGGTGGGAGCGACGGTCATTCCTCTGAGGTCGAAAGGCGGCATCGCTGCAATCGCAGCCCCTCTCTCTGTTGTTGTAGCCGCTGCTGCGGGGCTTCAGGCTGCGGGCCCTCTTCCTGGAGCCCTCTTTGGATCCGCCTTTACACTTCTGTATCCTCCACTTCCCTGTAATCTCCTCCACACAGTGCCACTTCTGCCAAGCAAAGACAACAAGGTGGAATACATTTCAAAGATGAATTTTTCTTGAACTTAAAGATCTCCCCTTCCACTAAATTAAATTTAAATGTGGAGATTTCTACAAATTAAAGCAAACTGGAGAGTAGTGGTATGTTATGTATATCTTATACATGATCTCACATGTTTCTGGGTAATGTTTAGCTGATAAGTGTTGGAGATGTCAACAATCAGAACAACTTAATCTCAAGCAAAGCCTCTGTTTTGCTGAGACTTTAGAAGCTCTTTTTGTAAGAAATACTTCTGACAGACATATCAGGCAGATCTCGGCCTGTGGGGAAGAACGGCATCCAAAAGCATCTGGATAGATAAACCAAAAAGACCACATGAGACGAAGTGGGCCTGTGTGGTGTCTATAAAATAAAAAAGAAGCCCATATCACTCTCACACAGGGTAAGTCTGAGCCAAGTGCGTCACCAGTGGGATAAACACAAATCCATGCACTTGCGTACATTGTCTGCGTCTTTCTCAACATTCAACCTCAAAAGTTAGAGGAAATCCAGGCTAATTGACGTGAGCAGCACCGCTGGTTAGGTCTTGTATAAATTCAAGAGACACATATGCAGAGTGGCGTGATCAGTGGTGAGTGTGGGAACAAGGGTCCAAACAAAGAGCTATAAGACAGATCAGGTTCCATCTGGGAGGCTCATATAGTAACGGAGGGCTTACAGGCCCAACAGAGCCGTTATATCAGCATCAGACAGGATGTGAGGGAAAAAGAGAGAGATGTATTGTGACTCAGGGACGAAAAAAAATCTGTCTTTCTTTGTCCTTCTCCCTCGCCCTCCCTCCTCTGAGTGCTTCCAAGGCACAGCAGTACCACTGCAGCAGCGGCAGCAGCAGCAGCAGCAAGACAGCAGAGATGGATGAGAAACCAAAGATGGGGGAGCGAGGGAGGGAGGAAGGGGGGGGGCGACTGGATGGGAGCAGACGTGGATGACCGTACAAGCTGAAACATGAGTGGGAGGTAGAAAAGCCAAAACACCGCAAGTCACTCACACTCTCTTATTCTCCCCCAAAAACATAAAATAACAGAGGTTTCCATGTCCCCAGTGAGTAAATCTGGTGAACCCACAACAATCCCGTAGAGTTATCACACGATCGATTTCCAAAAGGACCACAGCAGCTTTGTGACAAAAACACCGCAGAGCCTGAGCTCTTAGAAGATCACTCAGTCATATTTAAACCTTTAAGGCTTTTCTTAAACAAAACTTCTTTCATTGTAACCTAAATCAGGTTCAAGACTGAGATTTAATACGCTTGTTACAGACCTCTTAACTTTTCCCATACAATGCTTCACTTTGAGCTACAGGTTTGGTTTACAGAGGAGGTAAGTCAGCAATGAGGGGCATAACATTTTCTGTAATCCCTGATAAAGATCCATACTCTTCCTCTTTGCATGTAAATAACAGAAGAAGAGGAGGTAGACTCAGAGATAAGGACTAAACGGGGATTAGAATTAAAGCTTCTGCCTGCAGTTTGTGAGCAGCACTGTAGCTCTAACTCGAAGAAAAACTCTTCGGGCCACATGGGCGAAGCAAAGCCTTTATTGTGGTGTATAAATTATTACATTTCTACACATCTACGGTTCAAGCTTTCAGGTCCGCACACATTTTGTTTTATACATTTATATCGCACAATATACACGGCCAAGCTTAGCTGGTCTGGCTCTATTTCTGTCTTCAATAACTGATTGTTAAGTCAGCACATTTATGTGACCATAAACTGGATCTGGATTGTATTAGTCCACCCCTCAAAAACTCAGCCTGTCATTTAACACTACCTGAAACTTGTAGCAATTTGTATTGTTCTGGTCTGAGTGCTCCAAGGCCACATACTGTAACACTCAGCTGCTGTTGTGCTAGAAAATTAATGGGCCCGGATGAAAGTGAAGTACAAAGAAACTAATGCACCACAAAACGGTCCAAAAGGGGCCAATTACGAAGCAGAATGATGTCCTGTTAATGGCTATTTCTCTTGTGGCTCTGTGGAGTAGTTCAACAGGCAGCGTGGAGGTCAGCTCAACAGTGGTGCTCATTACAGCCGGAGAAGAATCGAGGAGATTTTCTTTTGTGAAAATCAGGGTAACTCGGTTGTGTTTGCAGAAATGAGCAGTGCACGTGCGAGCGCATGGGTGTGTTTGTTTTACCTGTCCCGGCTGTTCGCAGGGCGTCTGGAATTCGGCCTGCTGGCAGGTTTCTTTGACCTTCTTGTATTTGGGGAGGCTGTTGGTGTGCTGAGTGTTCAGAGAGTCATCCTTCTTTCTCAGAATCTTTCTACAACACAAATAAAAGGAAACAAGAATCAACAAAAGGATGTATTCAGAGAGCCAGTACACAAAGTACTGCTACACTTAAGTGAGCCAATTTAAAGTTTAATACAATTTAAGAGTTTCCTGTTTTTTACTCTCTGTCACAGCCCGTCCTGTGTGCTTCTCATGGTCATGGTCACTGGATAAGTTATGAAGCATCTGTGGTGTGCCGGAGGGTCTGGGCACGGAGTTCAGCACTGCGTCACACCAGTGCTCAGCTCCAGGCCAAGCTGTTTGACCTCAACTTGGCATCCTGTTCAACTTCCCTGCCCCCTTCGTCTCTGCTACCACCACAAGGCCTGGCTGAGTCTCTGTTTGAGCCATGCCAGCCCCCCCACCCAGTCCCCTGCTCTCTGCTTCACTTTCTGCCAACATTAGCCTGGCTGCTCGCGACACACAGACAGAGTGATGGCGACTGCGGAGCCCAGAACAACCTGTCCCCTAAAAGAGTAGTCCTGTTGTCATGTCCAGTCCTGTCTAGCGCTTTGTTCTGGGGGAAAACAGCCAATTTTCACACACTGGGCTGGCTGTAGGCCTCAGCATTTAGCTAAGGGTGATTAACGAGCAAACAGTTGTTGTCAATGTCATTCCCTGACGTCTGCAATTACGTAGATGACTGGATTTGCAAACAATGTAGTCAGTCCCAGCTGTCAGACAGCATTCCTCAAGTTACTGAGTACAGTAACGTAATGTTGAGCAAGGATACCCTTAGAGAATCATTGGGCGTATCAAAACCCGCTTGAACCCGGCGCAAAAACACCGGCTAATGTTTGTGTGCGCGCTGCTATGTCTGCGCCTGAGCAACAGAGTGAAAGGTCTGCGGAGGCTAATCTCAGCATTTAGACACAAGCGCAGGAGCAGACAGCCTCTATAAACAGTGTGGATTAATGGAGGAATGGATTAAAAGAGCTAAAGCCCCCATAGGTCAAAGGTCACACTCTTTTCATTTCATACCCAGCGGTCCACAGAGCAGCCAGCTCTTCTGTTGCACAAACATACGCCAGCAGGAGACCAATCTGCATGTGCGGCAGCAGGAGCCAACTACTGCTTCTTTTACACTCTGGTGTCTGCAGATGTTGACGCAGTTGCTGGCAAATGACCGTAACAGTGGAAAGGAGATGGGAGGGCCAAGACAGCGATTTATTAGAAAAAAAAAAAAAATGGATCGTGAGGAAATAATAGTGGGGGAAAAACAGCAGCTGTGTGGGAGAACATGACATACTGTAATATACAGTATTATTAGACATGCTGCCAGTACAGTCTGGCCCCAAACTGTTTTATTGTGTCTACCCCAATATACCCCAAATCTACCAGCGTTTATTTGAATATTCCTCTCATATTAACTTTGGATTTTCACTTTTTTTTCTTGCAGAGATAAGCGGAATGTGATCGCATGATCTCCCGTAACAGCAGAGGAAAGATTAAATAAAGACTTGATGAGGTTTTTAGCGCGTATGTAACACTGTACATGGAATGAACACAGTCAAGTGTTGGTTATGAGTGTGACTGCTGCATTTCTCACTGGGAGAGCTGACTGAAGCGGACTGAACCTTTAAATCGTTCTTCAGGTAACATCATCCTGAGCCTGACAACTCTTCTTTTTTGTATGACACCCTCTTCTGTGTGAATGAAACTCATCAGCTAATTCAGGGTAGCAGGTTTTTTTGTTTTGTTAAATAAGCTACCATGTATGTACTGTAAATTTTGTTTCTGTTGTTGTTTCTTTTCCCCCTTTTTCTCTCTCTCTTTTTTTGTAGGGAAGGGGGGATTGATGTTGCTCCTGGGACAAGGGTGGGGGCAATGGGTTTGGATGTAATGAGATAACGCAAAAAGAAATAAATAAAAAAAGTTGATCACAAAAAGCTAAGTCAGGGAAGCTGTCTCAAAAAAGAGCTTAATATGAAAAGTTCATCTGGAGGAGAAAGATCGCTACAAGATATACACGTGAGCACCTCCCACGTCAACGGTCGTAATTTGCCAACCACTCTTAGCTTTGCCCAAGATCCTAGACTTCTTCAACTTCTTTCCCTGATGCTGCCTTCCAAGCTGACTGTGGTCAGGAAATGTCTGTCAGATAACTAAGAAAAGCAGCTGTGTTTCTGGAAGAGGGGGACACGCACTGAGCCTTGCTTTGGGTTCATCTTCATGTTTCATCAGTTCTGTGTGACACTCAACACTCTGCAATGGCCTATATGTGTGTGTCTGTGGTGTGGAAATGGAATAAAGAGGTGCAGTTTACCCTCGCTCCACCAGGAATGTGTCCCTCCAGACTTTAGGTTTCCGGTTGGGTTTGAATCTGAGAAAACAAAACGCGCAAAGTTTATAGAAATTATAAGGCCAATGCACTCACCATCCACTACAGAATGTCAAACATGCAACTCAAAACCTTGTGGTTTCAAGGAAATGGTGTAAAGGCACTTACGGCATTAACTATATCAAACCACTGTCTGTCTCTTTGAACATTTTTTCCAACGTGACTGATTTTTTTCTTACATGTGAGACACAAATTAAAAATAGCTGTTTGTGCTTTTTTTAAGGACAGATTCGGTAGACTGAGTTTGCTCAGGAAACAAATGATTCAAACTGCAAACAAATTCTACAGGAAACCTTATTAGGAGAACCTCAGTAGCTCTGAGCCAGAGTCCAACAGCCAAGGAAAACCCACCAAATTGCCCTGAACCCACTCTGTGCTCGACTGAAGCGAAATGCACTTATTCTGGCCCTGGAAATTTGCATTAGCTCAGTAACAGTAAATGAAAAGTACTGTTGCACATATTATACATGCTGTGCAATTACTGTACATATCCATGGCAGCACGGCATGAAGGATCCATACAGACCTGTTGCCAGTCCTCTCCTGTTCCAGAAGCTTCAGGATGGACTTTCCATCCATGTCTGGGGGCGTGTCCAGACCGGCAATGTGGAGGATCGTGGGAGCTAGGTCTATGTTCAGTACGAGATGAGGGTTTCTGAAGAAAAACACGCACACAAGGTTAAATTATACAGTATACAATTAGAGAAATCATGTACCAGGAGTGAATGTTCAAAATAAATGATGATTTAGACACAGAAAAACATGAAGAAGGAAAGGAAGTTTTGTTTGGACTTACACGGCCCCTGGCTGAACGTTTGGTCCTCGCAGGAAAAACGGCACACGGATGTCGAAGTCATACGGCATAGACTTGCCTTTGACCAATCCAAACTGACCAATGTGGTAGCCGTGGTCTGCTGTGTAGATGATGTAAGTGTTGTCAAGCTCTCCTGTTTCCTCTAGCATCTCATAAACCTGGGGAGTAAATGGATCACATGAGAAAACAGACAAAGAGCAGCATACATATGAAACATATTCATGTCCAATAAAGCAAAAAAATATATAACTCATAATCACACTGACCTTCTGCACTGAGTCATCCACAGACATGAGTGTCTGCAGCCTCTTACGATGGAGAAAGTTGGTGAACTCCATGTGGATGGGCTTCATCGGGCCAGTGTATTGCATAATCCAGTGTTTGTCCATATTGGGGGCATAGTTGTAGCTGGGGGTACTAGAGGGAGAACATATGAGAGAAACAGGGGGGACAGGAATGTGAAAAAACTGCCTGCATATAGGACATACATGCGCCTGCTGAGGTAGTGCTGAGGCATCTTCATGGATGCATGCAAGAGCCCATTTCAGGTGCCAAAAAACACCTGTCTGCGACTTCTCACAAACTACTGCTCAGTAACAGGTGCTACAGTTGTTCACTGCGTTAAAAAAAGCATAAATAGCTTCTCTGTTTGTCAAAGGAAATGTCCAAATACTCAACAGCCAGCGCCTTCGCTGTTTTTCCACGCCTCTCTCCGGCCATCTCCTCTCTCACACAGAGACGTGAGTCTCCGCGCTCTGCTGTGCTCTTGGCACAGACAAGACATTTGAGGGTTGGCACATGCTTAAGAAAATAATAGGCCCCAAAGTCAAGTTTGCAACAACTTCTGGACCTAAAGCTCAATATGTCTTGGTCATTTGAAATGGGGGATAACAAGAGGAGGGGACGGGGAGTCTTGTTTATGGAGTTTTAGCAGGAAGAAGCTGTTCACCTGATGTTAAAGGTTTGCCAACAAAAACAATACTATCTCTTCTACAATGAATAATCAGCTCTCATACTGTAAGTGAATCAGCTCATTTTCCAGACTAAACTGCAGGGAGGAAAGTATCAAGACCTAGATACTTAATAAAGACCTGCTATTGAAGCTGCTATGCTCTGATTGAGTGAGCTGCCTTCTGCCCTCGTCTCCTCAGGCCCGCTTTGTGAGGAGGGTGAACTCTTCACCCACCTAGCCAGGCGGTCTAATAAGCCCCACAAAGGGACCAGTCTCTGGGCAATGGGCCACCAAGGTATGGGGCCCTGGGCACCAGGAAACCAGGAATGCAGAGGTCAGTGGAACGAAGCCAGTCCATAGGAGAGGTCACACCTGCCACCTGTCACATATAGGTTGTGTTTTGTGGTATTAACCCTGGATTACAGGAGTCCAGAGCCCTCTGTTCTCACCAGAAAGCCTCCTGTCCTGACCTTACAAAACTTACCATGGACACATCCCACATGAGGATTAGTGGCATTCCCTAGAGCAACTTGTTGAGCTACGGCCGGAATAACATCCATTCATGCCCTGGGACAGAGAGACATGCCGCTGAAACACTGCGGCTCATCTACACAGCGTAAAAATAAGTCAGGATCTACGCTCGGATCCAAGAGACACCTTCAGAGAGGAATGTTAATGACATTAACATCAAACCTCCCCTGCTATTGTTGCTGTCAAAAGTACAGACGCTCATTTGATTTATGAGGCGACTCCTCCTTTACTCCAGCGCCCTTACTTCCCATCTCTGTGCATTTTGACTCAGAGGTACTTTATGGTCCATTGGCTTTGCATAAAATTACCGCAACTCAAAATGTTACTGTGCCAAGAACCCTGTCTACAAAGCAACCAGCTGCAAAAAGGCTCTCTCTCATTGAAAACTTTTTCCCATATCTGTGACTGAAGTGTTAAGACAACAAACACCAAAACAAACATTCTCCCGTTCTAACCAGCTACGCCGCCACAAAAGTCACGCCACATACTCCCCACACACCACACAAAACCTACACACAATCACTGGGGCAACCCCTTTAGTCACCCACGGGCCCCAGCCCCACCCCCTTCACCCGGAGGCTGGAGCTAAAAATAAATTAATAATGTCACAAAGGGTGTTCCGAGGCGCACAATGCATTCCTCTCGTCCCTAGAGCCGCGGGGAGAAAAAACTGATTGATATGGACAGAATCAGGAAGTCTTCTACGAGTGGAAGAGGGGAGAGGGGCAAAGAATGAGGAAGCAAGAGATGACACTGGGAGACACGGGGGGGGGAAGTAAATGGAGAGATACATAGAGATAGACAAAGTTGAAGGGCAAACGTAGAGAGGGAAACGTTGAGTGGGTAGAAAGTGAGAGTATGAAAGAAGGAAAAAAACTGGGAAACAGAGTAAAAGCGACTACAGTGAAAACAGCAGCCTTCCACCACTCTAAAAACACCACCCTTCCCCCCACCCAGTAGAGTAGTACATCCTGGGAGCTTTGGCTCACCAAGAGATGGTGGGCATGTTGCCATGAAACGACCCCGAGTATTGGAGCGCTGCCTCATTGCAGCGAGGAGTTGAGGAAGGCCAATGTTGGCTTGGCACGAGTACAGCGCATGATTTAAAAAAAGCCATCACTGATCTTCTTAATGGTATGTGCCCGAGCTTTTCTTGGATGATAAATCTTTTTGATTTCATGCTTGCTGAGTCTGAGACCCCAGGAACTTCCAAATAACCTGTCATCACTGGGGATTAAGGGGCGCATACACTGTAATAACGTCAGGTACACCAAATCATAAAATCTGTAATTGGACGTTAACACGAACATTTCCATACAGCGGCACATGAAAGCTGCAGGAACGTCTGGGTGTATAATTTCCCAAACATAAGCCCTGCACATTCACTTTTCAATATTTCACAGCATTTAAATTCCACTGTGGGAGCGCTGATGAGTGTATGTGTTTGAGCATGTGCAACAACTGGAATTTGCATGTAACTTACATGTGCTGTGAAGCATTAGGGAAGTGCTCAGCATATTGCGGAGCTGAGTCCTCAGGGCCGTGCGGGGCAGCGTGACTGATGACCATCATCACAGGGCGGTGAGGGTACACCCGCTTGGACATGCGGAAAAAGTTTATGCTGTCATTGGTGATCAGGTCTGTGAAATAGTCCTGGAAAAAAAAAGAGAGAAACACCATGAATAAACTGGATTTATTAGGTGCTGCAGGGTTGAAAATCCCAGCCACAGATGGCGAGAAGAGGAGGAGGAACTGGGTAAGCATGCTAAACAACACAAGCTTTGATAAAACTCATTCCCAACCCAATCTGCATGACATGTTGCTTTCCCTCGTCCAGTCATTTTCAAATAAATGGAGAGGGGCCAGTGGGGATATGAACCGGGGCCATTGAGTACACTACATTACCAATCTGTCGAGTCAACAGCTGGCAGCTTGCCTGTGTGTGTGTGTGTGTAAATGTGAGTGAGGGCTCAGGTCCGTGTGGATGTGTATACAGTATATGGGCTGTTGCCTCATCAGTGAATCTCTCCACTATTGAATGTGACACCACTTGATGGTGAGAGGAGCCTGGCGCTCTCAAATGGTATGTTGTTATGACAGTTCCCACCGTCTGTACCCCACTCTCGACCAGCCATTCTCCTCTCCTGCATAACTTCATTTCATTTTGTCCCCGTGCTCATGCCTGTTTTCTTTTGTTCTTGATGATACAGTCTGGGAAAAAATGGAACACACAAATCACATACAAGAACCTCCAAATGTGCGAGCCTGAGGCGTTGGTCTGAAAACAAACTGAAGTGAATGGTAACATAACAGAACACAAAGGATACAGGGATGTCTCATAGACCCTGAGTGATCTGTTTTCAAATTTCAGCAGCACAGCGAACTGAACGAAAGTACTGCTTACTTTAAAGAGCTTAAACTCAGGAAATGTGAAATTGTCACATCAAACAAGCCACAGGCGTTGACATTTTATCACAGCCTTTGTTCTAGGTGTGGCGGAGACTCTTTTTTTTAAACATACAGTAGGACGACACACCCTGAACTGAAATCACAAAAGCATTTGCCAAGTTTCCAACAGTAGACCAACCATTCTACCTGCAGTTTTGGCATGCCGCTGTCTGGCATACAACACACGGAAGGGAGTGCCAGGCTCAGAATGAAAGGGTAAAGGGTGATTTCCCTGAAATGTCAGAAGTGTGTCTGGCTGATTCATCCTGTCTCTATTATTAGGCTTTATAGCCAGGACAGCCTTAATGACCTGGCGGCTGCAGATGCCAGTGGAGGCTGGTGATTGCGTGCACATGGCACAGCAAAGCGATGCCATACTTGTTTCTCCGTGTTAACCAGCTCTCAGGAAATCTGTGCCAATGCTGCTTAAGGCTCTGGCAGGTCGCAAGGAAGTGACAGTGTCATGGGGAATGCCTAGCCAACAGCTCTGAAATGGTCAGGGAGGTGAAGAGTATCACTTTTCCCACAACCCTTTGGAGATGGTGAATACAGAGTGGCAGTCACGTAATACAAACTCGTTAACACATGGTCTGATTTCCCATTGACATTTACTCGTAGAAATCTGGATTCTGACATTTTAAATTCACATGGTTTGACTGTCAGAGAAGCAGGGTGATTTTGGTTTAAATGTTATTTCAAACTTCCTGATCATGATGGAAACTCTGCTAGGACTGAAACTTCAGCATCAAATTGGATTGGCTGAACAGGATGCATAATGTCTTAATGATGGTTGTTACAGATTTAGAGAGAAAAAAAAAAGAGTATGAATGCATTCTCCTAGACACACACACAAAAAAAGGCTTTGACAAAGGCCTTAACCTCAGTGAACTCATCCTCCTACAGATGGAAAATCAGATGGGACTTAATTGAATGAAATCACTGGGCGAGTGCCTCATCTAATCACAATGTCTCTGTGTGCCAGAGGCTCTACATGTGGATAACCATAAACCTCTCACCCCATGTGAGTCTAAAAAGAGGAGCTGTGTGAGTCTGAGTGGTCCCAGGTTGATGGTTGTTGGTGGTAAATAGCAAATAGAGTGTCCATTTGGATTCTAACCACAATCTGCTGACCAAGCCCATGTCATGTAAACACCTGGGCCTCAGCTTGTGGGTAACTTTACACCTCAGTCCAAGTTGGCAGAGGAATAGCAGCCCAAACATTTGTTCGCCTGTCTTTTGGGCAGACCATCTTGAAACTTGACATGCATCCAAACTACAAACCCTCCTCATGGATTCCTCATGTACCCAAAGAAACGCTACCTGGGAAGATATTGGCATAGAGCTGCGAAAAACAACCTGACAGCTCTTGCAAAAACATTTGTGGAAGACTGATCGCTAATGCCATCCACAGCCGCAAAAAAGACAGTGTAACCACAGTGTTCATCTCCAGAGTCAGACCGTGGTTAAGTTTCCTCTCCCTTTTTTTATTGTGCTATCATAGTGCAAATATTCCCCATGACTTAAAGTAAAGGAAAAAGGAGTCAGACGCAGACAAAAACAAGCTAAGGGTGGTATTTATCACGGACAAAGTTTCCTCCTTATAAATATGCTTCAGCTTCACAGTGTCTAAATGTTGAGGTAAGGTGCGTCATAATAAAGGGATGCGGCAGAGAGAGGAGACGCCACCTCGAACAGCTCATTCCCTCTAATTCTCAAATGAAAATTCCTGTCAGCCTGGATCACGACACCATGATAAGTGAAGTGCTTCACTGTCTATATTTATAACTGGAAAGGAACCTGCAATTTGTCAGGCAAAGCCTTTATATTAGGTCATAAAGGGAAAACAAATGAATGATTGGGTTAATAGTCTCTCTTTAGAAGTGATGGGAACACATACCTTTGCATAATCGGCACCATGTTTTTCCTTGTAACCATTCCGACAGACAGTATAATTATAGAAGCGGGAATTCTTTATCAATCCAACCCATTCGCGCCACCCAGGTGGGATGTAGCTGCCATTGTACTCATTGAGGTACTTGCCAAAGAAGCCTGCAGAAAAGAGAAGGACAGCAGAAGGAGAATGTCTTTTAAAAAAAAAAAAAAAATTTATAGGATCCATAATTTATCTTCTCATTCTTCCTTCATAAACTTAAACCCGTGGAAACCTCCATTTTTGTACATCTGTGACTTTTTCTCTGTGTGACGCATCACTTTTTCGGCTCGTTCCTATTTTACCGACTCCTCTGCAGAGATTTCTTGGATAAGCTGGGCAGGACGCCAGGCTGTCCCAGAGCAGGCTAATTGCAGGCTAACGCATCGGCTCGAAAACCGCAGGCCACGCTGCAGCCCACAGGACCCCACTGAGCTGCCCAGTCTAACGCCTGCCCATCACTCACACAGACACTGTCTAGGGCGACATGACAGCGACCTGGCACACTCACTGTGTTTGCATTTCTCACAGCAGACAGCCAGGCAGGGCAGAGTCAAGTTTAGCTTGCTGTATAAATTTGTATTAAGCTAGTATGAAGAAGCCAGGAGGATGTTTGAGTTCTTGGTGATTGGCAGTATCCTAGAGGAAAAAAAGTCTCATGATACCCAACCCTGACTTTTAAATGTGTTATTTGTTCCTATTAAACAAGGAAAAAAAATCTCTTCATTGTGGACTTAATAAAGGCCCTTGATTCAGTGCTTATAAACATAAGAGCATGTCTTTGTTTACTCACCTGTCCTGTAGCCAGTGTTGTTGAGATAGACAGCGAATGAGCGCGGCTCATGCTGAGCCTGCCAGGAAGGGGAGGAGCAGTTCTCATTGTTGGTGTATGTGTTGTGGTTGTGGACGTACTTTCCAGTCAACATGGAAGAACGAGATGGGCAGCACATGGGTGTGGTGACAAAGGCATTGGTGAAAGTTGTGCCTCCATCTTCCATGATCTTACGGGTTTTATTCATCACCTGTAATGAACCTGAAGGAAAAGGTTTGGGGGTCAAGTGTCAGAGTTTTTTTTTTTTCAAATTAATCTCCAACAAAAGAATATAGAGTTGAATTTCATGTGGATAAAGACAGTTCTGATTGTTTGTATGACTTGACCTTTTCTTCTGAGTTCACTTAGAGGTAATTAATTATAATTCAGATGTTAATAGGCCAGATGGCCATCCAGCTTTGGCTTATGGCCACTGTTTAATATTTCATGTGGTGAGAAAGGCCTCATAAATCCTATGCAAATGCCCATAAAGACAAAGAAATTGATTAAAACAATGTGGGAATGAGGCAGTCTCACAGAAAGAAGAGAAACTAACTCAGTATGTTTTTTTTCTTTTATAAAAAAAAAAAGCAGAAAGGCGCCTGAAAAAAAAGGGTTCAAAGGATTCAAAGGAGACCAGGAAGTGTGCCAGCCTTACCCAGCTCCACATCCTGGTCGTCCGTCATGATGAGGATAATGTTTGGCCGGATGTTTCTACGGTCTCTCTGGATGCGACCCCTCAGCCCTTGTGCCCTTGTGGTAATGAAGGCCCAGCTGCCTGGAGTCCAGTCCAGAGACAACAGGACCATCCAAGCCAGCCAGTGCACCAGCATGGTGCTCCAGACGACGAGAGATTGGCTGGGTAGGTGGCAGGATTAGGGACAGCTGGGAGAAGAGGTCCAGCCAGGCCACTCACTCACACCCGTGCAGCTCCCTCAGCTGTGGCTCGCTGTGAGGAGACAGGAGGAGAAATTACATGGATATATTACAACAAGGAACACAGGAAAAAAAAGGAGATCTTTCTAAAAACAGTAAAAAAAGGAGACTGTGTTAAGTTTCTAGAAATACAGTCTGTGTAATCTTAGTTTCCTCCTGAAACTTCGAAGCCTCTTCACTTCAGAAACACTTGGTGCATCTGGTCACAAATCACACTCAAACACAACAGTTTATATATAAACAGAGGAGCCAAAAAAGAGTCTTCCGCACTTAAGCCCTTGATGGTCCACCGCGGAAAACTTACCCAACAGTTCAAACATGTGTTGCATCCTGACTGAAACCCCATAAATACTCTCCCCCTGGAAACTAAATCCCTCAACATCATCTCTCCTGACCAGAACCGAAAAATCACAGCAACTCATCAAACCATTTAAAACGTAAGAAAAGCAAAGATCTAGAAACACTGATCTCACCTCAGAGAATCCTTTAAGTCTCATTTTCTCTCCTCTCTCTTCTTCTGTTATCCCAGCACTTTTTCTTGTGTTTTTCACTCTCTCCCTCTGTATCAGATAACACACACACTCACACTCGGAAACTCTCTATCACTACTGGAGAGCTGTTGTTCAGCTAACCGTGCCAAGTCTGTGCCATTGGCTGCCTGCACTCGAACACCCACAGCCACTCTCCTGTGTCAGCCAATCATGGTCCACCTTCCACCTGTCACTCAAAAGTCACCCCCTGTTGAGTCAAGCGTGACAGTGAGCCGGTAGGGAGGATGGGACCACACTAGGGGGGAGGGGGTTAGGGGGCACAAGAGGCGGAGAGAAGGTTCTGCTACATTAACCTCAGTGCCACTGTCGCCAATCACAGCGTACCACTGAGTCATTGCACCACTTTGCAGCCTCTTGCTCACTTACAAAGTCATGGTTGGTCACAAACAGCCTGCAAATCATTTTTTCCTAAAAAGCAGGGGCCAGTATGAAATGTATACTGGTACTTAGCCTGAGCCCTGACAGTAGAAGATGGACATTATTTAAAATGTTTGTATCCAACACAGAAAGATCACAACTCCTAACGCATATATAAAAATCCTTTGTATCATTGAAGCTCACCTGGACGGCATTGCGGTGGCAGAATGGCTCAGAGGACAATGATGCTGTTACAATAAGTGCTCCATCACTGCCTGTGAAAAAGGGCCTTATGGGCAGTAACCACCCTGCAGGGTGACACCATACCGTTCTCTATTCTCAGTTAATGGCCTGAAAACAAATGACAGGTTCATGACACCTGAGCCAGACAAACCCAGCTGAGCGGCTCCACCTCGACACTTACTTCCACAAAGGGGCCGACACCAATTGGCGAGGAGTGTAAGCAACACCTTAATTAAGTCATCATTTATGTCATCTGACTCATAATGGAGGAACTCTGAAAATCAGTTCAATCTAGTGTGAGAATTTTCAGATTGATGATGATTCTCAAAGGGCAACCAGAATAGATATGGAGGCTGATGCTGGAATAAAAAAACATCTTCTATGCAAATTTTATACAAGTTTGAAAAGCAACAAGGAGGCATCTTTTCTCTAAGTTAGGTGAGAACATTGTACCTGATTCTGTTTGTTCAACCACTCCTAATGCAGAGCAGAAGCTGCGTACCGAGGGACACTTTATGCCTGATAGTAACTGCAAAAAGAGAAACCAGTCAGGCTCTACTTTTAAAAAGTCTTTCAAAATGGAAAATCTGGATTATTTTTCTAACATGATGACACGCTGTGTTGGTCTTTGCATAAATATTGTGTATTTATGAGTTGCATACAAAAGAAAAATACATAAAATCTAGATTTGATTAGGGTTTTATTGTTGGGTTTTTTGCCTTATTTAGGGAGGACAATAGACGGAGTGGGAAACTGGGGGAAGAGAATAGGGAATGGCATGCAGAGAAGCTGCCCCCTTCGAGGACTGGGGTTCATGACTAAGCGCTGAGCTAAACCAGCCCACTAAAACCTAGCTTTATGTAGTTTTATAACTGTAACACACACTTACACAAACTATCTGTAAAATCCTTTTCTCATAAAGCAGATGGATGTAAGCAGGAAAACACAACTACAACTAATCAACTCCTACCTGTAATTCAAATGGTTCAAAGGTATGTGTTGTTCTTTATCTTGTGCTGAACTGTTTATCTGGTTTTACTCTAGATAGATGCTGTCTCCAGTGTAGCTTCAGGCAGAGATTTAAGAGCACTTTGGTTTGTCCTGCATTTCAGATGAGCAGTGTCTGAGCCAGCCAGCCCAGTCATCGTGACAGCCCTGTGCAAACATTGGCGCTGTTTGGACAAACACCCCTCCAGCGTAGGGTGGCAGAGTGCACAAAACCTCACACAACACAAACTACAGTACAAACATATGGTGACACACAGGAACTCATAAGACACTCACACACAGAGGCTTTCTCCCACAAAAAAAAAACACGTTCTCCTGCCGTGAGGGTCGAGGTCCTCCTACAGGAATGGGAACGCTTCCCAGAAACAATAGGCACAACCCAGATCTAGACAAAACTGACGTCTCTATTTCTGCAGGAGGGGAAGACTTGAAATCAACTGTAAGCTAGTAGCCAACCAGTGTAATGTTAGCACCCAGCACAAATTCAATTTTACATGCCAATGGCTCCCAGCAATAGCCTCTTCATGCAACTGAGAGAAGTGAGAAAACACACAAGAAGGCTCATTGTGAAATCTGATACAAACCTTGTGGTGCTGATGCTGTTAGTTATACTGGTATCAATAGCTACACTGTCTGAAACGACTGAGATGGCAGGGCTAATTAAGTGCCACACACGACAACCAATGGGATTCCGGCTCAAACTGAAGAGCACAGCTGCTGCCATGACGAGGGCGGACCTCCCCCTGTCCTTTAGGTCACCTCTCATCCTAACTTCATTTTTCCTGATCCACTTTCCTCACAAGGTCATCCGAAGTTCATTCATGGCCAGAGCTGTTTCTACCAGCTCTCTGTCTGCCAAACGTTTCTACATGAGGGTCATTTGACAGCAGTACATCTGAAGGTGAACGCTCTTTAGAGTACAAACATTTTTGACCTACTGAATAAATAAACTGTGTGGAGCACAGGTTCGATTGAAAAGACTCCCCAGTGCAGGACAAGTGACTGTGTGGCATGACTATATGCGAATAAGTTGCAAGGCAGTGGGTCTGTTTGTACCCTTCAACTATCTAAGTTACCAAATTTGAGTACAGATAGCAGGATTACAAATTTTACATGCAAGGAAAGATGGTACTGGAGAGCAACATAGCTGTATAGAAACTGGAGTTTGTGGACTTTTACCATAGACTGTATAAACTATGGACAACTTGGTTCCGCCTCCCGCCAGTATACGGATTTGAAGCCAAAAAGCTCTCGGTATTTCCGCGTTTTTTTCTTAATTTCCTGAAACCAGCACTGCGTAGCAGCGTTGTGCGGATTCAGCGGCAGAGTCGCTGTGATGACGCTTGGCTCAAACAGCGTATCCCCCGAGAGAGCTACGCAATCCCTTAACACCAATAGGCTGTATCAGGTGTCAATCAGAGAAAACATGAACCCCCCAATAACTTTTAAAAACGAAGCTTCACAGAAAAAAGAGGACTTGAGCACAAACCAGTCTTACTGTAACGACATGTCAACATCGCAACCAGGGGGGAGAAAAATTTCTATTCTGCGTAATAAATTTCTAAAGTTTGTCCACAGCTCCACAAGCTCTGCTGGCAGAGGCGGGATTTATGACCTGTACTGCAGCCCATCAACAGAGGGTGCTGTTCTCGGAGTGGCTTCACCCAGCAAGGAGGCAGACGCTGTCCATTTTATATACAGTCTCTGACTTTTACCCCTGAGACACAGATCAGTGCTTTTAATTCTTAGCACCGCAAGACGTAAACTAAAGATGCTACACAGACGGTATATATCGGAGGAAAATGGTATACAATCAGAAATCTAGGTGTTTATTTGCCTTCAAATCTGAGATGAAGTATATAGACAGTTTCAATGACCCTAAGAAATCCCCCATAAGAAGTTTGTTAGTGGCAATTTTTGCAGACCCTTTTTTTGAATGAGTCATTTATTTATGTCATCCAGTGTGATATGAGTGCAACAGGTTCCTTCAATACATCTGTGGAGCAGACAAGAGGTCTTTATTCTTGGATAAAGTCCCTGGAGAACCAGAGAGAACATTGTTTCTCCTTCCTCATTGTTTTGGAGGATTAGCACTAATGACCCTTTAAATGAGCCTTTACTGTACTCATCATGGTTAAGCTGGGGGAGGAATATTGGGGAGGGATGTGAGGAACGTTAAATGCCCAGGGGTTCAAAGGACTGGAACAAAAAGATCACTGTGGAGTTCAGAGACACGCAGCTGCCAGATACATAAAAGATGTGTAATTTTCAGATTAATGGCCATCAACACCAGGGATGTTTAGCACACCTCAACACCCTCCTAATCTTCACTTTCATGAAAGTAACTTTTTTTTTTCTTACTTTACTTGCAGAGAACTCTTTCACTTACCCTCCTTTGGCACATGCAGCACTGCTCAGTGATTTGGTACGGCTGCACAGACAGCTGCGCTTTGTGCACCAAGTAAAGCTGAACATAATAGAGTTGCTGCTTGTGTAACCATCCAGGGCAGCACTATTTGGCTGGTTGGCAGTTGTGCCCTCCAGTTAGGGCCTCAAACCACACACCCCGCTGCACCCTGACCCTCCTCTGACCCGAGTGGTAATATGGCTTTGATGGTGGCTTGTTTAACCTAACCTCAGCAACCTGAGGCTACCCACACACTGAGGTTAAGAGGGGAAACTCTGAGGGAAGAGGAAAAAAAATTGATTGGAGGGGGTCTTGTGCAGAGGTATGAAAATAACAAAGGTCTCGTAAAAGGCTGCTTGTGATTGGCCAGCATATTCATTTCAGCAATGGCCAACAGGCTGCATCTGGCTCAGGTTCTGTTCAGTCAGCAGAGGCAGCCCGTGCATTTATCATCTGTCACTGAAAAACAGCAGACGCTCGGTGGAGACAGAACTTTCTCAGTAACAAGCACGCTGAGTGATAGCCATGAATCCTTGTGTATTTGTCTTCTAATGCATGTCCACCTACAGACTTTATGTTAACATAAAGAGTTTGGAGGTGAAGAGGTTTACCCTCCCACTTCAAAATGCAAGTCGAACCCAAAACAGATGCTAAGCTGTACAACGATAAATCAGTCATTCATAAAGGGTCTTACTTTTAAAGACAGTGGCTATTGTGCAGTGCCTCAAGTCCTTTCCTATCCCTGTCTTTTCTCTCTTGCTCCCCCTCTATTCTGCAGCCAAGCCACAGAAGAACAACAGCAAAGAAAAACTAATTGAAGTCCGCTGGCGTTTTTTGAAATCTGCAGGTTGTTCTGTCCTTCTAAAGGATTTATGGCTGGATATGGTGGTAACAGCCCTTCTGCATTGTCACGATTTAGTGTACGGACTTCGCCCTAACATGAACCATGAGAAAACTATAAAAGACAAACTACAATAAAGGTAAAAAGAAGAATAAAGTACTTCAATGTGTTTGTAAGGTTATCTCCAAGACAGCAGAAGAAGGTAAGTAACACTAACTGCTCCCCTTCCCTATTTCATATGGGGAAAATGATCATTTCAGGGCCTTAGATTAGGGTTTGTCCAAATATTTCTGTGATCCATGGGAATTCAGCTGGTGAACTGCCACAAGGGCTGACAAGGGGTTTTGCACTGAGAAGGGCCTGTGTCAGGAACTGCTCTGCTCGCCAGGCCAAGGGCTGCAGACTTTACCCACCAAGACTGGCCCGTCAGTCGCACCAAGCAGACTGAAGGAGAGCTCTGTCCCGGTGCACCCACTTGGCCGTGGGAACGCACTTGGAAAATGCTCAGACCTTGGTGTTTTTAGACTCTTAACTTCATGGATTTGTTTGACCAGAATGCCCAGATTGGTGGAGGATCTCTGAAAAAATTCCAGTGAAAAAAGAGAAGTGCAAGGCAGGGAAGGGTGATCACTGGCTCTTTGTATCAACGTGTTTACAGCTACACAGCTCCTTACCTCAACAGGCACATCCAGAATCTTCATTTCATCCATGTTACGACTATCGAAGTTCAGATTTTGCAGCAAGGAATGATTCCCATCCCTGGTATGCGGTGTGTTTGGGTACAATGCAGGCCACTTTAATGAAGAAGAATGGCCTCGATTCAGTGAAATGTGAACCTGGAGCGAGTGCGTGCACGGCTATTAGTGGAACCCCTCATGTTTCTTTCGACCCCAGTAAGAGATCCTTTGTAGTGCTAAGGCTGCCGGGCTACCCCATCAATATTATGGATGCATCTTAATGTATAATTAAATGAATCCTGGTCCAAAAGACTTCAAAGTAGGAATAGCTTGTGGACCACCAAGTGGTCTGGAAACCATGAGGGGGCAGTGAGGACTCTAAGAGGAAAATGATTAAAAAATACACAAGGTCATTTCAGAAATGGCAAAAGCTGCCTGTATTTATTTGTCTTTGTGTATGTGTGTTCCTGTCCTGAGGGTGAACTGCATTTGAGTATTCAGAGTCCAAGCTAAGGATACCCTTTGAAGTAGGCTGTATTTCTGAGCTAGTCTGGGGCTTCAGGGTCAATAGATAAGGTAAGTGTCCTTTAGTTTAAGTTGGTACTTAGTTCAGAACCCAGATGGAGAAATCTGTAAAGGCGGGTTATGCTTCTCTCTTCAGATTTTGAGGGCAACAGCGATGCATTCATTTGATTTTCTTTTATAAACCTGTGATATCAATACAACACAGATGCACGGAGAAACCGCACGACCCTGAATGATTTTCTGAACTTTCTAGAGGATGTACATGTCTTTTTTAGGTTTGCTTTTCAAGTGAGGGCCAACTGTACAAGTGGAAAAGCAGTTTTACTACTTAAAAGGGTGAGGAAAAGGGTAAGAGGAAGAAAGAGGAGGAAGAGACTGAATGAAAGCTGAACCACTTATCTGATTTATAGTGTGATATCTAAACATGGAATCACAATTAGAGGATCAGCAGCCACAGTTTTGTGATATGGGCCTAAAGCCAGTGCTCTCTAGTTAAATCTATTCAAAACCATGAATGGAAACCATTTGCGATAGACGACCTCAGATGAATAAAATTCATTTATATTCCTCCTCCAGCCTACTCTCTCTTGTCAAAACCCACACTCCCATCAAAAACACACTATCAGGCTGCAGGAGCTCCAGAGTAAGAGGCGGTAGAACATATTGCTCACTCACGGGTGGCTTTCTTGTCTCTTTGACTCTTCAAATATACCAAAGATAAATTATTCCCATTCCCACAAAAGAGAGCTGTGGCAAATTGCTTTAATGGGTTTCCACTGAGGTAATTGTCAAGAATAGAGATGGATGTCTTTTCCATAAAATCAGCTGCATGGTGGCATGAGGGAAAGATGGAGAGACAGACAAGGAAAAGAAATCAGAGATTAAAATGTGTGAATGAAAAATACTTTGTTGAGCAAAAAGCTCTGTGCAGTGACAGAATGAGACACTGTGGTAGACTGTGATGTTGTTTGATGAGGGGTGATGGTGTGGGATAAATCTCTTTTATAGTTGTGTTGTTTTACACAGAGCAGTGCAGTAGCAACAGCATGCAAACTTTACAAAGTCTCAAACTGACCTCAGACCTCAAAACTGGGATAGAAATGGAGGGTAAAGCCTGACATCAGACAAAGAGACACACACAAGCAAAGCATCATAATGCTGAGATACTTTTTCATCACAAGCTAGGATAATGAGGAAAATGTTCTATACGGCAAATTCTGCTTCAATTTTTCCCATCCAACCCTTTAGAGTAAAAATAGAGTCCTCTTTCCTTATTATATAGACAGAAGATAATCATGTTTAATTCAATACAGACAGTGTTGTGCTTGGCAGCAAAAAAGAAAAAAAGAAAGGTAAACAGAACATCCTGCTTTCAAACTCTACGAGCGCTGCTCTTCTGGGAAAAATTAAGCCTTGAAACATCACTTCCAAGACATAATTTCAAACAGACAGACAATGAGATGAGTGTAAGCAGCTGAAATGAATATAAATACAAGATGAAAAACCCCTCTGGTCTGTCAGTAAAGATAAGCAGTTTAAACAAAACTGAATGAGTCACATAGACCCCCTTTAAAAGTTCACCTTATGAATGCACTGTTGTTAATAGAGATGGTAAAGCTAAGTCAACCACTGAAATTTCTACCTCCATTATGATACTTCCAAAGTGCTATTGCTATTGATTCTTTCTAGTGGATAGATAGAAGAAGAGTGACCAATATAATGCTGAATTCACATGGACAGGGTGTTCTTATGGCCTGTAAAGCCAGATAACCAGAGATCAATTATTATTAATTATCTGTGTCGATTTTAAAATTAGAGTTTAAAATATGGGGTTTAAGGAAAACCTTTAACTTCTGTCAAATTCAGTTGTCTTTAACACCATCACTTCCACATTACCTGACCTCACTGCGGAATTGAAGCTCTGTGGCAGCAGACATTCGTGTAGAGCTGGAGGGTCTAGTTATGATTCGATCCCGATCAATGCAGCTCTAAAAAGCCAGCTCTTGAGCATGGACGACACTAATAAAAGCTGTTTTGATACCAAAAGAGGTGGTTCTTGGTGAGCTTAAGGATCTGGATCACTAAAAGAGTCATTGGGAGCATTAAGACTGAGGTTGTTTAGCTGAATAAGAGGAGAGATCCAGACCTTGCTCTCATATGATTAGATGGATCGCGGACAACTAGAGCGAGAGCATATGGCCTTTGTAGATTTGAAGCGGAGAGATTAAGATCATATATCTTTACTGGATTTGGATCGATGGGACCATTGGACTTTTAACAGGTTTGAAGTTTAACAATAATGATAACGTCTGTTAATATCTAACATAATGAATTTATAATTAACTGTCATTTAAGTTAACATCTGTGTTTGCCAAAGAACAGTTCACAGAGTTCATTTTTTCATTAACTGTGTCCATCTCTGCAGATAACCCACATATGAGTAAAAAATGGGAACAACCATTCAGCACACAATTCAGTCACGCCCCCCTTTACTTTAAAAAAAAAAAAAAAGACCCACACCATTTCCAAGAGGCGATCAACACAAAAGGCAGATTCCTCAGTATGACCTGGTAGCGGCAGCTCAGTCAGCAGTGCAGTACTGCTGCTGGCGCATGAAACCAAACACCCCTAAAATGTGGAACATGTGTAGGCATATTCTCCGGGAACTGTAGACAAACATAGAGCATGAGAACCAGCCTGCGTGACCCTGGACGCCATAAACAAACCTCTCTGTGGCTGTAGCGCACCAACATGATACCGCTCATAAAACGCATTCGTCCGATTGCACCTGTGCCTGTTCAGCACTCTCCTCTGCCCAATCCCTTTGGGCATGGCAGCATATGTATTTGGATATGGTTCACTCTGTATGAGCACCAGTCATTCACTGAAACAGTCAGAAAGAATCAGTCAGACTTCAACGCAGACAGACACGTAACCTGTAATTTGTACACAGGGGAGCTCTCCTTTCCATTGCCTCTGGCTCTGTGTGTGGCTTCTCCAAAGCATGCAGTAACGTCATTTGTGATTTAATTAACTTTATCCTGCCTGGCATAAAATCTTGATCTTCTTGCATTGTACAATATCTAAATTAGGTTATCATCTTAAGATATAATTAGCTTACAAAGCAGAAAACAGGAAGCTTACTGCTCCAAATCCTTCCATGACTCTACGTCTGAGCCAAAGCTGAAGGAATGCAGTCGACACATCATCCCAGCGTGTTTGAGAGACACCAGCCAAACTCGGCTGAACTTGCCACAGGCGGTTCAAGAAAAGCAAAGCAGGGATAATGCTGTCATGCAATGCTGGACCTTGTCAGTTTAAACAAAGTTGCTCAACCTTCAATTTTTCAGCTGCTCGAAATATCCAACCAGTCTGCATCTTCATAGTGAAGCAGTTAAGTGTTCAAGCGAGGGCAAACAAGACCAGAGGCTACCAGTAGCACATGGCCAAGTCCACACATACAAGTGTTTGTGCACACACACACACACACACACACACACACACACACACACACACACACACACACACATACACACACACACACACACACACACACAGACGCACACGGGCAGAAGAGGGGCGCACTGGCAGGAGCTGAATGTGTTTGCCCGCTCCAGGGGAGAAGGGAAGAAAAGGAGCAGAAGAGCTGAAACAAACGCATGCTGGCTTCTATTAGTCGAGCTGTGGAGCGGGATGGAGGGGTGAGGAAATGTATTCATTCCCTCTGTCCCCCTCCATTCCCGTCCCTCCAACCCTCCCACCCTATTATCTCCATTCTGGAAAGGCGGCGGATGAAAGGGACAACCCCCCAGTGGCAGCACTTCTCCCTCCAAACTTAGGCCGACGCATTCTGACGGCTGCTTAATTGTACGTGATACAGGCAGGGCCCTTTCTCTTTCAAATCTAAAACAGATTGCTTCTCCCTGGGGAGGGGATTATTGGACAAGAGAGATGACAAAGCAGGGACAGTGCAGCCCTCTAGGGGGTGGAGGACGAAGGGGGTAAGCTGGACCATGATGTGTATGTGTGTACACGTTTTACTCTGTTTCTCTTTTGTACATGCCTGTGTCACCAGAAGATTATGTTTGTGTCCATGTGTTTTGAATGCGAGCACGTGTGAGTAACAACCAAGACCGTGTGCAGAAGGGCCAGCCTTCGATCGCTGAATCTTTGTGTCCACTTCAGACCACTTCTTTGGTCCCCTTCTTTATCACATGTTCACACCTCCCTCTGTCTTATCTTGGCCTCTTCTACTTTATCCCTCTTCCACTTTGCCCTCTGTGTCTCTCTTGACCCAGCTTTCTCTTTCTCCCTCTTAAGCCCATGCTGCATCCACATGCAGTGACATTTAAACAAAAGAAGCTCTGGACATCTCAGAAGAAGCATTAAAATCCTCTTTCTCTCACTTAGTGGCCAAAATGTGCTGTAATGAATAAAGCCTAAAAGCAGTCCCACATCTTCAACCCTCTATTCATTCTCAGGAGAAAATTACAAGAACCTGGTCAGAGGTCATTACTGGCTTTACAAAGCCTTTTCTTCTCAAAACACATCTTTTCTTTCTAACTACTCATCAAGGTAGAGACTCAAGGCAAAGAAAAGAGAAACAATGCTGGACAAAATAAGTTAAGTATTGCGTATAAATGTAGTTTGCTGCTCTCTGCAACATGTGCAAGTACTACAGCTAAGAGCGGGGGATTAGGCATTCCCACCAAAGATGAGCTGAATGTGATGTTTGCATGCCCTGACCTTCAGGGCTCAAATGAGGGGCTGAACAAACACATAGGGGTGCTATTGTGAGCCACCCGACACCCCAAAATAGATAAATGCAGCAGGTTTGTGTGCATCCAGATATATAAGGCCCATTTCCCTGGAGATATGCACTCTAAAGTCAAGGACACGTTTGAAAGCTGCATGTTGGTGCAATGAAACTCAGTGGAAGTGTTTGATCAGCGAGGACAACAAAGGAAGTGAGAAAGTGGCTGACTCATCTAAAGATAGCCTTTCTAGATCCCACACAAATAAAAGCATGCCAAATGCACACTGTTCAAATACCGGTCATTTGCAGCGATAGGTCTGTGCAATCGACTCTGGCGCTACTATGCAATCAGGCGAGTGTGAGGAACACTATCATTAAGCTGGAGAGATAAACAAGCGTTGGAGGAGAGGGCGGTTTAGGAAATCTTTTCTTATCGTGCTCACACACAAGAGGACACACACAAACTATGGAAAATACAGAAAGAGATGCTAGACAGTCAGACAGATAAAAAAGCAAGAAACTGGCAATCCTCTGGTCTCTAGAATCACAGACGCAGAGTAAGTTAGTTAAAGGATTACTGCAGTGTTATTCTTTTGACTGATTCGTTTGATTCGACCATCTGCAAGTCTTTGTTTGCTCAAACCTAAAGAATAAAGCAATTATAAAAGATTTGAAGGGCCAAGATAAAACAGAGCATGACTCAGCTAGATGTAGATTTAGAGAAAGGGAAAGATGGTAGGCTCTTTTTTTTTAATTTCGAATTTCTGAAACTGAACACATGGAAAAGGTACAACATTCACCGCACAAACACCCTAATGAATCACTACTTTTACAGAAAAAGCACCAACCGGAACAGTTCACATCCTTTCCATTTGTGGATACGATAACGCTGCCCTGAATGCCTTCAACCTTGTTCATCAGGCAGCTCATAAGAAGTCACACAAAATGTCTGGGAAGTCTCTGATTCATTGTGGTTGGCATTTTGAGAGAACACATACAACATATATTGGACAGCTATTAAAAGCACAGATCCTACCTCTTCCTTTACACTCACTCACTCATCATGTTTATCAGAAGGCTGAATGACTTCACCGCTCGCCTTCACACACGCACACCAAAGCAGATTCAAACGATGGCAGAGCTGCTACTGGAACAACGTTTGTCTTGGCAAGCGTCTAGCCCCCCAAACCTAATTATTTGCAGCAGCTGCTCATGCTCTTGTTTGTAGCACAGTGAAGCTAAACTGTTTAAGGGATCTCCCTTCTCCTCTGAGCTGGCAGTCAGCACTAAAATCTTAAAAAAAAAAAAAAAAAAAACGCCCCAAAGCTGGTTTGCAGTGCTCCAGGTGAGGTAATCAGAAACTGAACCTGAAAACTCCTGGGTCAAACCAAAGTGTAAGGAAGGAGAGATTTATGGATCGGTCTCGTCGATAGAGAAAGTTTGGGGGCAGACCTCATCATATTACTCCAGCTTTCCAATTCAGTAATACAAATTGGCACGGTCATATGTTTTGAAACGTAAGCCAGTCTGACTCCTAATTGTGCCTGGTACAAACAAGCTGCTGTGATGGAAACCACAGCATTTTTGTGCCATTTAGAAAAACTACTTTCAGTGGACTAGCAGAGAAGAGGAAAACTTTTATTCTATACATGATAAAGAACAGAGTCCTGCATTTGTCTCTAGAATAGAAGAACTCTGATATCAAGCTAACTGGAAACAGGAAAATTGATTTGAAGAGAAACAAAATTCAGAATTCAAAATGTACTTTGCAAATGAAGTTAGGCTGTTACGTACAGATATGTCACTTTATCTGACTTTCTCAAACTGTTGCAGAATCTTAAATTAGATGTCTATCACCTTCTACCGCTCAGCTGTTTCACTGACCTTCCCTAATGCCTCACTTCTGTACCTAAATCTCCACCCGCCTTAAAGCATAAGTTATCACAGTCTATTGGTGGTTGTGTTAAATACTTCAAGTAACAAGCAGGAAGTGTAGCTACGGCTGGTTTACCAAGGTAAACATAAACCCACACAACAGCAGCTTTCACCCATACAACCTCCTCTTCTCTCAGCCCGGTTGCTGTCCACACTGCCTCTCACAGCTGCACAATCTCCTTTGCAAAACACCTCATATACACACATACAGAAACACACATACATACACGCACAGTGCCTTAAGCTGAGTATAAACGCTAAACATCATATAGCCCACCTCACTGGCAAGTTTCCCTTCTCACTTGACTGGAGTTAAATGGCTGAAGTGAGGTGTACAATCTGAGTCTCTGCCTCTCTGCTGGGCCCTGACAGTTTGTCCGGAAAGCGCTCTTCAGCAGCCCATCCATTTAGCGAAACTGACACACACTGCCAGAAGTGCACTCCGAATAAGATTTATGAAAACATATCTGGGCTGAAGTGAGGGAATATAAACTGCCACATTAACTTTTGGGAATGTAGATAAAAATGTGCTTGACTTTCCAACTGTAACAGCTGAGAGATAGATAAAGGAAAGTCTGTCTTTACTTAGTACAGAAATGAATCATTCAGGAGAGAGAAACAGGAATACAAACTGAATATTTTAGTCATGCAGATTATATAACTCGTATGATGCTCCAACTGACATAACTCATTATGCAGCATACCTTTCTAAATAATAGCAAGCTGGTTGGTTCCTTCCCCTCTCAAACAGCCTGCATTCAGAGAGCTTGAAATTAACAGATGGCTGCTTATGGATTCGGGGAAAAATGACATTAATGGAATGTGCTGCCTTCTAATCCCCTGAGACTAAGGAATTTGCGACGGAGGGAATTCCTGTCATTCAGGGGGAAAACTATGAAGTCCAGCGCACACAGAGCTGCTGTACAGACAGCACAGATTTACTGCACTTGTAGACTCCCACTCCTGACTGACTCCCTGCTGCATCAGAATTTTACTGTAAACTGTGCAAACTGAGAGGCAGTGGAGGAGAAGTGCAACACAGAGGTAAAACAGCAAAATCAAAATAAAGATAGTAAGAAAGTTGTTAAGTACCTGAAAGGTAGGAGAGCAGAGTGCCGGTCGAGTGAGTGAGAGGCAAGGCTAGGATTCCTCTCTGTGTTTGCGTCTCGCGTTTCTTGAGCTGCTCTCCCTCCGCTCATAGAGGGGTTTGTGTCTTGGTGCAGGGACTTTAGGTTGAAGAGTAAGGGGGACCACACAGCTCCTGGAAGACAACCTCTCTCCTCTAATCCTCTCTCCGATGTGATGACACTCTCTAACCTCGACCATCTGTTGAAACACGTCCCGGAGCAGTCAGCACCGCGCTGTGTCAAGAACCCCACTCCCCTGCCCAATCACAGACCGGCTGCTGGGTGGCTCCTTGCTGCCAGGAGGCAGGGACAAGGACACAGCTCAGCGCTGAGGGAGACACACACGCACGCATGCAGTCACACGCACATACACGGACACACTACGAGATGGGAGCAAGAAAACCCCCAGTCATCGTAACCTGAGAGGCAGAGCAAGAGGAAGGGAGAGGGAGAAAGAGAGAGAGGAGTGGAAAGAGAAGGAATGGGAGGGGAGAGAGGGTGAGGGAGAGCAAGAGTGGAGAGAGAGAGAGAGAGGGGGAGTGTGCAAGAAACAGAAAGCATGTTTGTGTGGCATACGAATAGATAGATAAAAAAAGATGGAGATAAACTGTGATTATTCTTTGTATTCTGCTTATGTTACATAACTGTTCTTACACAATTCTCACACTGAAAACACACACACACACAAACACAAACACACTGATACACAACCTACTTTACCCTCTGTCCCTGACCCCTCTCTGCCTTTGCCTGCAGCTGCAGGGTATGTGGTCTACAGAATCAAACTGAAAAGCAATAAAATTCTGTATTGCCTTCATGGTGGGAATGCTGTTGGCACTAAACTGCTACATCTCCAGGCACAGAAGCGCAGGCAGCAGCCCTCACACCTTAGTGTGATAAATCCTTACAGTCCCTCGGATGCATTCCTGCCCTTCACCACCTATTGCCTTAAGTTAAAAAGGAGGGCAGAGGGGAAAGACACTAAAATTACAAAGCTCAGGAAAGAGCGAGATAGAAAGGGAAAGAAGAGGAAAAGAAGCCGAGATAAGGGAGGTTAGGGGTTTACAGCTGGATTGATGGAAGCAGACTGATAACGCAAACGTTTGCCATCAGCCTTTCACGTTTACACTATCACTGTTGCATTTCCTAAATAAATCATCCATTTTTCAATGCATTCAAGCAAAACACAAGGAGACATGAGGTGAGAAAGTCTGTCGCATTGATCATTTTGCTGAACTACTGTCCTACTCACTGATCCATTAAAAAAGGATTACAAGACTGATGATATTCAGGAGCCACTTCAAAGGCAACCCTAATGAGCTGATGCCCATTTGATATCCGCCAGCATCACAATGAGTTAATCAGAGGTGTGAAACGCTAAAGGAAGGCTTCTAAGTGGGACATTTGCATTCAGTGAGCAGCATCAACACCCGGCCTCTGGTTCAAGTCTTTGATAAAGACTACTGAGAGTAAATATGCTAACAGACTGAGATTAATGAAGACGCTCATTGTGTCAAAATCACTCTTAATCAATTGTGGATGAGTTTTCCCATCTTTATCCTGATCTTAAACCTCTCTCCAGTGGGATTTTATGACACTGTATGTGCTTTATTTTGAAAAGATTAGTATGTGTGACCCCAATGCTCAGCTTTCATAAATGTTATGCTGAGTTCTCTCATATGTATCATGTTTCCTTTTTAATTTCATTGCACTACAAACAACAGCAGAGATACTGCCAATGTCTGCAGTGAAACTCACGGTTATATTTCCCCCAGGTTTACATATGAGGATATTGGATTAAACTAAACAAAGCCTATTTTCACCAGGGACACGTGAAACTTTCCTCAGCTTGGACTGATGTTTGAAACAGGGGCAGCAAAGAGGGAGAAAAAAAAGGGCCTTGGGGGAAAGAGCTCAAATTAGATTAACTAAATTCACAAAGACTGTCCCCAGCCCCTCCTGCATGGCTACACACACCCCAACCCACACCTCCAACCCCAGCCCCCATTCTCACGGCCGAGGGGTTTCCAAAGGGCCTTCAGGCAGGCCAGGGGCGACCAAATCCCTCTGCTCTTTACTGGATTAAAGATGGCTGCCCCACTGGGAGAGAGGGTCTGTTTTTTCATAAGCTGAGCACATCTGTAAACATCATAAATCCACGCAGACGGAAGAGGTTATCAGGCTAAGTTTTCAAGAGGAAACATGCACCAGCCTTATCTCTAAAGGCTCACCTCCAAACAATTCAGAGTTAAAACCGGTCATTCCTCAGATGCAAACATAGATCCTCAATTTCACACGATCATCCTTCTCTCAATTTCTATTTCTAGCGATGGACACAACAGCAGTAAAAAGAAAGGGTAAAGAGAGGTTGACAAAAAGGCCTCATCGTATTCTTTACTAAGAATTCACCTCGTCCATCGTGGTGGATATCTGACTTCAAAATGTTTCAGGGTGAGCAGTCTCCTTTCAGATTGGGTCCTCAGTACAATATTATATCATCCTGTTGTCTCTCCTCCCAAAAATGTACTTTTCAAAGTGAACTCTCACATCTCCAACTCACGTCCCCCCTTTTCCATCCAGCTTTCCAACCATCAGTTGGGCCTGCAGGTGCAGGCAGAGGCCAGTGTTGGGGGGCTACTCGGTTCACTAGCCCCATTCACTCTGGCTGAATGAGATACATAGGGGTGTCATAGCTGTGATCCGCCCTGTGTGCCAGTATAGAGTCGAAGCGCTGGAGCAGGGGGGAGAACCGCCATGATGTGGAGGAAGGAAATCCTTGGGGTGACATTGGCTTGAGCTGCAGTGTTTTTAAATGCCAAGCATATAAGCGCTGACATGCTATCCACCCTCTGAAATGCACTGCTGTAGATTTATGTCAGATGACTGATGGGTATCTGAGTATTAAATGTGTCAGCTGCTGAAGACAGCTCAGATACTCAGATGGGAATATAAAAACTATTGGCTAAATAACCACTAACCCAGGTAGCAGAGTGAATGTTAAAGACAAATCTGTGTTTACAGCTAAGCCGAAGTCTAATGAGTTGGTAAATCGAGGTAGGTCATGGTGGTGTTGTTCCTGGAGACTACATTTGCTTCTGTCCTGCTGATTCCCAGGACCTCTCACACTTCAGGGGGTCGAATCAGTGTCATCTTATGTTCATGCCAGAGAGGCACGGATGAGAGTCAGGGATACAACAGGAAGAGCAGGAGAAGACACGCACAGTTGGCCATGAATGTGAACGGCTGGGAGGAGAAATGAAAGGCAGGAGAGGAGAGGACAGAGGGGGTACAGGAATACAGTAGGGACAGAGGGCCGGCGAGAGTGAGGGAAAAATAGAAGGAGAAAGTGGAGAATGGAGAAGGAGGAGGAGTGGGGTGGACTTCAGTGGTTCGGTGACAGCTGAACACGCAGCACACGCATGTGGAAGGAGCTCTCCTCACGCCAGCCTCCTGCTGTGTCATGCATGTGCCCTTTTTCTTCTCCTATGTGATTTAACACGCTTGAAACTCACATATCCATGTGGACATGCATGGCGAGGTCTGTCACAATGTCCTCACAAAGTCACATTAAAAATACTATACTGAGTGCAAATCAATTCATTCATCATTGTAAATCCCTGCCTAAGCTTCCATTGACTTACGTACTTTTCAAACAAGGATTTTTATCATTTAATGACTAAGGATAGTAGTTTTTTTTCCCCTTTTACTGATCTGGTTGCCTTAAGGGCTTATCCAAAAACAGAAAATGGACCTACAAAAAAAGAAAAAGAAAAACACTGTTACAGGAGCTCAGAGTTTTTCACTACTTCCAACCTCCAAATCTGACTATTACTCTGATTCTTTGTACTCACAATGATAGATTTTTTTTTGCTTACATGCTTTTTCAAATCACAAGACCTACAACAAAACACCGGCCAACACAGCCAATCAAAAGACTTAAAAGCTTAATCATTGCTTCAATAAACATCTAAGGCGACACTTACTCTTGAAGACCCATTGTCAAGCAGCTGACAGGTAGTGCTGCAGACAAAAGGGAAAACACAAACACATAATGAAGTCATTAACAGTAACCTGAGATCAAGCGCTGGATGATGTTGATAGGATTTAGAGGGCTGGTAATAATGACATCCACCAACAGACTTTGGTTGGATGCCAGATGTGCTATCACCTCCATGATAGATGTTAACACGTCGGTCAGTCATTGTCACCTATTATCAAAGTAAGAGAGTAGAAGCCAGAAAAAACACATGATCTCAACGCACAGGCCTTTGAATAACAAAGTATTAACCCAAAATGTATTTGTTCAGAGTCGTCAGAATATTTTTTTTTAAATTCCCATAACGGCAAAAGTTCCTTTATTTTCATGATTAGATTTTCAATTCCTAAAATACAGTCGACTTTGGTTGTAGTATCTGTTTATACTCATACATTATTAAAGCTCTCCAGGGGTTATTTTGAGTTTAAACTGTTTAGCGAGGACGTTAAATGCCTCTTCTACCTCTGAGCAGATGAGCAAATGATGGACATCTCTCATAAAAATGCAAAAGTTAATCAACTTCATATGAAAGTTGACTTGAAGGGAGAGAGTGAATAATGTTAACTTATTGCTATCACTATTACTATGCCTACCATCAGTTGTAATGAGAGTTGCCTTGCAGCTGTATTACTGTATCTCTTGCTACTTACCTACAACTACTACTGTGATGGGTCAATGAGCTGTTTGTTGCAGTTGGTGGATTGATTGAATTTCCAGGGTTCGATCAAACCGCCAGCCAAGACCACCTCTTCTGGGCAATCTCAGCTCGCTTCTTTTGCTTCGCATCTGAGCGTGAATGCTGTGTTCACGTATGTCCAAACCCCGATCCAGGCTAAGGAGGAAAGTGGTCCAGGTTTTTGGAACAATAAATCCAGGTGTGAAAGCAACCTTAATCAGCGCGCTGCTAAATTTACATCTAAAAAAACAAAAACTATGGGTTAGATTTTCTTCCAAGAATATCAAACAGGTTTTGTCATTAGTAATGATAAACAGGTGCAGACACTTACTAACTTCCAGATATCTAGCTCAAGAAGAATGCAGCCTATATTGGACAACTCTTGGCAAGAATAAAGCTAAGTACATCCAGATTTCCAAATAACAACAACTGTCGGCTTATACTGCGATTCCTTGGCTCTTTCTTTCTGCCAGAGGCATAAAGAACACACAGGCTCTTCGTGATCAAGTCCTCAAACACTGTGTGGCAAACATTGGATGGATTAATCTGATCTTCAAGCCCCTCTTAAAAATAATTCAGTCCTGTGTCAGCATGAAAACAGCTACAGACCTCCGCTTCATTTGCTTTTCCAAACTTAAGGTTTGTTTAATCTTGAGAGTAATGATTAAATGTGATGATAGTGCATTGAACAAATCTGATAGACCACCCAGGGAGCCTTCTTAAAGCCAGATTAAGACCTTCCAACTAACTTCTACAAAAGTTGGGGAAAGTTAGCCAGAGAAGCCAATCCTATCATGCTCCTGATCTGGTGAATCACAGGATGATGGAAATGATTTGGGATAGCCTTGAGGTAGAGTACAGGCTAAATGGCCGGGAACCAGTGCTGTTAGCCGTGAGAGAGATACAGCGAAGAAGATACCGATCACTCTCTTTGGGTCCAAGGAGGAAGATGAAAGACATTCAGACAACGGTGGTCATGTAGTGGCCAGGTCCCAGAAGAAAAGCCTCGGGGACATCTGAGAGTGCAATGTAGTTGAATTCCACATGTAGTGTAGGATTTACAAAACATGTTCCTGTTTTTTACACTTTGTTAGATCACAGCAGTACAAGTGAGAACAATAGCTAGGAACTAATAATAGGTTAGGATGTGGAAAGAGCAGCTGTGGGGTCATAAAACACTGACACTTATTTCCCAACAAAAGTTTATAGAAGACTGTTTTCCAGAAAAATTATATTGATTGGCAGCAATACCAACAGAGTAGAATACATATAGCAGCTTTTAGTTTTATTGGGACCTACTTTTATTGCCTTGTTGAAGGACAGATATCTTTTATTTGGTTTGTTATTGGTGCTCAGAACATTGGATCATGGCTTTTGTGATTTAACAGAACTGTATTTTAATTCTATGATAGAAACGCCACAGTGAGTCTGCTTTCCCGTCAGTTGATACTGATCAACCATCACCATTACCAATTACAGAAATCAATTTTTAGGGTGATCCTTAACCTAAATATTTGCAGTCAATACTGATGCAGTCATCATGCTGCTTGAACCTGTGTGAATTCAGTGATCTTTGACGTCAAAATCTTTAACTTTGTCTGGACTGCCAGTTTACATTACTCTGGGTTAACTCTTTAACTGAGGGAGATCAAACACCTGTTTTTTCCCATTACATCTTTGCTGCTGCTTCAGTATTGAATTGTTACTTTTACTCAAATATTATGGCATCAAGTGGTCCCACTTTTCACTGAAATGGGCAAACCATGTAAATGATAAGTTGCCCAATAATGGTAAAGACACTGACGACCCAACAGGCTCAGCCAATATTGTTTAAGTAAAGCTGATCAGATACCGGACTTTTGTAAAAACTATATCAAATATTTGCTAAGCTACAAAAAAGATGTAAATTTGATCCCCATTACTTGTACTTGATTTGGCATTTCTAAACCAGATCAGTTCACTTACACCTGAAGAGAAATTTAACAAATCGACACCTTTAATGTTAGGCTGAGTATTTGCCACATCTGGTATGTTTCCCATCTATCAGGTTGGAGTGAACAAGTGTGACTTTTTGTATGACTTCCATCAAGAGAGTTTGTCTTGGTAAAAAAATAATATGACTAAGCTCCCTCCCCTTGAATATGAACCCTTTTGCCTGAACTGTCAATAAATTAAGGATATATCAAAGTCTGATAGAAGAATGTTGTTTTTGCCTCAACAGAGATTTATTAGAGATAAAGAAAAAAGGATTGGTAAAGTATATCACTGACCCTACGAGCAGAGTTCCCCTGTAGCCACAGATCAACAGACTCCACACCACCAAACAATAACGCATTCAACAAATAATCATTCCCCTTCATACCATCTGACTCCGCAGACTCCACTCAGTCTCTGGGGTAGAAAAATATCTGCTCCAAAAGTGTTTGTTTACACTGATATTCTGTGCAAAAACAGGCCAACTCTTTGTTAACTTCTTAAAGAGACCCCCAAAGACATTGAGAGAAGGCAGTTATTGTTGTCATAAAGCCAGTGTCCAGCTCCTTCCTGTCTCAGGAGCTTTGGGAAGTCTCATTCTCACCAAGTGGTGCTCCGTTTCCGGAAGCCTGACTAATCCTCTCAGGCGAGAAGGTGAAAGGCAGGGACAAGGAGAAAAGGAGGGGTAGCTGTACGTGGGAAGGAAGGCCTATGTACGCTACAACATTCAAAATGCCTCATTGAAAATAATCCCACAAAGCATGCCGCCAGTGGCCCGTCGAGAGAGAGAATTAGGATTTAGGTTGGGCAGATAGGCCGTTCAATTATCCCCTTAGAGGCCTTAACTGGCCCTGGGCCATGGTAAAGACCAAATTTTCACTTGTCAGCAGAATTTAGCAAGCACAAGGGGAATTAGGTTGAAGCATACATGTTGATATTAGAGTTACATCACTAGGTATAAGCTGCAGTTAAACTATCAGTTCTGCCACTTTCAAAATCAGTGCAATCAGCCAGCATAGTACCCATTAATGAGGCACCAGTTTTATATTAAAAAAAAACAAACAAAAAAAACAAAACAAGGCTATTAGACCTTTGCTGCAGGACTGTTGTCCTCATGGAAACCTTGGCGTACATAAACATTTCTTTAATTAGAAAACAGACTTTGTTTTCTGTGCCCACTGAGATGAGAAAAGAGGGACGTGGCTGCGGTTTTAACAGCCTGTTTGTTGGGTTCCTGTGAGACAGGAAGCGCTGTGGCTCGATGTGATTTGTGATTCGCACGCGGGCGGAAAAACCAGCCTTTTTAATCTGCGCCCCTGGACTTTGTTTCCTCTCTCCAAGAGGAAATCAGCTACACAAAGGGCTCATGTCTACAGAACTTCACAACCGATGACGGGCTACATGATCTGAGAGATCAACACAATAAGGGCAGGTAGAGGAAAAGGACACTCCTTTGCTCAACTCCCTTTAAACCTCTTTCAATCACTTTCTATCAAATACTTCAACTCTCTTTGCCTGCTTTCTCCTTAAATGTTTTGTGTCACCCCTAGTCAATAGTCTACAGTCCTAAATGCTGCTTGCTTCACTGTAAGAGTCAGAGGGACAGCTTACAAGACAGAGGACTACAACAGCCAGGTCTCCAACAGGTGCAAATTCCAGTGATGCCTGCATGAGTTTGGACTCTGCTGTGTCTCTGTAAACCTGGGCCAAGTGGACGCTGAAGGTGATGGCCAGCAGAGATGTCTGACAGCTAGACCTGCTTTCATGCCCCCTATCAGCTTGATTTTTCCTCATTGTTTACTCTGTGTGCCGCAGTGTTTCTACCTCTTACAGAAAGACGCCAAGAAAGACGGAAAGAAAAGCGAGTGAAGTGGAAATACTTGAATAGGATGGACTGCAAAAAAAAACCTCTTCAAATCATGAATATTTTATCATACCCATTATAATTACTATGACTTAATCGTGTTTAACGGTAACACGCTTCCAGGTTTCCATTTCATGCTCACCCTGCACACTATGGAGTCTGGAAACATGTACCAGACAGCCCATCTGAGAGGAGAATTCAGAGTCGGGGGGCTGTGTGGGTGGGTGAGCACTCATTTGAAGAAAACTCCCAATAATCCAATTAAGCACATAATTTCCTTTAGTACACAGGAATTGAATCAACTGTCAGAAAGCAGCCAAGTCAGAGAAAGTGAAAAGCGAAAAAGAGTGCGCAGAGAAAGGGTAAGAAAAGGCCTTTCTGTGTACTGTTCAGCTGCTGCAGAGAACTAAATGCAAACAAAGCTTTGGAGAAGAGGCTTTAGATCTCAGAAAACATGGCGGGGCCTCCCATGCTCCACTTTGTAACTGTCCTGCTTGGCTGGCGATCAGCTCTTTCGTCCGGGACCAGCCTTTTGCAGAGATGCCTTGACTAAGAGCCAAGTTGCCTTTCTCAGTGTGTGGGTGTCTGTGTGTGTACGTACACACGTGCTTGAATATGCATGAGCGGTGATAGCGCTCCTCTGCTGTTTTGTGGGCTGTTATGTAGCTGGTAAAGAATGGCGAGAGAAGAGGGTAAAGAAACACGAATTATGGGGGACAGTTGATATATTATATGACAGAGAGAAAGCAGAAGAAAGCAAACAATATCATCCATCATGACGACTACCTGAAGCCTGTCATTATCCTCTGTGAAGGAAGATTTCATTCCATCTAAGGTGATATCTATACGAAACAGACTCCTGCAAAAGAGGGACATTTGAGGGCAGAAAAACACTAAAGGAATTCAGAATATCCTCCTCGAAAGTGCTTATCTTCCCTCTTGGAGCGAGGAATCTCAGCCACAATGACGAGGCCAAAAAGGAGAAAAGAGGTATCATCTTGTGAATATATATGATACAAAAAGACAAAAGGCATGCCTGTGTGTGTGTGTGTGTATCTTTAAGCTGCTTTACTTAAATGCACATTTCTCTGAGTAACTTCATTTCATATATCTGATCTGATTGAATAGATAAGGCAACATTTTAAAGATGCACACAGCTTTTCAATGAGTTTATCTCAAGATGAGGCGGATACAACACTCCGGAGGTATAGCCGGTGTTTTTCCATCCTCACTGCTCCGCATTCATTCCCGTCTGCGTTGGCACCTGTTGATCATTTAAAATTCACAGAGACCATCTGATAACACTGCCATGTGCCCGCTGAATTTTTAACAGGAAAAACTGGCACAGTCCACGGCTACAGGGGCAGATGTATGATAAAATAGATGTTTACATGGACATAATTTTGAGGATACTCACAAAAATGGAGGACAAAATGAAAAGTAAGGCAGGAGAAAAAGTTGTCAGATTAAAGGTGGGGTAGGCAGGATCTGAGAAAGTGCCAGTTTTGGGGAGAAATCTTAAATGTAAACACTACCCCTCCCAACCAGTTTTCCCCTCAGCTCCTCCTCTCCCCTCCGTCTCTGCTCCAGCAAGCCCCGCCCACAAACAGAAGCTCCTCCTCGCTCGTATCCTTCCAATTATATTCAGATATAATGCAGATAAATACTTCAGATAATTACAAATGGGGCCCAGTCAACATGAAAATAAACAGCATTGGTGCTACTGTAGATGCCAACAGACTACTAGCAAACACAATGTTTGCAGGACTTCTACAACTAGGATGAAGTGACATAGTCCAGGACCCGAGGTAAACAGTTTAGTGGCGCTACAACACTCAGCAGGTCCAGTTTGACAAGAAACACTTCTGTTACAGATACTTGGCTTACTTTGTTAAAGTGGTTTACCTGTCCAGCAGAAAGGTTACAGGGTCCGTAAGATCCCGAAGTGTCCCCCAACATTGTTGACCTGGCTATTTTAGCTCTTGTCCGGTCTACCTCCTTTTTAGGCGCCCGTTATTCTGCCAGAGTCTCCAGTATATACCCCGTTTTCTTGCTTGTGTTGGCAGTCATGGCTAAAGGAGGATTCAGACAATTTATCGAACTTTCTGGTTGGTTTCTACTGTTCGATATTGTAGCACACTAACTTTGTTTGGGCTTGGGAACGACACGGGGGGAGCATTACCAAATGCCATCAATGACTAATAACTATTGACTAATATTAAAAGCTTTTTTGTACATACTCCACAAACAAGATGCTTCTTTAACGGATTCCTGCCTACCCCACCTTTAAGTGGAGTTGAGGACTGTGATTAAGACTGAAAATGAAGAATAATGACAGCGCTCTCTCTCACAGGATTTGAGATGCATTTTTGTTTATGGTTTGACTCAATTCAAGGATATCTCAAGGATTTAAAGTACTTTGATTACATTTTATCTACAGCTTAAATTCAAACAACAATTGAAATGATTTCCCTGATCTTGAATAAAAAATGTAACCAGGAAGGTAGCAGTAATGTTTAAAAAAAGGAACGAAATGTGCCTCAATCTGTGTAGCCCAGGCTTTAACTGTGAAAGGAGGTCTCAGCTTTTATTTTTCCAGTTATTTTATCCTAAAAAGAACCCCTCTCAATTCCTCATTCTTCATTTCCTGCTCCTCTCTGGGTCCAGATGGCCAAAAGATCCAGAGATCATCCGTAATGGAATGACTAAAGACTTTCATGACAGACCTGGTGCAGTGCAGGATAAAGTGGGAGGCAGGGGATTTGTATCATAACTGTACATGTCCTGCACCTTTTACCTATAAATCCTCAACTGTAAGTTTGCAAGTACTTACCACAGTTCTTACAGCGAAAAGTCACTCTCATGCTGACCTGGTTACAGACATTTTTAGAAATCTCAGATTACCAAAATTGCTGATAAACTCCACAATCCTAGGGTTGTACCTGACATGAGGGTTAAATCTGAACACTTGAAGAATCTGTGTAAATAGTGTTTCATTTCAGAAGATGATGAATGTGTTCAGCTTGGTGTCACACATGCTGAAACCATACACCAAAGAAGGAAAGGTATAAAACATGTTGAAGGCTTAATGGACCCTTTGAAACAAACTGCGCCACTCAAGCTGATGGTGAAATCAAAACTGTACGCTGATTGAATTAAAAACAGTCATAAATATTACAGGCTGGCTAAGACAAACATGCTCAGAGGATGAGAAAATTCCCAGCTGTGAAAGACTTGCTGCAATGTCTGTTCTAGTAGCATTCAGGGTTAGGAGAAGAGAAGACAAAATAAGACTTCTGTGGGAGTGGATAAAAAAAGCTTTCTTATCTAACACCTTATGTTATACAACAATGGCCCTTTGACTATAGGCAGCAACTGGATGAGTAACCTTCTCCTATATTCCACCTACAGCCATGAGTACATTCGCCTGTTTTTTGTATTATTAATACACACCAAACAGCAAAAACATTATAACTGTAACTCTTATCATACACATGTCCCATGTAATCATCCACCTCAAGCCTATTATAAGGTGTAAAATACAAACAACTTTTACTCCAAAACTATCACGAGTAAAAGTATACATATATAAATCAAGAGAATGATGATGGAAACTGAAACCTAACAGATGTAAACATGGGATGACAACCATGTGGCTCCCTAGCAAGTGTAGCCTCCATAACACTTTCAGCTGACTGAACTGTGCGCTCTCTTAAAGTGACACTAACTTTAAAGCAACTCCTTTACCAAAAATAGCCAACACCTTTCCAGCACCTCTATCTAGTTGTGCCTGGATCCAGCATGCAAAGCCAACGTGATCACAACAACAAAACAGCAAGGAGTAGGAGTGATGTCGGCCGTGTGGCAGTATTTTCGTTGAAGTCTGAAGAAGACATCGCAGCTGAGTGCAAACTTGTCATGCACAAGTTTGTGCTAGTATTGGATCAATATTGGTATCCGACAATACTGGAGGCTACATATTGGTATCATATCTGAAATAAAAAAGCTGTATCAGGTCACCCCTAAGTAAAGGTAAAGGGAGGATTATAGGCCACCAATGAGCACCGTGTGAGCCTCTGTCAAACAATATATGACCCAGTCCCATGCTGCAAACTTATTGATACATCAGGTAAAATCATTCAGTGTTGGGACACTAGAGCAGAAACTCAGCTCGGCCACAAATATGTTGAGTCAAAACGTTTGACAGAAACTGCCTATAAAATGAGCTCTGAGCACTTTCAACATCACTTCAAGTTTGCCATATGAACCCCATGCTCTTGGCGTCTTCTTTAATGACGTTACACAATGGCGTTCCATGTTAAACAGCAAGTTGGTCCTCTCGCATCAGCAGCCAAGTAGAAATCCTAACCTCAAGCTTTATATCTGAGTCAAAGAAAACGAGGCTGCTGGCACCACAAATGTAGAAATCTGGATCAGCAGGAAGTCAAAGGGCTTTCACTTCAATGTCTTTGCAACCACAATTAAGACTTCACAAATATATCCCA